GTCCAGTTCCTATAGTTGGGCTCCAACATTTGGTCCAGTGTCTTTATTTGGGCTCCAACAGTTGGTCCAGTGTCTTTATTTGGGCTCCAACAGTTGGTCCAGTGTCTTTATTTGGGCTCCAACAGTTGGTCCAGTGTCTTTATGGAGCCAGCAGTTGGTTAATTTCGTTTATTTGTGCTCAAGTTGGTAAAGTTTTTAATTGGATCGTACAGTTCGTGCAATTCCTATAGTAGGGCTGCAATAGTTGAACCAGTTTCTTTATGGATCCAACAGTTGGTCTAGTTTCTTTATGGTCAGTATTTCCACTGATGCTTATTTGGTCTGCAGACTGCTACTCCTGCAATTCAGTGTCAGCCTGACGTTGTTTGGTGTATGGCTAATCAGTAGGAGAGGCTGGTGCCTGCAGGCTACAGTGACCTTTAGGAACCGAGGCCATCTGTCCTTCACCTCTCCTGGCTGCCCTATAGTGAGGTTACTACCCTTCTAACTATTAAAGTTCAATCAGACTTACTCCACACACTCATCTAATGTGCTGCCGTTATTCTTTATACGCCTCGGCCGTATCTAGACCCACAGCTAGTTCGTTAAAGTCCCTCTTGCGTTGTAAGGAATAACATAGTGCAGACCATGCTTCAATATTGGGCATAAATCGAAAATATCTGGGATAAGTTGACTGAGACACACTGCTGCGGGAGTATAACCTGCCCTTAACACTACACCACACAGGATTTCCGTCTCTTCCGTGAAGCTGCCCGGGGGTTCACATCGGAAGAGGAAGCCAGCATGGAAGGCCCAGTCTCAAGTTTCAGATCTCCAGAAAGACCAAGGCTAAGCAGTAATGGTTGACATGTCAGAACCAACTAGCTGCAAAACAGACCTTTTGCAACATTTCTTTCAGAGTTTCAAAACTTACAGATGGAGAGTGGCGTTAGGAGCCTCCTAAGGGAGCTCTTTCCCTGATGTTTACCTAGCTGGAACAAAGGAACCTTTGATGTGTGTGACCTGCTTCTAAGTGCTAGAGGAAAACTCAAGCCTTCCAAATTGATTCACAGAAGTCTGCAGGTCTGGTACTGTTGGGGACAGCTTCTCCAGTAAACAGTATGTATTTTGATGATTTTTGATAATTTAATGTATTTACTGTGAAATAAAGACAAAGCTACGAAGATGAACCGCATGGTACACCACGCTTACATGTTTGAGTTGGGTTTTTCTTTAAGCTAAAACAAGCTTTATTTCACTAAGGGTTTAAACACTGACATAGTGGTAACGTTCATGTGTTTTCTAATATGCTCAATATATTTTGATTACAAAATTATGACCAAAAGTAATTTAATGGGAATTCTCATGTCAGCTCACTCAAAGAAGACTAAGAATCAATAAACTAAACGTTATTGGGTCCTAATTAAGCAAATTATTTAATGAAACATTATTTGTCTAAAAACGTTTTATTCACCTCATAGATTTTCATAGTAAACTGGTTGGATAAACGTTCCACTCAAAAAATTGACCTCAACATAAACCTTGATTCAGAAACACAAAATCCACATTAAACATTGATATCATTGCATCCTGTCATTGGTTATGGTTTTTAACCATGTCTTTCCTTTTGCTTTGTACATAGTAGTTTAGTTAAGTTGAGTTTAACTTGATTTCAGTCAAGAGTTGTTATCTGAAATATGTTTGGCTTGGAGCTGACTGATTTTTGTTAAAAACTTGTATATTTTGATGGTGAATTTATTCCATATATGAGCAGAATTATCTTTTTGACCCTTGTTTAAGCTCGGTTCACACTTTTATTTGTTGTTCTAACACACAGCTAGCAGGGCGTGGGTTTATAAACAACATATAACCAACCCTACTGGGGTGGTAAACTCTTAGCTAAGAGTATGCTAAGAGAGAGTATGCTATGTCAATGTCTCGCTAAGAGTGAGCGAGACATTGACTGACTGATCCACACCAGTGGGATCTACAGTAGGGACACTGGAATGTCATTCTGGCTGGAGAAATGCTGCCAGATGGTGACAAATGGGGCAAAGTTATCCACACTGAGGGGAATGCACCCCCAGATGGGAGAATGGATAGAATGGATTAGAATAGATGTAGGAGAGTAGGGCTGCAACTAACGATTATTTTAAAAATCGATGAATCGGCCGATTATTTTTTCGATTAATCGATGAATCGGACAAAAAAAAAATTTTTATATTAACCTCTTTATTCCAAAATAAACATTTTAGACAGAACAAACAAGCACACAAGTACAGGTTGCTCATTAACTGTACTGGTGCAATATGAAAAATAAATGTTTGTGTAAAAACTACGCAAACTTACATGAGAAATGTAGCTGTACATCCACAAAATATAGGCTACTTTGGTTCATAAAGCGCAAAAAGAGACAGGCATTTTTGTTTTTTAAAGCCCCTAAGGGGTTCAACAATAGGTCCCCCCATTTCAACAAATGAGTTTTTTTTTAGACTAGAAGAGTTCTGCCTTTTAAGACAGGAAAGTATAGCAGTTAAAGTTGCTGCTTGAGAAAATACTGAACCATAGAGATAAAAATAGCCCTGTGATTCAAATTATAAATTGTATTTGGAATAAAAATGAGAGAACTAGGGGTGGTAAAAAACACATCCTCCAAAGACAGATATTTACATGGGAATGTGGCAGATAATTAATTGACATATTACTGATCTTGCTGGATTTTATTCTGCTTTACTTCCATAAATTGCAGGATCTTCTTTTCTTTATCTTTGCCAGAAGATTTAAACTTTAAAAGCCTTGCCCTCATAATTTGCAAGTTAATTTATTTATAAAGAAAATATAAACGCTGCTTAAACAAATGTAAATGAAATTAAAAGTAAAATAAGTAGCCAACCTTATCCCTGTCTGTAACCTACTAACAAGGTAAGGAAAGCATCAGATGAGCTACCTGAGAAACTAACGTAACGTTTCCCCACTTTAAAACCAAACAAACATGGTTACTCATCCTGCTGATCAGCTCTCTTCACTGCCATCGAAGGCTCCAAAGTGTTTTCTTTTCAGGTGCTGCGTCATAACAGTGGTGCTTCCGTGCCATGTTAATTTCTTTTGAAAAAAGTTGCATGTTACGACTTTTTTCACTTTACAAAGCGCAGGCTATTTTAATTATTGTGATCAATTTGCGCCGTCAATCCCGGCGCATGCGCGCTTCATTTGCAGTCTGGACGCTGAGGGTAAACTCCTCACTAAAATCCTGCGGCTCTGACTGCCGCGCTGAGAGGGATTCCTGTGGGAGAGGGAGAAAGGCGTTGGGATGGGGGAGGCGCCCCACGGCAGGCAAAAGCCGCCAGTGACACCGTAAAAAGTCGGCAGATTTGTCGCTAGTCGCTTTTTTGAAAAATAGTCGCTGGAGGGGTCTGAAAAGTCGCTGAGTTGGCAACACTGCAACTGCGGCGCTGACTCGCTCCGCCATATTTTTTTTTCTTCCCCCGGATGACGGCGGCGGCGGATGACGCATTAATCGCGCGACACAACTAATCGATGATTAAATTCGTTGCCATCGCTTTTAAAAGTCGATTTTTATCGATTTTATCGATTCGTTGTTGCAGCCCTATAGGAGAGCTACAAGTACATTGGAATACCACAGGCAAATGACTGCAATGAAGAGGCCACAAGGGAAGCAGCAACAGCTAAGTACTTTCAACGAGTAAGGCAAGTTAAATGTCAGCTATGTGGCAAGAACAAGCTCAGCGCGAGCAATACCTTCCCAGTAATCAGATACCTTACTGGGGTAATATGTTGGCCAAAGGGAGAAATTCAGGCCACCAATATCAACATACAAAAGCTCCGCACCATGAAGCTTCATAGTCATTCCAAATAACGTTAAAAAACAATTCACTGGACTTTTTTTACAAGTTTGATGACGTTTCACGTCCCATCTAGGAAGCTTTTTCAATTCAAATGTCAGAAATAGCGTTGAGTTCGAGGTTTTATACAGTAGCCCAACAAAGCGTTGTTTTGTTTAGAAAATATGCAACCCGGAAGAACAGGTCCACCTCTTAGTAATGGGGAGTCGTTGAGGCCTGCAATACCCAATATTAGCCCCTAACTCTGAAAATTGAGTCGTTCGGGTCATTGTTGGCTTGGCTGAGCAGGACAGTTGTTTTGATTGCTGGTATAGGTATAGAGGTTGACATGATAGCGGGAAAAACCTACAACTCTATTGCGGTGTTGTCGGTTCTTGAGAGCTGAAACCTGAGTCCACCCCCTCTGTTTAAGGTTAGTTTTTATCTCTTAACATAAAAGGCTTACTTCAAACCCCTTTCAAACCACCAGTCTCTCTTAGTCCAAATTGTGAACATTCTGGAAGTTTAATTAAACTTAATTTTTTACTTTTACATGGGCTTGATTTTGCTTGTAGTAATTCCCTGCCAAATGTATACTAATTAAAGAAAAATAAAATTCTAGTTAAATGTAGGACACTGGATTAATTGAAGTTACCTTTTAGTTTGTTGATGTTAGAATATAGACTTGGTGTACGGAAATTATTAGGAGGTCTTCAAAGGTTGCCTGTAGCTAGATTTATTCTAAAACAATGGCCTTGGGGCCTTCTGGCCACTAAAACTTTAACTGGTCTGAGTAAAAAAAAAACTGTTGTTTGAGGATGAGGGTCTCTTAACTAGGTAAGGGTTCAAGTACGGCATTTATTTATCCTCCTCCCAGTATTATGCAAGTTCTGATGATTAGCATACTGCACAGTGAAAACCATTTGCTACAAGAACAATTCTGCTGATTTTGAAGATAGAAAACCATATGAACCTGGTTAGTTGATCAGCTTTGTAGTAGCTATGAAATTCTCTGTTTTATATGTTCTTAAGTAGATCTGAACCTTGGGATTAAAAATCTAACCTGTTTGTAATTTCTAAACGTTCAAAAAAAAAAAAAAAAAAGATATACTTTTAGACAAGTTTTAGACAAAACTTCTTTTGAGACAAACAATTTGGTTCAATAAATGTAACTCTTACCGAAACAGTGGGCCGTCCCGGTCAATGAAGTAGTTTCCGTGGGAGTCTTTGACTGTGGGGAGGTCTCCTCTGAACATGGCACCCAGCATTGAGTCTGGGTAACGCTTCAATGTTGACAGAGAAGTGCTGTAAACACAGCCACCCACGTTCAGACTTACTGGCTCTCCCATCTGGATATAAAAGACATGGAAAAAGTCACAACATCATTTTGGCTCTATTGATCAATAAAAACTTAGCCCAGGTATTTAGTTTGGTAAAGGTTTGTACATCTTTCCTCCCTTATAAGAGCAGCAGGAACTACTGAACTACAGCAGCCAGATTTGCTTTTGATCAGTTTTATATTCTAGATTAATAGCTTGGTTCTGGGCCTACATTTACTACATATCAGCAAAATGTAAAAAGCCTAATGCTACGTTCAGACTGCACGAGCTAGAGGCAGCAGTAGCAGCCAGTTTTAATGCAAAGTCAATGGTTGACACGCATCGAGGCGCAGCAAAAGTTCCTGCTGCACGCTTTGAGCAGCAGAAGCAGCGCCTCATGACCTTCTGAGTATTTGACCTGTGTGACGCGGTTCGAAAGCAGCAGCTGCTGGAGTTGGAAAAATTTAATTTTTGCTGCTCGACGTCGACATCAACTAATAAGAGAAGCTGATTTGGGAGCTGGCAGGGAGACAGACACAGCACTGCTGATGCAGAGCGCTATGATCACTCCTCTGAAACAGTTTAATAATGATTAAATTAACTTAAAATTTGGAAACTTGCTGGTAAAATATGTTTGCTTTTATTATTCTGGTGCCTGCAGTTTGGATCACGTATATGAAAAACGCCGTTCAGCCGCCACGAACAGTAGCAGAAAATCGGGAAAAGGCGACCGAGCCAGAGGCTGCCACTGAAGGGGATTTCCAGCGGTGTACTGGGGTCTGAGGGGCTTCGACAGGGAAATAATATTTAAAGGCAGGACCGTAATCTTGATGAACTGACTGCAAAGATAAAATTTTCAGGACTTTCTCACTTAAAAACATATTAAAACTACTTTTTACCCTCTGATCACTGCTAATATAGCAAAGCCGCTCTGCCATTTAACACAGGAGCAGCAGATGCATCTGGACACACTTTATTAGATGCAAGACAGGAGCGTCAAAAATGCTCTTGACACGTGTCTGATCTTAATGTGAACAAGCATCAAAAAGGCTTATTTCCAGCGCTTGCAGGCTGAACGTAGCATTACCATTAACAGATCATTTATAACGATAACTTATAGTTATAGCTACAAATCTATGTGCATAACAATCAAATGTTGCAAACAATCTTTCCATCACACTGTGCATCTATGATACTTTCTGAGGGGTTTAAAATTAGCTTTGAAAAGTAAAGTCATCTTTAAATATATTTCACTTTGATAGATGTTATAGGATTTTAAGAAATATTATCTATAAACAGGAAGTTACATTTTAGTAAGCTTGATTAGATCAGGGGTCCTAACCAACCATTTATTTCAAAGCGGGGCTGCTGTTATTCTTTATTATCAGGAAGTCTTTCGCTAATCCAAAACGCTGCAGCCAGAGTCCTGAATCAAATCAAAAAGAGAGATTGCATTTCTCCTATTTTAGCTTCCCTTCATTGTTGTTCCTTTAAATCATTACATGAATATATAACATACAAACCCCTGATAATCCAGCTCCACAATACATCAAAGATATTGTTTCATATTTTTCCAACAGAGGATTTTGCTGTCAAGCTGCAGGTTATTAATGAGCTCTTAGAGCTTCTAAAGAAGAACATGAAGCAGAATTTTAGTTTAATACTGTTTATATTGCAACAATTAACAATACATACCACCTCAAGACACTTAACAGTGCCTTAATTCAAAATCTCCTGTGGAACCAACCATCACATTCTAAGTCAGATGCAAATCTAAATTATTCCTCTGGATTGTTGGAGCCTTTTATTGTGCATGGATTATGCGATTGGTCTGTGGAGCCATAATGGGAGTGCTTATGTCATTTCTTGGGGATGAGCTCCATGAATCTATTGTAAATGCTTGGAAGCTGAAATCCCAATCCTCCCCCTCTATTCAGTGATGGCTTCCGCTTCTCCTCTTTCAAACCATCTGTCATCTTTGCCCAAAATCGTAACACTTTGGTCTTCAAAAGTTTGTCCTTTGTTCTTCAGGTACAACTGTACAGCTGAATCTTGCCCAGAGCAACCGGCTCTCCTCTGCTTTCCCATATGTTTGTGTTGTTGTCTGGTTTCTCCAAAATATAATAACATATCCTGAGCTATCTCTATAGCTATGCTGTTATAGGCTTAGACTGCCGGAGGACATAGGGTCCACTTTCCATAGTGTGTTCATACACAATATATAACAGCCCAAATCATATCTGATTAAATAAAATATTTACCACTCCTACTGAGGAGGGCAATAAACATCTTAAAGTATCAGAAAATTATAAATTCCCAGCTGGCTGGGAATTGAATATAACCGTTATTCACAACATTAATATGACATCCAACCTGGATGGGAATTGAATATAATATAAAATCATACTGATAATGCATCGCCTTGATTGCAAAACAGTAGCTATTAAAAACACCCCCAGACTTTGTTTGTACATCATGTCTTAAGTCAGGGGAACACACCTGAACGCAGCTCAGTGCAGAGCAGCAACATATTTGCAACTTTATAACTCAACTCATAGCACCAACTTTATTTGGTTTTTAATTATTCAGAATTAAAATTATACAGGAAAAAAAAACTTGGTCACAACAGTGTAATTAATCTGATCCTCTGGCCTTTATTCTGAATCATATCAGCTGTATGTGATGGGTTTAGGTCATCAAATCAAGACACGCACCATGTGACCCAGGTCTCCATTCTCCATCTGCCAGCGAACCTTGACCGCCGTCTTCCCCCTCTGCCTTTCACAGCGCCGAGGCAATCATTTCTGTGTTTCCACCTGCAACAAAAAGCGTGACATCTTGAGCTACGGTTGCTATGGCGACAAACTGTCGGTTGATCCAGCGTGATTGGAGAAGGAGGATCCCCGCTGATTAGTCACGGTGTCCCTGATGTGTCCGCACATCTGTCAGCTGGTGGGGAAGAGGATGAGGGGGGGGCGATGAATGGAAGCAGATTAAAACAGGTGAACGATCAGCTCGCCTGCACCAGGACAAATTAGCCCCACTTCAGCAGCGATACCGCCACAATTTGAGACCGCAGCCATCAGAGGTTAAAACCCTGATTTCAGATTACCCTGCTGCAGACTGAATAAGAAAGTAAGCTATAAAACAGGGAAAGCCAGAGAGCAGCAAGCCCCAAACATCCACAATGTTAAAGCTTCCTCGGTTCATTTAAAGCGTATAAACTGATGACTCATCTTAGGTTTAAACCTGAATTAAGTAAGTCTTGCTGCAGTTTCTCAGTTGAAACTTGGTCTGGACTTTGACTAGGCCATTCTAAACCATTGATCTGCTTAGATCTAAGGATCCATCATATCTGTCTGTAAGTTTAGGGTGGTTCTTCTGCTGGAAACTAGGACTGGTCGATTCCTAGATTTTATTTATTTACCAAATTTATTTGTTATAAAATTTAGATTTTTTGGAAATTACTATTTTTTCCACCAATGCTCTTCTTGACCTTCCATAGCTCAGAGTGTCATCATTTCATTACTTGTTGACTTTCTGTTCTTCATCTATAGATCAGGGCTCGATGTTGACGATCACCCGATCTCCCGGGGCAAGTAGTTTTCATTGTTGGGAGAGTTCAAATTTTATTGCATTTGCCCGCCGATTTAAAACTATTAGTTTAGTCTTTGGTCTGAAATAAACCATCATCCAGTTGATCAGTCAGTAATAAAGACTAAAGGAGCCACAGAGTCTGCAGGTTTGAGCAAAGTCTGACAATGAGGCAAAAACAAACAAGTGCAATGATCGCAAAAAAAAAATCCATCACTCAAAATTACTTTAAAATCACCGACATTCGATGAAAACGCCCCAGAAGCGTTGCCGCATGATTTGAAAAAGCTGCGTGATTTTCCGCCAGATGGCGTGATTTTTGTCCACCTAGCGGTAATTTTGATGTAGTTACCAAAACGACAAACAAGCTAGAAAGCGCTATTGTACTCGTGTTTCTGAATCATTTTATTCGCATAATCACTCAAACATCACCTACATTCGAAGAAAACGACCCAAAAGCGTTGTCGGAGCGATTTTTGTTGTTTTGTACACATTCTCGCATGATTTGAAAAAGCCGCATGATTTTTCGCCAGATGGCGTGATTTTTGTCCGGGAATTGGAGCGAATCAGACACATTTTTTCGACTTGGCAGGCTAAAAAACAACAAGGCAAAAAAATGTAAGCACAGTAACACACCCACCACCTATTTTACCCTCCACACACTTAGCATCGGAGATCCTCTTTACCCACCAACCATCCTCATCCATTCACTAAACATTTTCCAAGCACTCAATAGTTTAAAGCAAAGTTTAGTTTGAAAAGAATGTGCAGGAAGGATTGAAAAGCATGTTAACACGGTAATGTAGGCTTGAGTTCATTATCTGACGCATGCAGATACACACCAGGAACCTGGAAACTTAAAAAATACTGAATTACAAAAAACATTTCAAAAACAAACATGTTTCATTGATATATATACAAAAACGAATATTAGGAACTATATTTATCAAACATTATACTGGGCAAGTAAAAATTGTTTCTGGGCAAATGAAATGTGAAAGTCACTTGCCCAAAAGGCAAGTGGTAAAAATCCTTAATGTCAACCCCTGTAGATGATCCAGTTGATCCTGCCTTTCAGTAATTACGTCTGTCTCTCTTACAGATTTTATTAGAGCGTCTGGAAAACTGGGTCAGCCTTTCTGGTACAGAACTGGACTGAACTGAATGAAGATTTAAATCAGAAACCAGAAAAATCACATGCGGTGTTCCTCAAGGCTCCACTCTGGTGCCCCTGCTATTCAATATCCGCTTAGCTCAGATAATAGCAAACAAGATCAGTTACCATAACTATGCAGACGACACACAATTTTACATCACAACGTTAAGAGGTATCTATGAACCCATCAGAGCGTTGGTTAGATGATATTTCACAAATTTTTCCACCAATGCTCTTCTAGAGCTTCCATATCTCAGAATGCCATCATTTCATTACACTCTGATATTAAAACAAGTGCCGGTAGGTTGCTTGATGGCCACCCCTCCTCCCTCATAATCAAAAGCAACTACTGTGTGTTTTGTTTTTTTTCATTTCCTTTAACAAAACTTTATTTACACAATTCAAAACATGTGAACAATTATTGATGTAAAACAATTGTCAGCTAAACATCATTAAATGAGGAGCTTGTTAAATTGTAGCTGTCGTTCATCTGACACAGACATGTCGATGCATCGATACAATTATACGATTATTATTTACACCCCTAGTGTGTGTATATGAAGAACTGCATTCTACTTTGATGTAAAATAATCGCCATCATGGCTTCGTCAAGCTGCTGCCTACCTTTATGAAGCAGGAAAAAGACTAATACAAAGTGAATCCAGTGGAACTTTTTATTGCCTACCTGGAATGGGTGAAAATAGTTGACTAAATTTTTGGTTCTCAAAATGGTATCAGTGCCCTATTTGTTGGTATTCTTCGATACCGATACCACCATGTAAGTGCTGGATCGGGAACCCGCCTGATACTGGTATATCAGTATCGGTGCAACACTAGATGTAAACACTTTAAATAGATTGAGTTTCTATATTTTTAGAAAATTCAGAAAGGATCACCAAGTTGTGTTTCTGCATCAGTATCGGAGTATTTCCTGGAGCATTACTGAACACATTTAACAGGCATTTTAACCTGATCTGATGGCGATGATGGAGGTTATGGAGACTTTAATCCCTTTGGCTGGAATTTTGATCTGATCTCATCTAAATAAATGAACATCTTTAGGAAATATAGTCTTTTTATACATATTGTGACTGATCACTAATTATCTTTCACACACCACAAATACAGACTGACTGCTTCTGAGGATTATATTTGTAAATATGCAGCTTTAATTGGATGTTTCTGACGTTTAGGGGGGAAAAAGCATCCAAATCCAGATTATGATGATAAAAATTCTCCTTCCACAGATATCGACTCTGTTTTCCTGCTTTACTTCCATTAAATGTTCATATTTATGTAAAGAGGTAAGAAATCCCAGGTTGGAATCAATGGCATGAAGCAGAGCAGCTTTGTCTCCCAGAAGCTAACAGTTAGCAGCTGTTAGCAGCTTCAAAATCGGTCTCAAAACAAGTTTCGGTCAAAATATAAAAACTCTGCCAGTTCTTACCTCAGACGGCTTCATATCACCCAGATAAACCGATTTCATGTAGCAGTTTAAAGCCGATAGCGACGTTTGTTTACATCCTTTGTTTTTGATGGATGACACTTCCGGTAAGGCGTTTCAAAATAAAAACCTACAAAATAAAAGTCGTTCAACTAAAAAAGAAAGGGGCGCATTATAAAAGACTAATAGACACAAATTAGTCAGTTTGGGGGTCCTAACAGCTGTTAGGATTCATTTCATGGTTCCTGTTACACCATAAAAAGCCTAAAATATGTAAAGAAAAAATATGTTTTTTTTTTTTATTGTTAATTTATTTATACCTGATAAAACAAGTAAAATAAATAGAAAATACAATAATTACTAAAAGATATTTTAAAATAACTTTTCACAGCATATAATCTCTATGTTTTGTTCAAAATGAGGTAGCAAGAGATTAATGACAAACATAATGCTTTCTGCTTGCACAATATTAGCTGCAGGTGGCTGTAAGGTGAAGGTTTGCAAACCAAATTTGTCGCGACCCCCATGCAGTACCTCCAGGGAACCGCTAGGGGTCGCGGACCTCCGCAGGAGAAAAGCCAGATTCTTCAGTACTGGCCTCCCACCGCACGGGGGCGTTTAAGCGGTGCGTGAAGGTTTTCGAAACAGGAAGCTGTTTTGTTTATTTTACTCTACATCCTGTTTCTGCAGTTCTCCATCTGCTCCAGAGTTTCTCTTCGAGAAAACATTTATAGCTTCATTCTGATCAAGTTTGAAAACGGTTCTGGTTCCGATTAACCGACCTGCAGGTCCAGGTTACCGCAGACCGTCTACTGAGACCCCCCCCCCCCCCCCCCCCCCCCTCCACCATGGAAACCGATCACCCCCGGATAGCAGAAGGAACCGGAGCTGCAGCCGAATCCAACGAGCATGACTACGCTCACACCACCGACCCACCAGAACCTGAGCCGAACTCCGCGCTTCAGCCGCCCGAACCCGCCCGGCTGGAGCTTCCAGAACCCGCCCTGGGTGCGGAGGTGGACTGCCCCGGTGTGAGCGAGCAAGAGGAGCCCGCGGTGAGCTGCGCTGAGGCGGCGCCGCGCGGCGGCGGCTCGCGGCGGCCCAAACGGCCGGAGGACAGAAACTGCAGCGGCTGCAGGCTGCTGTTCCAGCGGCAGGGCCGCTCCTTCAACCGCAGGGCGGTGTACACCTTCACCACCCCGGACACGGTGCGCTGGGTCTTCCCGGACTCGGAGGTCCATGAGAAATCCTTCCTGTGTGAAACTTGCGCGCAGATCATCCGGACCAAAGGGAGGCGGAAGCAGAGCGGGAAGCGGCTGCTGTGGGTGAAGCCGCCTGAGGTCACGAAGGTCAGTCCTGGGCCGTTACCATGGTGACCATAAGGTCAGGGGACTTTAAAAGCCTTGCTCTATAGAGAAACTAAACATGATGCTGTTATTATAAATGGCTTCCTGCAGGGCGTAGCTTTGTGATAAAGGTTGGAGGGAGACTCTAAGGGGGGAGCTGATGGAGCTACAGTTACTCCACCTGAACACTTTAATTTTTCTATTTTCCAAAAATGAGCTTAAACATATATTTACTGAATGCTTTCCTATAGTTGAGAACACAAGAGAACCACAATAGACTAATAGTTATACTTATGGATGTTAGAGAAGTGCTTTATAGTGCATTATACATATATATATATGGGACTCTTTTCCCACCTGGATCCCCGCTATTTTTGTCCCTCATGTCCCCCTGTTGTCGGACAAACTTGCCCCCACTTCCTCACCACCTCAGCCGTATCTAGACCCATTATCGGGGAGGGGGGGGCTTTTTCTAACTTTTCTAACAAAATTTTCTAACTTTTGGGACAATATCGTCTGATAAAGAGCACATTTATACACATGTTTAAGCCAGAATGATTTGAAAATTAAATATGGTTTCCCTCCGACTTTAAGATCCTCCTCTTTGATCAGAGAAACTCCTCCATCAGGGTGTGGATGCGTTCAGCTCGATGATTCTGTTTCCAGGTGAAGGACAAGCAGGTGACGGGCCGCAGGATGGGGAAGAAGAGCAAAGCTGCTCTGCTGGTCAGCAAGTCCAGCTACAAAGCCGCTTTCCAAATGCTCTGGTCGTCCAAAGGTGCCAGGAAGCCCATGATGGATTTCTGGAGGAAACAGCTGAAAAACGAGGTGAGTGAATGAATGTGGCGCCGAGTCTAAGCGTAGGTTTCTCGTTCTCATCACATCTCCTGTCTGCAGATGAAGCTGCTGTCACGGAAGGCAGACAGTCCCTTCCACCAGAAGGTTTCTGGCAGGAAGCCGCTGTCCTCCTTCCCCTGGAGGAGGTGTCTGAACTGGGTCCAGGAAAACGCGCCGCTCGTCACCACCTGCCTGCACTCCATGTTCCCTGACATCAACACCCTCTACAAAAGCAGCCAGTGAGTCCGACCGGATCCAGCTGGTTCCGGTTCTGTTTGCTTCCCATTCTGACCGCCATGTCTCCTGTTTGTTTAGCAGTCAGCTGACGGAGGATCAGGCCGTCACGCTGCTGGAGCGCCGCACCGTGGTGGCGCTCTCCATCCCGCTCTTCACTAGAAACATCTGGAGGAACAACTTCCTGCAGGCGGCTCTGGGGGCGGAGCTGCGGCTGCAGGGCTGCTCCGGCTCCGCCCTCGACACCTTGAACACCATGGGGCTGTGTCAGAACAAAGACACGGTCCGGTTGCTGCTGCACCGGCTGCGGAACGGCAAAGACATGGTGAGTTTCCACCGCGTGGAATCCATGGTGGAACTCTGCCACAGCAAAACAGAAGCTACCAAACCTACTAGTCACTTTTCTCTGTGCTTTTGGGGAGTTTAGGACCTTTATGAGAAAGCGGGAATCCACCCAGCGTTACAGAGTCAGAATTCTGACTTTAATCTCAGAATTCCGACTTTAATCGGAGAATTCCGACTTTAATCTCAGAATTCCGACTTTAATCTGAGAATTCTGGCTTTTTTTCTCAGAATTCTGACTTTAATCTCAGAATTCTTACTTTAACCTCAGAATTCTGACTTTAATCTCAGAATTCTGACTTTAATCCCAGAATTCTGACTTTAACCTCAGAATTCTGACTTTAACCTCAGAATTCTGACTTTTTTCTCAGAATTCTGACTTTAATCTGAGAATTCTGACTTTAATCTGAGAATTCTGACTTTAATCTGAGAATTCTGACTTTAATCTGAGAATTCTGACTTTAATCTGAGAATTCTGACTTTTTTTCTGAGAATTCTGACTTTTTTTCCCCCAGAATTCTGACTTTAATCTGACAATTCTGACTTTTTTTCTCAGAATTCTGACTTTAATCTCAGAATTCTGACTTTAACCTCAGAATTCTGATTTTAACCTCAGAATTCTGACTTTAATCTCAGAATTCTGAATTTTTTCTCAGAATTCTGACATTTTTTCTAAGAATTCTGACTTTAATCTGAGAATTCTGACTTTTTTCTAAGAATTCTGACTTTTTTTCTGAGAATTCTGACTTTTTTTCTGAGAATTCTGACTTTTTTTCTAAGAATTCTGACTTTTTTTCTGAGAATTCTGACTTTTTTTCTAAGAATTCTGACTTTTTTTCTGAGAATTCTGACTTTTTTTCTGAGAATTCTGACTTTTTTTCTGAGAATTCTGACTTTTTCTCTGAGAATTCTGACTTTTTTTCTGAGAATTCTGACTTTTTTTCTGAGAATTCTGACTTTTTTTCTGAGAATTCTGACTTTTTTCTGAGAATTCTGACTTTTTTTCTAAGAATTCTGACTTTAATCTGAGAATTCTGACTTTTTTCTAAGAATTCTGACTTTTTTTCTGAGAATTCTGAATTTTTTCTCAGAATTCTGACATTTTTTCTAAGAATTCTGACTTTAATCTGAGAATTCTGACTTTTTTCTAAGAATTCTGACTTTTTTTCTGAGAATTCTGACTTTTTTTCTGAGAATTCTGACTTTTTTTCTAAGAATTCTGACTTTTTTTCTGAGAATTCTGACTTTTTTTCTGAGAATTCTGACTTTTTTTCTGAGAATTCTGACTTTTTTTCTGAGAATTTGACTTTTTTTCTGAGAATTCTGACTTTTTTTCTGAGAATTCTGACTTTTTCTCTGAGAATTCTGACTTTTTTTCTGAGAATTCTGACTTTTTTTCTGAGAATTCTGACTTTTTTTCTGAGAATTCTGACTTTTTTCTGAGAATTCTGACTTTTTTTCTCAGAATTCTGACTTTTTTTCTCAGAATTCTGACTTTAATCTCAGAATTCTGGATCTTAATGTAGATGGGCACCATGAAGGCAGAGATGTGGGGACACCCAGCTTCACTGACAAAGATGTGAGTTGTTTGGGAGGGTCAGTGACACATTGGAGGAAAATAACAGAATTAGGCAACTTTTTATGTGCCCGAGGGTCCCCTCATTAATGGAGGAGCAGAAGGTCAATAAAACAAGAGAGCTAGTCTCTAAAACAGACATGGCTATGGCTTGATGCTAACATGTTTGTTATCTATTAGAATTCTGAGATTAGACTGAATTCTAATATTAAACTGAAATAAAATTTAAAAATCGGTTAACTTTTTTTTTTTTTTTCAGTGGCCCTAATCCTCTTCCGTACAGATGAACAGTTTAGACAACTTTCAGATATTCAGGATTATAAGACATTGAGAACTAGGAGACGATAAGGCTTTAAAAAGATCTAACCGTTTTAGGTTTATTTTGAAAAGTCAGATTTGTGTCTTTGTCATTTTTGCACAGACATAAAAAGTCCATCTACTCAGTTTATTTCATGTAATTCTTGTTTTGTGGTTTTTTAACTGTATTTTCTGTCGGTGGTGCAGGACGGGGAGCACAGTTTGATGCTGAAACACGAGCAAATGAAGGACGATATCGTATCTGTGACGACAGAAGAAGAAGAAGAGGAGGATGAGGAGGAGGAAGATGATGAAGAGGAGGAGGAAGAAGAGGAGCAGCAGGATGAAATGATGGTGGCGGTGGAGGAGGAAGTGGAGCAGGAAGAGGTTCAGGACGGACTGCAGGAGGAGGAGGAGGACCCGGCTATGATGGAAAAAGAAGAGAGGAAGAGGAGGAAGAAGGCGAAGAAGCAGAGGAGGGAGGAGAAGAGGAAGGAGAGGAGAGGGAAACAGAAGGAGAGGGAGGAGCCGGAGGAGGACGAGGAGGAGGATGAAGACGGGTTGGAGCAGAAGAAGAGGAAGGTGGTGGTGGTGAGGCTGGGCCTGTTGAAGGGAACCTCAGAGGTGGGACGCTCCGACCTATCGGCTCCCTGACGATAACAGGCCCCGCCCACAAACTCACAGGCCACACCCTTATCTCAAAGCTGCACTGAGGCCCCGCCCACTAATGTTTCAGATGGATTCTGGGAACTGTAGGAGGCCGGCAGGTGACTGGTGGAGGTGAAAACTAACAGATTGACGTTCGGATCAGAACCGGTTCTGAAACCGGATCCGATGGAATCCGAGCCGCACCGTTAGACGGAGGCTCCAAGCCGAGCCTCGGTTCTGTTCAATGCTGGCAGATTTCTAACATTTGTAATCTGTAAGGAGAATAAAGAGCGATGACTGTTGAACTGCAGGTCGAATGCGGTGGTTTTTTGTTCGGGCTCCTCAGAACCTGGGCTCCTGCTCTCAGAGCGACTCGGTTCTTCTGAAATAAAAGCATGAAGCAAAGATCTGATCCCAGAAACCAGTCCACCGGGTCCAGCTTGTTGGTTCTGAATATATTTAGGCTGTGAAATATGACTGAAGCTCTGCAGCTCAGAATGATGCTGATGGAGTTTCTAAGGTTCCTACGATTTAGAAAGATGAGAAGCAGCAAAGAATATTTATATTTCTACTCTGTTCCCTTCCTCCTGTCTGTGTCCTTTATTCCTTGTTTCCTTCCTTCCGTCCTTTGCTCTCCTGTTCATTACGTCGATCCTACCTTTCCTTCATTGTTTCCTATATTCCTCGTGTTCTGTTCTTCCTTCCTCCTCTCGTTTCCTTTCCTCTGTCCTATCCTCTTCTTTACTTCTGTATCTCCTTACACCCTACCTCCTTGTTTGTTCATTCACTCTTTCCAACTGTCCTTGCTTTTTTTTTTTCTGTCCTACATCCTTACTCCGTCTTTCATATTCTCCTTTCCTAGCTACATATATAACAACTGGAAATTATGAACCATCAATTCCTTAATTTGCCCAACTGTTTGTTTAAAAACAAAGCAGTTTGTTTCCAGCTAATCAGGATCCGTCTATAGTTCAGTTATGAGCTCCTGAACCTCCAGTCAGGGGCAGATTTAGGAAATTTGGGGCCCCAGGCAAAGACAGGGCCCTCTGAGTTGAGAAGACAACACATCAAACAGACCCATTCTACAGATAGAGAAATGTTAATAGAATAGACATCCATTATCTCTTCTAGGTTGTGTCCCTCTCTTCTTGTCCCTTTTCTTCTTGTTTTCCTCTCTATGTTTTGTACTCAGCTGACTTTTCATTCTGTCTCTAAAGGAATGAAAGATGTTTTCCAAGCACTAAGCTCACTTAGCTGATTGCTCCTTCCTGTGTTTCCAAAAAGGCCAAAGTAAATAACCCAGTCCTTCTTTTCACTGTAGACAAGCCATGATCTGCTTCTCTGTTCTCCATTTTTCATTCGGATGAAATAATAGCTGCATGAATCATGACAGCAGACAAGATAGAGGAGAGCAGGAGGCGGGGTTACCAATCTACTTGCTCTGGAGAGCAGAGTTCGCTGCTTTTAGATGTTGTCTCCAAAGTCTCCAGTAGCAGAAAAAAGTCTAGATTTGGCGCTAGGAGCTTTTTAGAAATCAAAGTGCTAGAGGGGTCTGAAAAGTGACTAAATATAGCGACTAAAGAGCTAAGTTGGCAACACTGCTCTTTGCATGGTTTGTTTTCAAATGGTTTGCTGCTGTCTGTTTGGACCTTTCTGAACATGTGCAGCAAATGGACTGATCCAAGATGGTGGACACTGAAGGGGGGATGAGACACACTTAATATTATAAGAGTTCTGAGGGAATTTTAGCGAAAGGTTTTTTTTTTTTATCAAAAACGATGTGCACACAGGGAATATTGTATTAACTATACATGTTAACAGATTTTTATGGGGCCCCCAGGAACTTGGGCCCCTAAGCACCTGCCTAGTATTGCCTAATGGTAAATCCCCCCCTGCATTCAGAACGTTATTTGGATCATGTTGGCTCATTTTGTTCCTCTGCAGATTTAACATCCAAGGTTGAACTCAGACTGAAGGATTTCTATTTCCAGAATTTTTATATAATTTAAATTTGATTTAATTTGTCCCAAAAGACTTAGCAGGATTTAGCGGCTGATGAAGTATTTATTGTTTGCATATTTCAGGCTGTTTATTTGATTTTTGTTTCCCCATTAAAATCGACTCAGCTCTGTCTCCTTCCAGGTTCTTTGATTTTCAATCTTGATGTTTTTTTATGTGTGGACAGAAATCGATACCAAAATTCACCCAATTTGAGATTAGCAGTTATAACTTTTATTTTTGCAGTATGTAGGTTTAAAAAGAAAGATTGATCACATTTATTATGAGAATAATCAGCAGGTTTGAGAACAGTTGAACCCTTTATTATCAACCAATAGCTGTAAAGTGGCAGCAGACTGTGGAGCCTTTCTGAGATTTTAAATGCAGGCTGATATACACTCACCGGCCACTTTATTAGGTACCCCATGCTAGTAACGGGTTGGACCCCCTTTTGCCTTCAGAACTGCCTCAATTCTTCGTGGCATAGATTCAGCAAGGTGCTGGAAGCATTCCTCAGGGAGTTTGGTCCATATTGACATGATGGCATCACACAGTTGCCGCAGATTTGTCGGCTGTACATCCATGATGCGAATCTCCCGTTCCACCACATCCCAAAGATGCTCTATTGGATTGAGATCTGGTGACTGTGGAGGCCATTTGAGTACAGTGAACTCATTGTCATGTTCAAGAACCCAGTCTGAGAAGATTCCAGCTTTATGACATGGCGCATTATCCTGCTGAAAGTAGCCATCAGAAGTTGGGTACATTGTGGTCATAAAGGGATGGACATGGTCAGCAACAATACTCAGGTAGGCCGTGGCGTTGCAACGATGCTCAATTGGTACCAAGGGGCCCAAAGAGTGCCAAGAAAATATTCCCCACACCATGACACCACCACCACCAGCCTGAACCGTTGATACAAGGCAGGATGGATCCATGCTTTCATGTTGTAGACGCCAAATTCTGACCCTACCATCCGAATGTCGCAGCAGAAATCGAGACTCATCAGACCAGGCAACGTTTTTCCAATCTTCTATTGTCCAATTTTGATGAGCTTGTGCAAATTGTAGCCTCAGTTTCCTGTTCTTAGCTGAAAGGAGTGGCACCCGGTGTGGTCTTCTGCTGCTGTAGCCCATCTGCCTCAAAGTTCCACGTACTGTGCGTTCAGAGATGCTCTTCTGCCCACCTTGGTTGTAACGGGTGGTTATTTGAGTCACTGTTGCCCTTCTATCAGCTCGAACCAGTCTGGCCATTCTCCTCTGACCTCTGGCATCAACAAGGCATTTCTGCCCACAGAACTGCCGCTCACTGGATGTTTTTTCTTTTTCGGACCATTCTCTCTAAACCCTAGAGATGGTTGTGCATGAAAATCCCAGCAGATCAGCAGTTTCTGAAATACTCAGTCCAGCCCTTCTGGCACCAACAATCATGCCACGTTCAAAGTCACTCAAATCACCTTTCTTCCCCATACTGATGCTCGCTTTGAACTGCAGGAGATTGTCTTGACCATGTCTACATGCTTAAATGCACCGAGTTGCCGCCATGTGATTGGCTGCTTAGAAATTAAGTGTTAACGAGCAGTTGGACAGGTGTACCTAATAAAGTGGCCGGTGAGTGTATTTCTATAATTATTTCATATGTGATATCAGTGTCCCATCAGGACACCCCTTATTTCTAAAATAATATTTAAATCAGCCCAATCACAGCTTACAAAAAAGTTATTTTAGAAAAATAAAAATGTCACTTAATGATCCAGGCTCAGAATGGACACAGAGGCTTTAGTCATACTGCGAACATTTCTGAAATGGGTGTATTTGCCCTTAATTTGAAATTAATAAGGATGGATGGGAGCTTCAACCTTAAAATTTGACATTATGCAATTGAAATAATGAAGTTAATCAACTTTTTCCATTGGTAAATCATCTTACCTCTTTAAATCTTTTTTTCTAGAGAAATTGACTTTATTTACTGACTTTAATGTGGTTTTAGTTTAGACCCCAGAAAAACACTCATAAGGACAAATGTATTTTGTCCTTTTGGTTAAAGAAAAAGTCCAGTCAGCAAGAAATAATAAATGGATCATTATTTATACCTAAAACTAATGCTTCGAAGTGATTTAAATTTAGCGTTAATCAATAAAAAGCATTAAAATAATGAGTCGGGGAGCGGCCATTTTTGCCCAAATATAGTAACCCCTCCCTCCTGCCATCTTCCAGCAGTGACGTCACGGTGCGGTAAGCACCATTCTCCCCGCTTTACAAGCTAAATCAATGGGAACTACTAGACACATCTGCAATCAACAACAATTATGAAGATTTCCAGAGGACTTCACCATTGAAATTCACCAGAGCTATAGTGAAACTGACAATGCCCACGTGCATGGCAGCTGGATGCTGGAATACATCGGGTAAAAGTGAATAAAAGAGTTATTCCACCTTTCTGATTCCTGATCCTCCACGGACGGGTTGGTCGTTGGATCGCCAACTTGAAGAGGGAGGATTTGCCATCGAACTTCTGGCCAGAGAAAAAACCCGTAATATGTAGCCAACATTTGGAAGAAGAATGTTTTCAAGATGACTTGGATAATAGCGCGTTGTGACAAACACCAGATACAGCACTGGGACTTGATCAACAGCCGATACCGCACCGTGACGTCACTAACCAGTAGGTGGCAGTAATATTTATTGACAAAGCACATTCAAATGAAATTACTCTTAATTAAAAAAATTTATTGAAGGGTATGGAATAATAATTTCTTCTGAGATCCGACCCAGGCAATAAAACGATCCTTTTCTAAATCTCAGATAAGTTTGGCGGTTCCATTTTTAAAGCTACAACAAGAAGAACAGAGCAAAACAAAAAGGACTAAGATGATTTTATTCGTGTAACAGAGTCACTTTCCGTGACAGAAACAACCACTCAGCTGCTGCAGCTACAATAAATATTCCCGACACGCTTTCAGCGACCCGATCAGAGCCGAGGCGGCGAGAAGATGAAGGTTGAAGGTCTGGATGTGAGAGGCGGTCGTTAGAAGAGTGTGGAAGCTGGAGAACAAACTGCAGAGATGTTCTAAGAAGTTCTTGTTCTCACTCAGAAACTTTAAACCCTCGTTTCAATCAGGAAACTTTTTAAATCATTTAGTGAAAGAAACATTTCTATTGATTCTGCAGTTTGGTCCCAGACGTCCCCACAGACAGAGCAGCTTTTATTCTGAAGGGGAGGAAGGGAAAGGTGGAGCTGATCCGAACTCAGCGAGTCCACATAGAAGATTCATCCAGAAACTTGGCAATCAGGAGCGTTTAGAATTGGAGATTTATCGTATTTACACCGAGGTCGACTCTTCCTCCCGCCTTTCAGACGCCGAGGGTTTTCTTGACGGAGAAGATGATGTCTTTGATCTGAGGAACGCTGTTATCCTCCAGGATTTTGGCGTACGGCATGGGGATGTCCACGCCTGTTACCCTGGTAACCGGGGCGTCCAGATAGTTAAAGGCCGGACCTGAAACCGAAGAAGAAAGGAGAGCAAAGGTTAAAGAGCAGAGCAGGTGGGAGGCAGATCGGAAACAACTGGTGCGAAAAACTGTCCGGATATGGGGGGAAATTTGTTCCATTATTGTTGCAAAGTTTTAAAAATGTAAATTTGAAATAATTATTATAACATTAAAAAAGGATTTAAAGAAATATTTGCATTTTTCTTTAAAGTTTAGTTTTAAATTTATTCTGACAGATTCTATATTTTCAAATGTTATTTTTAATTTTTCTCTTTTCTAGTTAAAGTGTAGCAAACAGAATCCAAGTTATTTCCTCTTCATTCTGACATCCTAAAAACACAAAGCATCACTAGATGAAGTCAGTCCTTCCGTCACCTTCCATGACCCGTGCGCAGATCTCAGCTCCGACGCCAAACTGTGGCCAGCCGCCCTCCACCGTCACCAGGTGGTTGGTCTTCATCACGCTGCCTTCGATGCACTCCACGTCTAAGGGGCGGATGGTCCGGAGGTTGATCACCTGGAAAACATCAGCGTTAACAGGCGGCCGCGGGTCGAGATCAGACCCATCCAGCAGAAAACAAGTCGGTTTCTCTACCTCACAGTCGATTCCCTCCTTGGCGAGCACGGCGGCGGCGTCCAGGCAGTGACCGACCATCCGCGAGTGGGAAACCAGGGTGATATGAGCGCCTGAAGAGTAGAAGAGCAGCTGAGGAACAGATTGATCACACCCTCACCAGGATGAAGCCCGCCCCTCTGAGACGCACCAATCAGCTTTCTATCATCTGACCTCTGGTGACCTGAGGGTTGAGCTGCAGCTTCATTCATGACAAAAACAGATTCCACTCGGTTTAAATCCTGCAGTTTGATGCAAAGAATCACAACCAAACATCCAAATAGAGAAACTTCTACTTCTTCAATAGAAGCAGGAGTTTAAAAAACTAAGAATTTAATTAAAGATAATCTTCTCTCTAAATCAACACATCCATCCCTAATGGGACGGATATCCGCTCAGACAGCCAGAGATGATTAGAAGCAAAGCAGCTCAAGTTAAAAGACCCGGTTCTGGTTCAACGAGCCACAAAAATAAAAACCCCACTAGAAACCAACCGGTGCGTTTATCAGACGCTCAGAGAGATGAGGAGAAAATCAGACTTTTTTTCTACATTATTATATGTAAGCTTTCTCATAAATGAAATAATAACGCTCAAATAAAATAAAAATGCAGAAAATATTATACTTTTATTAAAATGGAAAAACTATAAATTGGTCAGAAATCAGAACCATCCAATATTTCCTAGAGCTGTGTTCAGGAAACAATTAGGTGACATTTTATTTCCCATCTATTAAACATGTTCATTCTTCCACGGTTTTCAGTCTATAAAAAAAAAAACAAAAAAAAAAAACCTCTCAGATGCATAAGATAACTGGAATGTTTATAGGCAAAAAAAGCAAAAGGTAAAATCAAATAAAGCTCAGATGATGTGTTGAGATAATCTTAAAATTTCAATTTTCTGCTGGTTTCAAAGCTAAATCTGAAACTTAATTCCTCCCATTGAGAAATTCCCAGAACCGAGCGGTTAGAAATTCAAGGTACTGTGGAGGATTTTGACCACTTCTTAAAAAGACCCGCCCTCTCCACTTAAAAAAAATGCACGTGCGAGGGAGTGCAGGAGCCCGTTTCTCCTCGTGAACGCTCCGTTTAAAAGTTGCTGTTCTTATGTCACCCTAACCCCTAAATCCTTCAATCACTATATAGTGAACTCAGTTAACTGACCGTTTGGACAGATGATCACTACTTTTTGCTCTCTGTTGGTCACGTAAGTCCAATGCACGGTCTTTGTAATTAGTCGCTGACAGCAAATCCCATAGTGCTTTGCAAGGGGAGCTCTCTGTGCAAAGCATTCTGGGATACATCTGCTGCTTCTGAGGCCTTTCTTTTCTTCTAAAACACTTCGTAGACACTTTTTCCTCTTCCGACCTTCTTTCTCTTCTTCTTTTCAAAGATCCGCAGTGAGAAAGGCTAGTTTCAATGACTGCCTGAAACCGTAGCTCACTACAGATATACGCCTGAAAGTGCGCCTGCGCAGAAAGGATAGCTAACAGGGCGACCACGTGGGACGGCCTTACGTAAACATGTCGCCACAATGATTGACAGTTAGGAGAACCACTTATTTAGAATATCCACCAGGAAATAACAGACCGTCCTCTATGCCTTTAAGTGTTTTGTTAAAGAATAGTGGATTATACTTAAAATTATTCGTAAGAAATACAGATTGTATACATTTTAAAATGAGTAAAATTGGTGTTTCAACTAATGTTGTGATTCTGGAAAATACTGGAAGAAAACTTTTCAACATGAACTTTGTCATGAAAGAGACTTTAAGGTTTTCCCAGAAGGCCCGGCGGTTTGTTACACAGATGGTCTGATCATCTGCAGCTTCATTAAAGGAAGCAGGAGGAGCGAAGCACGGCGTGGTTCTGATTCGCCACCGAAACGCCCGCAGAGCATCAGACTCACCTTGTCTCTCGATCTTTGCCTTGCCGATGGGAATTGTGAAGTCTTTGGACAGCGACTCCTCGGACATCTCGAAGGGAACGCCGTACATCAGCTCGTTCTCCAGGAACACCACTGCAGCAGACAGGAGGAACGGCGTGTTGCAGTAACCCATAATCAGACAATTACAACAGAATTGATGGATTTAAATATTTGTGCCAGAAAAAAATTGTTTTTATTTATGACCTTTTGACCCAAGAAAAGCCAGTTTTTCAATGGAATTACATCCCCATGGGCAATTACTGTTTGGTTTCAGGCTAAAGTGCCTGAAACCAAAAGCATTGTGACAAAACTAAATTCATAAATTAAACTAGATTCATACGGTCTTTTTCACAATAAGATACTTGTAGAATTTTTCTAATAGGTGGCATAATTTCACTGGGATGATCGTTTTCTTAAGACGGCAGAGTTTCTATGCAGTATCATCAGCGTGTTACTTTCTGCCTCATGTATGGAGGACTTTTCCTGCCAAAAACAAAGATCACGCATCTTAAATTTGACAGCAGGATTTCTTCTATTTGCGCTCAAAACTTCTACTTTCTCTCAAATATATTCTTCTCTCCATAAACTCTACTTCTGCTTTCAGGTCTGATGCTTCTTGCAGATATTTTCTCCTCTCGTTTAATTCCTCCTCCTCAAGGATTTAGTTGCTAAAAACTGTTGGAGCTCAGGGCAGCTGCCCGTGGATGGCTTCTCACCGGGGTTATCATCTCTGATGGCCGTTTTCAGGAGACCCCTGGCATCTTCGGCATTCCAGGGACTCACAACCTTCAGACCTGGACAGTGTGCGTACCTGCAGATCCAGAAGACGACGAGACAAGAACCCCATCAGAAAACCATTTAAAAGTACGGCGCCGATGTTACAGCTCACTCTGGACCATTTACAGAGGTGATAGGTGTTTTTTAACCCACCAAGCAGCGAAGCACTGGGAGTGCTGGGCGGCGACGCCTGCCGACGCTCCGTTGGGTCCCCTGAAGACGATGGGTACCGGCTGCTGCCCCGCTGACATGTAGTAGGTCTTTGCGGCGGAGTTGATGACCTGATCGATGGCTTGCATGGAGAAGTTAAAGGTCATGAACTCACAGATGGGTCTGAGGCCGGCCTAAGGGAAACGGAACCGCCACGATTAACCTTCATCTGACCGAAAAACCTTTAAGCTGGAACATCTGAAAGGCTGAGAAACGAGCTGTAAACGGGACTCACCATAGCCGCTCCGACTGCGATACCAGTGAAGCCCATCTGCAGCGGAGACACAGAGAACATGAGTCAGCTGGGACCAGCGTTCACTTACAAAGCTTCAGCTTTCAACACCAACGCTTACCTCTGAGATCGGAGTGTCGATGATCCGCTTGTCGCCGTATTTCTTCCACAGACCTCTGCTGACCTGCAAACGAACACCGCAGACTTACAGACAATCAACCACGATAAACAAAGCGGTTCTGTTGAGATTCTGATTAATTCTGTAGTTTTATTTATCTCTAATACAACTACAGCAGATACTTATCCCTGCACTTTCTGAGAACATTTGGGAAAGCAAAATGAAAGTTAGGGGAGACTCAGCTTCAAGCTGATTCCAGATGACGCGTCTCTCCGGGAACTCTGAGGTTCTGTAAACCAAACCTTCCTAGTTCTGATCTCACCTTGTAGGCGCCGTCATACTGAGCCACCTCCTCTCCCAGCAGGAACACCCGCTCATCCCTCTCCAGCTCCTCGTCCAGCGCCTGGTTCAGAGCGTCACGGACGGTCACCTGTATGACAGCGGCCACCTGTAGTTAGCGTCACTGACAGCAGGAGCAGCTGCTGCTTCCTCGCTTTATTCTAATGTTTTCCATACATAAGGTTCATTTTTATTTATGTGTTATGGCTGCCTTTCTGTAAATATTTACACTCCCTTCAAGATAATGGAGAACAAGAGCTGCAGGGGAGCATTTTCTCCTTTAAAATATTACATTTGGGAAAAGCTGCTTTTAATGAGATGCTGTGTTCTTGGATATTCAGTGTCTCACTAACTGATGTTGCAAACAGGCATTTTCTGTCTTTTACAAAAAAAATTGTTATTGGGGGAAGGTTTAAGTCTTTATTGATGTAACTTATTTTTTCTGTTCTCACCACTCTCTTTTTTAGGTTACCTGTTCAGGTGTTGCCATGGAACCACAACCATCAGCAGAGACCATCACAACCATCAGCCACAACCGTGCCATCAGGTTAGCAAAGCGGAACCATAACCAGAAAATCCAGCATCTGTTCCACGACGCCAACAACACCAGGAGCATGTGGCAAGGCATACGGGCGATCACAGACTACAACACGCCCCCTGCCCCGGTGGATGAAGTTGATGCTGACTTCCTAAACGGACTAAATAACTTCTTTGGGAGGTTTGAGGCACTAAATCGCACTCCAGCAGTGAAGGCTGTCCCACATCAGGAAGAGGAGGTTCTCTGCCTTGACACAGCCGACGTGTGGAAGACTCTGAGGAGGGTCAACCCGCGGAAGGCCCCAGGTCCCGACAACATACCTGGGCGGGTGCTCAAGGAGTGTGCAGGTCAGCTAGCTGGTGTCCTCACGGACATTTTTAACACCTCGCTGGAGCAAGCCACAGTGCCAGCATGCTTCAAGTCTGCCTCCATCATCCCAGTGCCAAAGAAACCTCAAGTCACCTGCTACAACGACTACCGGCCCGTCGCACTGACTCCCATCATGATGAAGTGCTTTGAAAGGCTGGTAAAGGAACACATCGTCTCCAGTCTCCCCCCAACACTCGACCCGTTCCAGTTTGCCTACCGGCGAAACCGCTCCACTGAGGACGCCATCTCCTCTGCTCTTCACCTGAGCCTGGCCCACCTGGAGGAGAAGAACACCCACGTGCGGATGCTGTTCCTGGACTTCAGTTCAGCGTTTAACACCATCATCCCACAGCACCTGGTGGGAAAGCTGGAACATCTGGGCTTCAACACACCCCTTCGAAACTGGCTGCTGGACTTCCTCACCAACAGACCTCAGTCAGTCCGGGTCGGTCAGAACACCTCTGATGTCATCACCCTCAGCACGGGCTCCCCTCAGGGCTGCGTCCTGAGCCCCCTGCTGTTCACCCTGATGACATATGACTGCGTCCCCAGGTTCACCACCAATCACATCGTGAAGTTTGCGGACGACACCACGGTGGTGGGCCTCATCAGGGACGACAACGACCGGGACTACAGAGAGGAGGTGGAGCAGCTGGTGGACTGGTGCAGTGAAAACAGTCTGATCCTGAACGTGGAGAAGACGAAGGAGATCATCGTCGACTTCAGGAAAAACCGCCCCCACCATGCTCCACTGCTCATCAACAGCTCAGCTGTGGAGGTGGTCAGCAGCACAAAGTTCCTGGGGGTGCACATCACGGACAACCTCACCTGGACTGTAAACACTTCATCTCTAGTGAAGAGGGCACAGAAGCGCTTGTACTTTCTGCGGAGGATGAGGAGAGCCCGCCTGCCCCCGCCCATCCTCACAACCTTCTACAGAAGCACCATAGAGAGCGTTCTGACCAGCTGTCTCTCTCTGTGGTGTGGAGGCTGCAGAGCTTCTGACTGGAAGAATGTGAGGAGGGTGGTGAGGACAGCGGAAGGAATCATTGGGGCTCCTCTTCCCTCCATTAAGGACATTTCATCACAGCGCTGTGTGTCCCGAGCCCGTAATATCATCAAAGACCCCTCACACCCCCACCATGGACTGTTCTCCCTGCTGCCCTCTGGAAAGAGGTTCCGCAGCATCCGCTGCAGATCCACCAGGTTGTGCAACAGCTTCTTCCCCACTGCCATCAGACTGTTGAACCTTTGATCCACAATCCGAACTCTGCACCTATTGCACATTATCGGGCATCAAATGCTGCTGAACTTTTAACTTTTAGCCCTTTAAATTGTTCATCTCATTGTATTTTTCAATAACGCATTTTTTGCACAAATGCCATTTTGCACTGAACCACTGCAACTTGCACACTGTCTCTTATCCTCTGCACTGTTCACACTTTGACCACTGCTGCACTTTTTGTATTTTTCTATAACTCGTGCCATTTGAAATATCAATGCAACGTTCATAAGCTGTATGTAACGCAATTTCGTTCTGTATGCACCCTGTGCATACAAAATGACAAATAAAGAAGTCTAAGTCTAAGTCTAAGTCTAAGATGATAAAGACCTGGTATTTCCAATCAGCTTCATACTGACTGAGAGGGAGGGGAGATGCTTTGGGTTTTGGAGTATTGTTGAGCTTCAATTTGTTTAATTTAATTGTAAATGTTTTTTTCCTCTAGAGGTTTAATTTAGTTGGTTGCTTCCAAAGAAAATGTAAATATTAAAGTTTCCACTCCTTAGAGATGATGCTTTAGAGAGCTTTAAAATGTGGGTGTCTTTTTTTTTTCTTTGTGCTTCTGCTGTGATTGAAGAGAGTGGAACCCTTAACTCTCTGCTTTGAAATGTAAGAAGTTTTTGGGGTATTTGTTTTTTCTTTTTACAAATTATATATATATATATATATATATATATATATATATATATATATATATATATATATATATAAACAGAGCTCTACAATTTTTTGATCCAGTCTGATGGGTTTTTTTTTCTTTTTTTGTGTGTTTTCTGTGCCCAACTGGCCAATTTAAGTCCAAAAGGTTCCTGCCTCTGTCTGCAAACCTTACATTCAGGGATGTCAAAAACAAACAAAGAAAATCAGTATTGCTAAATTTTACTTTTTGATTTCCAGGATGCAGACAGAAAGCTCTTTAACTTTGACCGGATTTTAGGAGAAACTTGTTTTATCTCAATTTAATATTTTTATCCTAAAGATGATTCCATTTCTCTGCTGGTGTTTTGTCAGATCAGCATACCTACAGGTGCTGGTCATAAAATTAGAATATCATGAAAAAGTAGATTGATTTCAGTAATTCCATTTAAAAAGTGAAACTTGTATATTATATTCATACATTACATACAAACTCATATATTTCAGATGTTTATTTTGTTTAATTTTGATGATTACAAATGACAACAAATGAAAATCTCAAATTTATCATATCAGAAAATTAGAATATTACTGAAGACCAATAAAAACAAAGGATTTATAGAAATGTTGGCCAACTGAAAAGTATGAACATGAAAAGTATGAGCATGTACAGCACTCAGTATTTAGTTGGGCCTCCTTTGGCCTGCATTACTGCAGCAATGCGGCGTGGCATGGAGTCGATCAGTCTGTGGCACTGCTCAGGTGTTATGATAGCCCAGGTTGCTCTAATAGTGGCTTTTAGCTCTTCTGAATTGTTGGGTCTGGTGTATTGCATCTTCTTCTTCACAATACCCCATAGATTTTCTATGGGGTTAAGGTCAGGAGAGTTTGCTGGCCAATTAAGAACAGGGATACCATGGTCCTTCAACCAGGTACTGGTAGCTTTGGCACTGTGTGCAGGTGCCAAGTCCTGTTGGAAAATGAAATCTGCGTCTCCAAAAAGTTGGTCAGCTGCAGGAAGCATGAAGTGCTCTAAAACTTCCTGGTATGTGGCTGCGTTGACCCTGGACCTCAGAAAACACAACGGACCAACACCAGCAGATGACATGGCACCCCAAACCATCACTGACTGTGGAAACTTTACACTGGACTTCAAGCAACGTGGATGAAGTGCCTCTCTTCTTTTCCTCCAGACTCTGGGACCTTGATTTCCAAAGGAAATGCAAAATTTACTTTCATCAGAGAACATGACTTTGGACCACTCACCAGCAGTCCAGTCCTGTTTCTCTTTAGCCCAGGCAAGACGCTTCTGACGCTGTCTGTGGTTCAAGAGTGGCTTGACACAAGGAATGCGACAGCAGAAACCCATGTCTTTCATACGTCTGTGTGTGGTGGTTCTTGAAGCACTCACTCCAGCTGCAGTCCACTCTTTGTGAATCTCCCCCACATTTTTGAAGGGGTTTTGTTTCACAATCCTCTCCAGGGTGCGGTTATCTCTCTTGCTTGTACACTTTTTTCGACCACATCTTTTCCTTCCCTTCGCCTCTCTATTAATGTGCTTGGACACTGAGCTCTGTGAACAGCCAGCCTCTTTAGCGATGACCTTTTGTGTCTTGCCCTCCTTGTGCAAGGTGTCGATGGTCGTCTTTTGGACAACTGTCAAGTCAGCAGTCTTCCCCATGATTGTGTAGCCTATAGAGCTAGACTGAAAGACCATTTAAAGGCTTTTGCAGGTGGTTTGAGTTAATTAGCTGATTAGAGTGTGGCACCAGGGGCCATCAATTTTGAACCTTTTCACAATATTCTAATTTTCTGATATGATGAATTTGAGATTTTCATTTGTTGTCATTTGTAATCATCAAAATTAAACAAAATAAACATCTGAAATATATGAGTTTGTATGTAATGTATGAATATTATATACAAGTTTCACTTTTTAAATGGAATTACTGAAATCAATCTACTTTTTCATGATATTCTAATTTTATGACCAGCACCTGTATAGTCAACACGCAAGATGTCAGATTTGCGTTTATCCCTTTAGTTTTGTAGGAAAATAGACTTTAAACTACCTCGATGGGTGTGCATCCCTTTAGTTACGTGCAAAAAAAAAACTACGCTTTAAAAACACCAAAAAGTAAGTAATTAAATAGCTTTTTTGTACATGATTAAAGGGCTACACGTCCGTTGAGGTAGTTTAAAATCTGTTTTTAATATAAAACTAAAGGGATAAACTAAAGGGTTAAAGGGGTATTGACTATGGGGGTAGCACAAAAAAAAAAGACTAATAAATCATATTTAAAGTTTTTTTATCACAAGCATTTGGCTGACAATAGAGCCATTAATAAACCTCAGTTAAGATCACAAATATCAGAAAAAAAATGATTCTTTAAAAAAAATATTCATTCAAAAACATGTTATTTTTTGTATCTTAAATTTAAACATAGGTTAAGAGTTAAAATAATAACCTGAAAACATATAAAATTGGATTTTCAGCGTGTTTTCTGAGAACAGTCATTAAAACTGAAGGATATTAGTAAATATTAGTGATTTCTAAAGTGAGTTTAAGGTTATTTAATCTGGTATAAACAGGTTTTAGTTACATGACTAGCTGTAGTGAGATGCTGCTGCTGCTGTAGTCGGCTAACATCTGTAAAAACATTTTGTTCCCAGACATTTTTCCTGAACAACTGAACGCAAACATTTAAAGATTTGAAGTTATTAAGTGTGTTTATCGGTTATTGTGTACCTTCAGCTTCATGCTTGGATTTTCATCTCATTTTGAACAGAAACTGTGTTTTATTTAACAGGTTTAGCTGCTAACCGACTGACCTGAACAGCGGCTGGAGAACTCCTGTGAAAAGCCCGCCGGCCAACCACCAGCACGGCCTGCTGTGGGGTGAAAAGAACCGAAACTGACACTAAACACCACCGAAAATTATTTCAAAAAACACAGAACCTTTCAAATATCCCTTACCTTTCCGGAGCGCAGAAGACACTTCAGGGACGTCGCCATCTTTGCCCTGTCCTCTGCCGGGAGAAGAGGCGGGGCTTCAAATGAGGCTAGAGATTTCATCCAATCAGAACAGCGGATCAGCCGCCGGTCGGAATGTGCTTTGACAGTTAGCCAATCACAGCCGTTCATCGGAGCGAGAGGCGGGAGAGTGAGCCATGGTGGAAGTGAACCCAAGGACACCGAGCTGCTGTCATAAGTATGGAAAGCTAAAGGTGCCAAAATACTGATAAACCAAGTAGAGAGAAAAACTCTGGTGATAGTTATAGAACTCAGCGTCCCACAGTGGGGACAATTAGGTGTATCAACAGAAAGGGAAAGTTTATAAATTAGACAACTTTTATTGTAATTTTGTATACACTCTGTGTATACAAAATTGTTCCCAATTGTTCCCAAAATTACGTTTGTAAAGCTTTCATAACATTACTATTTCTTAAAGTGCAGCAGTAATCAAATGTAAACAGTGTGGGAGAAAAAACATAGTGCAACAACAAAACACATTAATATGGAAGTTCATAGCATTAAATCTATATGGTGCAATTATGCAGTGTTTTGGTTTGATGTCAGTTTGATGCAGAATCTGTGACATTTAGTTTTCTCAACATTCATCATTCTGATGGCGGTTGGGGAAGAATCTGTTGCAGAACCTGCTGGTCCAGCATTGAATGCTGCGAAGCCTCTTCCCATAGGGCAGCAGGGAGAACAGTCCAAGGTGGGGGGGTGAGGGGTCATTGATGATGTCACAGGCTCGGGACACGCAGCACTGGGATGAAATGTCTTTAATGGAGGGAAGAGGAGCCCCCATGATCCTCTCTGCTGTTCTCACCTTCTTCCAGTCTGAGGCGCTGCAGCCTCCACACCACACAGTGAGACAGCTGGTCAGAACGCTCTCTATGGTGCTTCTGTAGAAGGTGGTGAGGATGGGCGGGGGCAGGTGGGCTCTCCTCATCCACCGCAGGAAGTAGAAATGCTTTTGTGCCCTTTTGACCAGTGAGGGTCAACTTAAAAGAAAATTCTGCAGCTTTCGAAAATCACATCCTCCGCAGCTAAGTGCACAGATTTTAAAAGTGTAAACAAAGGTTTTTGTGTGTGTGTGTGTATATATATATATATATATATATATATATATATATATATATATATAATATATAACAGACCATTAGGAATGAACACAAAAACATGATTACGGTAACACATTGAAGTCTGACGGCTACTGGTAGAAAGGATCTCTTTTGTGCACCTAGAATGCAGAAGTCTGTCACTGAAGGATAACAGCTTCTTCAATCGGGTGGAAGACCTTAACCAACAGTAATGTTATTTGTGCCATCGTCGCTTTGTCTCTCCAAACCTCCACAGGGAGGGACCGAGTTCCCAAAGAACTTACCCCCTTCCTCTGAGTGGTAGATAAGCTACTTATTCAAGAAGCTACAATATACAGGTGCTGGTCATAAAATTAGAATATCATGAAAAAGTAGATTGATTTCAGTAATTCCATTTAAAAAGTGAAACTTGTATATTATATTCATACATTACATACAAACTCATATATTTCAGATGTTTATTTTGTTTAATTTTGATGATTACAAATGACAACAAATGAAAATCTCAAATTCATCATATCAGAAAATTAGAATATTACTGAAGACCAATAAAAACAAAGGATTTATAGAAATGTTGGCCAACTGAAAAGTATGAACATGAAAAGTATGAGCATGTACAGCACTCAGTATTTAGTTGGGCCTCCTTTGGCCTGTATTACTGCAGCAATGCGGCGTGGCATGGAGTCGATCAGTCTGTGGCACTGCTCAGGTGTTATGATAGCCCAGGTTGCTCTAATAGTGGCTTTTAGCTCTTCTGAATTGTTGGGTCTGGTGTATTGCATCTTCTTCTTCACAATACCCCATAGATTTTCTATGGGGTTAAGGTCAGGAGAGTTTGCTGGCCAATTAAGAACAGGGATACCATGGTCCTTCAACCAGGTACTGGTAGCTTTGGCACTGTGTGCAGGTGCCAAGTCCTGTTGGAAAATGAAATCTGCATCTCCAAAAAGTTGGTCAGCTGCAGGAAGCATGAAGTGCTCTAAAACTTCCTGGTATGTGGCTGCGTTGACCCTGGACCTCAGAAAACACAATGGACCAACACCAGCAGATGACATGGCACCCCAAACCATCACTGACTGTGGAAACTTTACACTGGACTTCAAGCAACGTGGATGAAGTGCCTCTCTTCTTTTCCTCCAGACTCTGGGACCTTGATTTCCAAAGGAAATGCAAAATTTACTTTCATCAGAGAACATGACTTTGGACCACTCACCAGCAGTCCAGTCCTGTTTCTCTTTAGCCCAGGCAAGACGCTTCTGACGCTGTCTGTGGTTCAAGAGTGGCTTGACACAAGGAATGCGACAGCAGAAACCCATGTCTTTCATACGTCTGTGTGTGGTGGTTCTTGAAGCACTCACTCCAGCTGCAGTCCACTCTTTGTGAATCTCCCCCACATTTTTGAATGGGTTTTGTTTCACAATCCTCTCCAGGGTGCGGTTATCTCTCTTGCTTGTACACTTTTTTCGACCACATCTTTTCCTTCCCTTCGCCTCTCTATTAATGTGCTTGGACACTGAGCTCTGTGAACAGCCAGCCTCTTTAGCGATGACCTTTTGTGTCTTGCCCTCCTTGTGCAAGGTGTCGATGGTCGTCTTTTGGACAACTGTCAAGTCAGCAGTCTTCCCCATGATTGTGTAGCCTATAGAACTAGACTGAAAGACCATTTAAAGGCTTTTGCAGGTGGTTTGAGTTAATTAGCTGATTAGAGTGTGGCACCAGGGGCCATCAATTTTGAACCTTTTCACAATATTCTAATTTTCTGATATGATGAATTTGAGATTTTCATTTGTTGTCATTTGTAATCATCAAAATTAAACAAAATAAACATCTGAAATATATGAGTTTGTATGTAATGTATGAATATAATATACAAGTTTCACTTTTTAAATGGAATTACTGAAATCAATCTACTTTTTCATGATATTCTAATTTTATGACCAGCACCTGTATAAGATAGCTGATGCTACCAGGGATAAAGTCTTCAGGGGTGCCCCTGCACTCTTTCCTCACAAGGCAATACCCAATACCTGTCTATGGCTCTGAAGGGGTGTTGTTAAAGGGCCCTGCCTGGGGCTTTGCAGGCTAACTAAAGACGCCAAACAACCCCCATTCCAAAGGGTTGGACCTGTTCGTCCGTTTCAATTAGCATGTTTTCTAAAGGCTTTGTTGGGCTACTGTATAAAAGCCTCGAACTCAACGTTAATTCTGACTTTTTGAATTGAAAAAGCTTCCTGGGTGGGAAAGCGAAACGTCTTCAAACTTGGAAACAAAGTCCAGTGGATTGTTGCTTTTTTACATTTTGGGAATAACTATAACATATTTCAGCTCGTTAGACATTCAGCAGTGTCAGCAGTGTGGCTCGCTACTTGCAGAGGTCCAGATAAAAAAAGAATCATAAAGTCATAAAAGATGCTAACTCAAAATAAATTAAACCACAGGCCCTTACAAAATAAAGAATTACTCCAGTAAACTGCAGTAAAAAGATCACAATAAAGGATGTATTGTAAATAAATTTGTTTTTATTTAAGCATTTTAAATCCCCCCCTCCCCATTAAACGAAGCAATCTGATACATTTGCCACAAATATGTGCAATATACGACTCATTGTTTCCCTGAGCCGTTTTTAGGCAATTATTCATTCCTTTTCATCTTAAAGAGTTTGTTTCATTTAGCAGCAGCATAGACTGCAGACTCTGGAAATGTCGAGTGCTTCTCAGACCGTGCAGATCTGGAAATAATAAGTTCTGCAGATCTGGACGGATCCTCCTCACCTGTAAAGTGCTGCGCTGACAATCTGAGCTCGTTTTATAAGACCGTTCAGGATGCGAGGACCATCTCGTCTGTTGGGATTGCACAGATTAGTTTTTTTTTTAAACAAGAACTTGGTTTGATTTCAAACAAAAACGTTTTCCGGCTACTTCAGCACACAGATTTTAGGTTAAATCAGCTTCAGTTTGACCGGCGATGACTTTTTAGCTCCCAAGCAGAATCTGGAAGAAAAGCCAAAAATCCTTTAAGGATTTATAGTTTCATCAAAGCTGCAAACGTCAAAGCTTTGAAGCCGATATAAGATGTTTCTGTAAACTTCTGTTCCTTTGAGTATCTCCAGGCTTATATTAATGTCTGCTGCACACAGATCTGGTCAGAAGTGTCTCTGTGGAGGTAAGCGATGGTTGAGGCCTCAATGCACAGCTGAGGGAAGGTTCTTTAACTTTTCTACAAATTGAATATTTTTGGCTATGAGACAGAAATCAAAAAAGGTGGTTCTTTTTACTTTATAACCTAAAGCAGACGGTGATATAATCAATGGCGTTTTAAAATTCAGATTCTCTCTCTTCTTGCGGACTGGGCGACTGAGCAGAGAAACTGAAGCCGTCCTTCCTTAAAGAACAGCAGAGATCCTGGAAGCTGTTTTCCTGCACACTTCTGATCAGCTGGCTGAACATAAACTCCAAGCAAAGCTGCATTGACCTCAATTTCTATCAGAAATTGTACATCTGTGTTCTGAACTGTGGCAGGATTGAATATAAAGATCTTTATGTACCAAACTGTCACATGCAAAAAAAAAAAATAAAATAGACATTCAACATCTCCATCGGCGGAAGTTAGTCCATACGGCACAAGAAAATAAAACGGCAAAACTGCATGAAAATAAAAAAAAACCCTCCTGGGCTTTGAAATGAACCTTTGGCAACTATTGGATGAAACGGACCTCCAGCGTTTTCTGAAAGGTTCATTCATCCCAACATGCTGCACTTTAGAAAAACAAATGATTCCTACAGGAAAGGGTCAAATGTTTGTGTTGGATAAATAAAGGTTTTCTTTGGGCATCATGATTCCTCTTTAACCCCTGGCTCTACATTTCTACACAAGCGGTATCTCTGCTCACCTCTTTCAGTAATATTTTCACTTTTGGTGTTTTTTCAAGTGTCTCTGAAATCCTGTAAACTCTAAAAAAAAAATATTGAGGAGCTCAGTTAGAAACCTGCTCTGCAGGGGCAATGGTGCCTGACAGACACAGCTGAGGGTTTAGACAATCCCTGCTGTGTTTGGTCCAGATGTGGGGAGGCTTCAGAACTGGACCGTTGATTTTGCTCTCAGTCCGTTCAGAGGAAATCAGCTGCCTGTAGTTTAAATATCTCCTTTCTTAAATGACCGTCTCCATCATTTTAATCCAGCTTTAGCTGGAAAAGGTTTGGAAATGTCCCAACACAAATTTGATTAAGAAATGTTAATCAAATGACGTCTAAATAAAGCGGCTCTGATTGCTCAAGTCATATAATTTTAATTAAATACCTTTAGATTGTACCTGCTCACCTTTTTGGGATATTATGTGGGGGGAAAAAAATTTCATTTTTCTTTAAGGTGCAAAATTATCAAGTAGATTTGAAACTGAATGTAAAAATAAATGGTTCTAATCTGATTGTGACAGTTTCATAATCCCAAACTGGAAAAATATAAATTTTCAAAGATTAAAAAGAAGTTTTCTGTGAATTTCTGGAGGATATTTCTGCACCTGGTGGGCATCAAATGCAAAGCCTTCAAAACAGACAGGGAGTAACATCTCCTTCCTTTCTCTCACTTCCTTTCTTCATGCATTTCAAAGCCAAAGGAACAGAGAAAACATACCCAGACGGTGCTGGAAAGAGTGAAAACCCTTCTGAAGCTTCAAAACGTGAAGCAGATCAAGGCCTATGTTTCTCTTTGAAAATACGAAAAAACAACATCTTTTTTAAACAGTCTCAGCTCCGAGCCGCTCCACCAACAAGAACCCAACAGTATGGAAAACTACAGGACATTAAAGTTCCGATCCAGGGAATTCAACCTCGGTACAATCATAAACCCAGCAGCAGAAACTTTGACCTGCCAGAAAGTCCAGCCGCCACCTGGAGGGAACGCCTCACCTACCGACACCGGAGGGGAAAAAGAAGCTGAGGATTGTCCAGAACGTCTGTAGGCGGATGGATGGGAGTCCGGTTCTGACCCGTCCAATTCTCACAGCAACAGGTAAAAAAAAAGTTAAAAGAAGCAGAAAGAAATAAAAAGTACTTGGATTTTTCTGTTAGTGATTTGTTTTCACAGGGACGTATTGAGCACAGTGCAGAGGCGGCAGGTTGCCGTGGCGCCGGGTCAGAACTTGGGCGTGCTGCGGTCCACGGTGTCGGCCTTCTTCAGCTTGCCTTTGCTGAAGGTCTGGATGGAGCTGAGCAGGGCGGCCCGACCTCCTCCGGCGTCGTCTGAGGAGGGGGAGGGAGGTAGAGGACTGGAGGAAGAGTTGGGCACAGCGGGAGGAGGAGGAGGAGCAGGAGGAGGCGGAGGAGGAGGTGTGGTGTGGGGTCCTGGATGCAACACAGAGGAGAAGCATGAGAGAGAGAACCTGTCTGGGACCAGTTAGAGGATTCAAATAAAAGCTGCTTTTCATCTCAGATTTAGAGCCAGCAGCTTTCTGCTTTCCTGGTTCTCCTGCCGCTTCAGATGATCCTGGTCTGTAATGACCTCAACTCACAATCAGGGTTTCTAATTAGATCGGACCTGGATCGGTTCCTTCCAAACCTTTACCTCTAAAATCCACCTGCTGCATCATAGTTTCCTCACCAACACAATCATCCAACTTTTAACTCTTCTCCTGCGTTTCTCTGCCTCCTTGTTTTGCTTCTACTTTGGTTTTTTATGCAGAAACGATGCCTAAACCTCTGTTATCCCGTTAACACCGAAGCTGAACAGACTCTCCGGACGTGCCTCGATACACAGGCTCGTTCAACTCTTTTTTTTCATCAAGTCTTTAAAAGGGCCAATGGCGGCGGGATAAATGACTTAGACTTAGGAAATTTTGTCATTTTGTATATACAGAATGTATTCAAAATGAAATTGGTAAACACAAAATTTTTATACACAAAATGAAACTTTTTTATAATTCATAAAGTCCCATTTACCTTGCAGTTTTAGTCACTCTGCAAATAAATAAAAAAAGTCTCTATTCTGACATAATATGTTGCTTTGTTTTGGCCCTCGAGGGCCCGATAAATTGCTTCAAAGGGCTGGATTCAGCCCCCTGGCCTTAAGTTTGACACTTGTTCTGGACAATGAATCAATGAATGGGAATAAAATCCCCAATAGAGCTGAGGGAACCGGAACCAGAACTCTCCAGGTTTTGTGGAGGCTGGACACTAATGCTTTCTGGACAAGAGGCTCAGAGGACGCCTGTATCAGATCGGATCTTCTGAAGCGTTCCTTAGGAAATGTTTGGATTATTCCTAAGGAAAGGCACCACAGGAGCGGCTCAAAACCCAAGAGCTGCTGGTCTGTTGTGAATTTTTAGCCGTTTTGCATTCTCGCAGCTGAATGGAAGCCAGCGGCTGAGCTAAAAGAAGCAGAAAATGAAGGTAACTGCGACGTAAAGATCCAGTGGTTTGACAGCCGGAGCTAAAGAAACGTCCTCTTTCTGCTGCTGTGTTTGGATGCAAAATGCTTTGAATCCCAGTTTATCTCCTCAGAATACAGCAGAGATGGAGTTTCTCCAGGAAACCACCGACCCGCATGTTCTGCAGCTGCTTTCAGGGACTTTTCAAGCTAATATTCAGATGGGTCTCGACTTTTCCCTTTAAAGCTGCCACTGATCAGACGGAGGGTTCAGGAGCTTTCCATCATAAAGATGTGGAGCAAAAGCAAAACAGGTCCTCCCCCGTACTTAAAAGCAGGCTTAAGTTTTTGTTTTTGAACAGCTAAAGTAACACTTTGCAATAAGGCTCCCTTTTTAGATGGATAATTAGTTTAAAGATGTTTTATCTATCTGCAAACATCTAAAAACTCATAATTGTAAATTATGCATGCTAAGAAATGCGTTTATAAATGCTTATTGTGTTTCCGACACAGTAAACTTGTATGAGCTATGAAAAAAGCAACTTTTAAACAAAGCGTGCACTAGGAGAAATGGGCTCTTGCACGCATTTAATAGGCGTTTCTTCTCGGGAGCAGCTACAGGGTTTTGCATGTGCATTTTTTTGCATGTGTATTTTCAAAAATTTGCAAAAATCCTCCACAATACCTTTAATTATAAAGTGTTTCCAGAATAATTCAAACCGTATCTGTAAACCAATTATCCCCTACACATAAAGGGAGCCTCACTGTAACGCCGTACTGAGCTAAAATCTTATTCTCAACTGATCAAAGATAACTGTTCAAGTAGAGCAGAGCTGCATGATGCTAGAGAGACTGGAAACTACGGTATTATTGATGAATATTGCTGTGACCATATAATAAACGTAGCTTTCTCTAAATAGCAAAACAGATTATTTACAAGCCGAGTTTGACAGCATGGAGCCTGAAACTACGGAAGAGGATTAGGGCCACTGAAAAAAAAAAGTTAACTGATTTTTACATTTTTTTTTCAGTTTAACATGGGAAAAAAGTCAGAATTCTGAGATTAAAGTCAGAGTTCTGACTTTTTTCCCAAACTATACTGAAATAAAATAAAATAAAAATCAGTTAACTTTTTTTTTTTTTTCCAGTGGCCCTAATCCTCCTCCGTAACACTCCAGCCTAACATACACCAAATAGAATAGAATAGAACTTTATTGATCTCCCGATGGAGAAATTCATGTGTGACATCAGTTCTTAAATCATCTAAGAGAGAAACTGAGCTTAGAGCAAAGTTTTCATGATGCTTCCGACTACAAACTGTGTGCAGGGTGGAATTGGAAAAAGTTTAATGTCTGCAGTGGTTTAACAAACAGCCAAAACATTCAAGCATTGCTTTAAATCTCATAAAACTCAAATTCTGCTGCATCCATTTCTAAAAAATAGGAATTTTATTTAACTGATGCTTTTTATCCTCACTGAAAATTGTTTTAAGTGGGTCACAAAAAGTAAAAAATTCAGAAAATCAAAATCTAATGACATCTTTGATCAAATTAATTCTGGTTAAAATCAGACTAACGTCTCGTTTCTCAGTTTTTGATGACAAATATAGAAAAGCTGATTTGGGTCTTAAAGGAATAGTACACCCAAAACATGATTAGCCTTCATTTTCTACTCACCCCCATGCTGAACAACACTCTGGAGTACTTTTTTGATATCTCAAATGCATCTGGAGATCTGGGAGGCTTCTTGCTGTCTGCTGACATTCAAATAATGGAGGTCTATGGTGACCGAGACAGAAAGGTCCATAAAAGTCCACAAAAAACGTGTCAATATTCCTCCATACTGCTCGTCCAATGTATTCCAAGTGTCCTGAGTGGGTAGCATCCAGAATTTACTCGAAACGAAGTCATTTAGAATGTTTTTAGAGCATAAACAGTAGTGTATAGGATTTCCTGAAAGCGCGCACACGCGCGCTCACGACGCTACGGAAGCCGGCAGACCAAACCACCGCATTCAGCTCGGCAAAGAACTCATGCTCTTCCTCAACACTGAAGTCCTCAGACATTTTTCTTTCGTTGTTTCTTTCTTTGCACAGGTAAACAGCACATTTCTTCTTCTACGCTTGCATTATTGGCAGAGCAGACGCTGAATGCGCACTTTCATCTGGTTTGATCTGCCGGCTTCCGTAGCGTCGTGAGCGCGCGTGTGCGCGCTTTCAGGAAATCCTATACACTACTGTTTATGCTCTAAAAACATTCTAAATGACTTCGTTTCGAGTAAATTCTGGATGCTACCCACTCAGGACACTTGGAATACATTGGACGAGCAGTATGGAGGAATATTGACACGTTTTTTGTGGACTTTTATGGACCTTTCTGTCTCGGTCATAGATATCAAAAAAGTACTCCAGAGTGTTGTTCAGCATCGGGGTGAGTAGAAAATGAAGGCTAATCATGTTTTGGGTGTACTATTCCTTTAAAATAACTGAGCAGGACTGAAATAAGAGCTTTAATAAACCTGATTTATGGAAGAGGAACAGATTATGTGTGAAAAGCCGAAGCTAAAATAATATTTGGAGTTTGGAGGACGAGGGCCCATCGGAATATTAGACGATATAAAAAAATTAAATACAACATTTTGTGGTTGATCAGCTTCAGTAAAAAAAAAAAAAAGGAGAATGCAAAAATAATTCACAGCTGAGAGCAAATGAATTAAAGCCTAAAAGGTTGAGACATCATGTGACGACCCCCCCACCCCACACACACATAAACAAACAACCTGACATGCAGACAGACGGACTGACATCACAATCTGCAATGAAAACAGGAGGAAGGAAGCAGCCGGATGTCATTGGAGATTGTGAGGTTTTTTAAGAGCGTGAACGTAAACCCTGATGGCAGCAAGCACTGGTTTGATGACCTGATAACCCGACGGGTTCAACAAGAAGGGTTTGGATTAGCTTTAGGTGAAGTTACACTGCAAAAACTATCTAGAAATAAGTCAACATTTCTAAAATTAAGTGTATTTACCCTTAATTTGAGTAGGTAAATAAGATTAATTGCCAAAGGAATAAGCATTTTTACTCTTAAAATAAGAGAATTAGTCCCTCCTAGACGTCTCTGTGGTGTTCCCCGGAGGAGCTGGGCCCGGATAACCGAAAGAAGATGGATGCATGGAAAAGATAATTAGATAATAGACACTTGAAATAAGACAATGCAATTGTTTTTTTCTTATTCTAAACGTAAATTGTGTTGTTCCACTGGCAAAGTGTCTCACTTACCTACTCAATTCAAGAACAAATAAAACTTATTTTAAGAAAAAAATGACTTATTTAGATTTTCAGACTCAGATCAGCCTCCCTGTGGAACAAAGAAAAGCCACTGATCCAAGGTCAGGCCCAGATTTCTGTTTTCTAGAACCGTGACTTAGATCCAGAGTGTTACAGAGCCAGAAGGGCCGTCTAAAGCCCCTGGTTGTTTTTTCTTCTCTCACTGGTTGAATGTCAGGAACGTCTGGAAACCTGAACCCCAGAGGAGGAGGAGCTCTGATCTGACCTCCTCTCTTTTGAGACCATGTATGCAGGAGCTGGAGTGAATCTGTGCTTCTCCCAAACCTAAATCATCTCTGGAATGTTAGCTGGTGCAGGAAACTCTCCCATCCTCTGGACTGGACCAGATGGACGGTGTCCATCACCGTCCTCCCTTCAGTCAGGCAGGAGACACCATCAGACCCGAGCTCCTCTGGCTGAGTCCTCCTTCTTCCTGTTCGCGAAGCAGAGCCTCAGACTGAGAGGAGCTGACTTATTCCAGCTGCTTTAAACTCAACTGACCTACAGTCTGGAATCATGATGTGCATAAATCGGACACGTTTATCTCCATGGGTGCATCTTCAGATCCAGCTCTTATACAGAATGATGTTCTAGGACAAAAATCTTCCCTTGTTCTCCTGGATCAGAGGTCTGTTTCACCATGAGCCTCTTTTCTAACTTAAGGAGTGACGTTCCCAGAGAGGCTGAAGGAAGGCTCAGAGTCTGAAAGGTTTCCCTGCATCACTTTCAGCCAATCAGAATTTCCGTTTGGATTCTTTTCCTAGCCCAGCTTCAGGCGGCCATGTTTTTATGTCTGAACGTTTGTGCTAAGAAGGAGCTGGCTGACAGGTCAGGGTTCACGCTGGCTTTAAAAACCAAAAGACAGGTTCATCAACATCTTTGACATTATAATCGTTTTACTTTACCCAAAGACACGGTCAGAATGGAGCATGCTCTATGGTGGAGACGGCACAGGAAGAAGAGAGACAGGGAGATGACTGTTATCCGTCCATTAGACCAATCAGCATTTAGAGAACCACCAGTTAAAAAGGTAGGAGGAGACATGTGGGGAGGATTAACCGCTCGCTTCTTTCCAAGCAGCCACTTTCATCTAAAGCAGACAGTCTGAAGGGTTCCTCAACGTTTTTCTTTGCTTTTCCACTCTGTTTTGGCTCTAGAAAGCTCTAAAAGTATTCACACCCACTGAAAGATTTTATGCACATCTTGTTTAACTGTTTAGTGGAAGGAAAACAAAATGTTTTTAAATCAACTCTTGGAAATAACATTTTGTAGAACGGCCTTTGGCTCCAGGTTTTCTCTTTATGGGCGTCTTCTGCATTTTTAAAGCTAAAACCGCTCCTGTTCAGTCAGACTGGATGGAGAACATTAGTTTCCAAGTCTCTTAGTTATATCTAGACCTGGACTTTGACTAGGCCAGTCTGAGCCAGGAATCTGCTCCGATATAAACCGTTCACTGTATCCCTGTCTGGATGTTCAGGTGGTTCTCCTGCTGGAAGCTGAACCTCCATCTGAGTCTCAGGTTTTCCTCCAGGATCGTCCTCCATCCATCTTCCATCAACTCTGACCAGCTTCCCTGTCCCAGCTGGATGAGGGCATCTCCTCAGCATCATGCTGCCACCACCATGCTTCAGTGTGGATATGGGGTGTTGGTTTATGGTGAATGAAGAGACCAACTGTTGTTTCAGCTGACCTGAACACCTACATCCATATCGTATTTGTTTCTCCTGGTGGGAAACAAGACTGCTTCCTGATCTCTGGATCTCTGCAGCTCCTCCAGAGTAGCTATTAAGGCCAGAACACACCAAATCCGATTTAGCATCCGATCCAATAGGGAAGTCAACGGGGATGATCAAACCCGACACAATTTTACGCTCCACCTGACATAGAGCCCAGGTCTAATTTAGTTGGACTACGCAGCTATTCGGCAGGAATTTTATGGGTCTGATAGGAAGAGGATGTGCTTTTACAAAAACTCATCCGCTTTGGGGGAAAACACTAAATAAAATAAAATTTGTGAATCTCACAGGGAAAGAGTCAGTTTTGGCGTCATTGAGTATATAGTAAGTGGAACAGACTTGTGCGTACGGAAGCAGAGAGCGGTCATATTCGACTTTTTTTCCCCCTTTGCCTTCTCTAGATTACATAACTATCTCGTTATCACTTTTAAACCATTACTTGTTTTCTCAAGATAAGATAAATATCTCATTATCAGGAGAAAACAGTTATTGATTTGTTGAGATAACAAGATAATAAACCTGTATTAGTAATGAATGAGGCTGACCAACAGCCCTGGATTTCCACTCCATCCATGCCTGCAGGGCCCGTAGTTGTGTAGTTGCCGTACCGCGTGTGCGCAAATATCAGTTTTTTAGTTTCCAGTTTCTTTTTACTAATTGTGAGGTCATAGTGGATGATTGGATTGCATGGGATACAGTAGAAACAAATCTGTTTTAATAAAAATCTATAATCTGGACTCATTTTCAGGGTTAATGCATCTTATACCTGTTACAGGCATAACACCAGGGCTGTTCAGAAAACACCTGGAGGCATAGGGCTAATTGCTTATTAATTAGAAGTAGAAGCAAATCATCAACCCAACAAGTTGCCTCATTACCTAAAAGTTAAACACAGGATTATTTACAGAATTAAACATAGGCTGCCATGACTTATACTTATAAATCTTCTCCCACTGTTGTGGTATTGAAGGATGTTATCAGTTTTTACACACCAATCATCTTGTTATGACGAGAAAATGGCTTTGTTATCTTTAGATAATGAGAAAATTAACTAGTTTTCTTGAGAAAACCGCAGTGAAAAAGGATCTGAGGGACGTGCAAAAACAATCAATGAAACATTCAAAAATATAACGCTTTACCCATGATAGGAGTTCAGGAAGACAGTAAACTTCCCAGATCTTTCTGAGATTCACCTCTCTGCCTCAGTCAGCATAGAAACCGCCCCATGGTGTTTATTGCTGTGTTTTAGATCTTATTATGTTTTTAATATATATTCTCTATCTATTCTGGTTTGAGATGCTGCAGAGACTCGTTAAGTTGGGCTTTACTTTATAGCTGCGCCGGTTTAGTCAAATGTGGGAAATTGTTTTAATTTGTGTATAGCACAGAGACAGAAAGTGAAGAAAATCCATGCAGATCTGCTCGCCTTGCCTAGTCGGAGCCTCTCTATACGCAGTCAGTTTGACATGGATAAAACGATTCGGAACCAATGTGTTCAGGCCTTTAAACTCTTGGCTGCTTTTCTTATGTGGAAAATGAAAACTGTGCATTGTTTTCCTTCAGCCTGATGGTATAATTACTAAGTGGTGTGAGAAAAGCTGCAGGGTTGTGAATACTTTTGAGTCATTTCATCTGTTTGGCTGCTTAGAAGGAATAAGCATCTATGATAAAATAACCTGCGGGAGTCTGTGTGGATTTCTACACTAACGAGGGCTTGCCCCCCCAGTGTTCAGACGACAGTAACTAAACCACGCTGCAGAGGAAGATACCTGCCTGTGAGCCACTTGATGAGAGGAGACAGAGGCAGACAGGTCCAGTTAATGACAGAGTCCTCAGAATCACTCATGCACATTTTAAAAAGAAAATGTGTTTCTGATCTGAGCAGCTTGCTAAAATGCAACACAGCTTTTCTCACCAGTAGGAGGCGCTACCGTCAGAGTGGTACAGACATAAAGATACTTATAATAAAGACAGAGACGAGTGGACGGACAGGAAGACGGACAGGTGTACCTGTGGTGGAGGAGGGAGCAGGGGAGGAGGGACACGTTGGAGGGGAACTGGCTCCTGAACCTGCAGCAGACAGAAAACAACCATCTGAGACGCAGAGGAGAGAGGGGGAGGCCTGCAGCAGTCAGTCAGTCAGTCTAAACCAACCGTTTGCTTATTTCTGCCTCATTTTTCATCCCTTCCTTCTTCCATCCTATAAACAGTTGCCTAAACCCTGCAGAGTCAGTTTGCTTCTCATTTCAAGGTAGCTTCAAATTGAAGATAATCATGAAACGCTAAAATCTGATGCATAAACTAATAATACACCTGATTAAAACCATAATCATGACCGATTATATCCCCTAATTAGTGCTGCACTAATTAGTGCTGAAATCAAGACTTTAACCTGCTTCTTCACTAAAGAATATGATTAAGAGTTTTTCTAAATTTTCCTTGATTTGAGAAGACATGCAAGACAATCTGCCAAAGGAATAAGATGGCACATTTAAAATAATAATAATAATAAAAAAACTCTCTTCCAGTAACTTATTTTAACTGCATATGATCTAGTTGTCTTATTTTAAGGTTTAAAAAAAATGCTAATACGAGGGGCGTTTAATAAGTAATGCCCCTGACCCACTCCCAGTTGTTTGATCTAGTTGATATTTTGCATGTGCGATTATTTATATCTCTATAGATAAAGTGACAAACTGCAGCTCTGAACTAACTGTGGTTTCTGATTTACAGCAGTGTGAACAGCAGTGATTCGGTTTATGTGAGTGTGAAAGGATGCACGCCACGGGAGACTTTTGATGAAAGGAAAGTAACTTATGGGGATGAAGCCCCATCATAAGGCCTTACAAGGCCATTTAAAAACCGGATCACTGCTCGAAACTCAACAGGCTCCATTTCAGGCCTGTCACCGTTGAAACATCTGTAAATCATATATAACTATTAGTTCAGAGCTGTAATTTGCAACTTAATCTATAAAGCTAAAAATAATTGCACATTTCATCTAGATAAAAAAAAAAACTGGAAGTGGGTCAGGGGCATTACTTATTGAGCTCAAATTAGAGGAAATACATATAATTTAAGAAATCTTTATTTTCAGACCAATTTTTGCAGTGTAATATTGGATTATCTTACTTATAAGGGCAAAAATACTAATTCCAAGGAAAGATCATCTTATTTATCTGCCCAGATTAAGGGGAAATACACTTATTTTTATTGTATTTTTGCAAGGTTTCTATTCCTCCTCTTTCTTACCCATGATTCAGAGCTTTAACATCTTATTCCCCAATGATGGATGTCAGAGGTGGAACCTCATCCTTTTTAGTTTAAAGTTATAGTGATGGAAATGTTACAGTCAGCAAGGTTTTGCATCAAAGCAGCACTGTACTGAGCCAACGGCCACTGATGACCAGCATCAGTCAAACTAATTTCCTTCCAGAAATATTTAGCATAAGGTGAGAATGAAAGGAAGGATAAAGTCTGTATGGAAACTTAAGGAAAAAAAAGAGGTTTCATCATGTCAGCCATCAAAAAACAAAACATCAAAACTACAATATGGAGGTAAAGGTTTTGAACTTTGACCCTTTTTCTGAGCTGATGCTAAAAGGTTACAGAGTCTAATCCACTTCTCTGATGTCTACATTTTAGTAAATACATTTTAATTAAGGGGAAAAGAGAGCGGTTTATTAAGAAATATGAGCTTTTCTTAATTTGTGGTTGGAGTAGCTGGGAACCTACCAGAGTTGTTGTTGTTTCTGACTGAAACGTCCTCTTCCTTCTCGTACGTCGACTGTCTGCACTTCTGTAGAGACAGGAACAAAGGTTTGAATCCTGAATGCTGGTTTCTGCTCCAACTCATCAGAAAAACTCAATGTGCCAACATGTGTTTGTGCTCTCTGACCTTCCTCGCCAGGATCTTCCTCCTCTTCTTCTCCTCCTCAGAGCCGTAGTGTGACTGAGCCCGGGTCAGCCTCCGGTGCTGATGGATCTGTGGTCACACAGAACCATGCAGGATTATCCTCTAAATTAAGAAAGTTTTTTCCAGCTTACGATCACATGTTTGTTATGTAAGTTAGAGCTCTGCTAATGCTGAACGGATCCACCTCAGGGACCTTCAGATAGTCAGAGATGGGAGTTTGGACCCACCAGTCTTTGCTCTTCACGCAGCCTCTTCTCCAAACTCCCCTTAGCCTCCTTCAGTGCCTCCTTCAGCCTGCTGGGAACCTGGAGCAGAGGACACGTCAGATTTATGACCATTTATTCAACTATGATTCTAAAAACCTTCACATCACACCGGCCCTCACCTTGATCTGTAGCTTTTCTGAGTGATTGAGCCGAACGTCACTGAAGAGCCTGAACGATATAAAACAAGACTAAAAATAAATGATACATTTTTTGCTTGATATTAAGCAAGTGAATAAATTTAGTCACAAACGCATAACATCAAACGTATAGATTATTTTAATTATAGGCCTGTTTGTACAAGCCTGCTTTTATTTGAGCTAATAGATGTAGAAATAATGGAAGAAAATAATCTCTAATCATTTATTATTAATCTGGCAAAGGATGGGTTAATAAATCAGTTCTCTGTGCAAACAGAGATTAATTTGCTGTTTAATAATCAAAAATCTTATGTAAATCAGATGTGGTGTTCCTCAGGGCTCCCTTCTCAGGTCTGTTCTATTCCATCTCAGATTCTGCTGTCCCAAACATCGCCTGCCTCTAGTCTGATTATTAACAACTTTATTTTTAAAGTTTTTATTTTTAAAGAAAATATTTTCAGTTCTTTTTCATGTGTTGTTTTTGCTTAAATATGCAGTGTGTAACTTCTAGCTTTGAATTAGTTTTAGTCCGTGAGGCAGACACCCTGTCTACTTTTAAGGCTAGGCTTGAAACTTTCCTTTTCGATAAAGCTTATAGTTAGAGTGGCTCAGGTTATCCTGAGCTATCTCTATAGTTATGCTGCTATAGGTTTAGACTGCTGGAGGACATAGGGACCCCTTTTTCATCATTCTCTCTCTATTCTCCCACTCTGCAGAATCTGTTAGTTCAATCTCTAACGTTCTGCTCTCTCTGCTTTTTCTCATAGTAGCTTCTTCTGGTCTGATCCTGTTTTGCTGTGACTCCATCCTGGAGAGAAATATCAGCTGTGCTGCTGCCATCAACACCTTTGTAAATAGTAAACTTTCTAGACGGGGCCGCCTGTGGAGCTGGTTACAGTTGCCTTTTGTATTTGCTTCTTTTTGTATGTCTGCTTCTGTCTCCTTGAACCCCAGTCGGCCTCAGCAGATGGCCGCTCACACTGAGCCTGGTTCTGCTGGAGGTTTCTTCCTGTTAAAAGAGAGTTTTTCTTCTCCACTGTCGCTACAAACATGCTTAGTGTGAGGGATTGCTGAAGAGTCAATGAGTCAATGCAATCAACTGGTTTTCCTTAGATAGAAAACTTGGAAACAATTTGACTGCATGATCTGGTGAATTGCAAAGTGCCTTGAAATTACATGTGTTGTGAATTGGCGCTATAGAAATAAACTGAATTGAATTAGTAAAAACATCAAAACTGAAAGCATTTCAATCACTTAGACTGAGTAGTTTATAAATACATAGGTCGCTGTGGCCTCAGTGAAGGATGCCACGTATGCATCTTTGATTACGGTAACTGAAAGGGGACAAACTTGTCAGGCCTTCATGTGTTGAGGGTGTATATGACTGTAGATCACTCTACTAGATGTTTCCTTATGAAATGGAGAAACGAGAAAAAGCAACTCTGCTCAGCATAGCTTAGGTAGATGATCCAGGTCCAGGAAGTAAAAAGCCTACACACAGATTCATTTTAACTATCGGCATTTCCAGCTCCACAACTAAGACTATGAACTGAACAGGATGAAGGAGGACTAAGCAGGGTTTTTACTTTTTGGACATAGATTAGCCACCTAACACCAGCTAATGAGGGAGCTGTGCTTCAAAACGATAGCAGAGGTTTCAGGCTTTATGCGGGACAATGCAATATTACAAGGAAGTTTATTTTGTTTTGTTAGAAACAGGGCAACGTCGTCCAGCAGCTAATCTGTCCTCCCAGCAGAGATGGCTTCACAGAAGTCAGACCAGCAGACAACTGTAGCTATTAGCTATACTCCCGTACAACTCAAACACAGTTTAGTGTATTATACAGAGGATCAAGGATATGGAACAGTAAAATTGCTGCTAACTAAGTTGTCTGAACTTTCCACAAGGATTTGTGGTCTAAATTATATTTTAAATTGTTTTATACAAAGAAATGTTGTTTTTTTTGTTTTGTTTTTTAAACACAATATCATATAGAAGTCTGAAATGGTGAAATATATTTGTTTTTATGGAGACTGCCGCTCATTAAGCCCCTTGAGGGTTTTTCGGCAGTTGTCCATCACATTTTCTTTTTAAGTGAAACATTATTCTGTTTTTATGTTTTTGTTGTGAAAATAAAATAAATAAAAAACAAAAATATTAGCAGTAACTTGGTACCAAAAGCATGGAGAAAAATGCTTGTAACTTAATGGCATCGATAAAAAAATAAAAAAATAAAATAAAACAGCCTATCAAAGTTCTGTGCCTCTTCACCTGATGGGACAGGATGAGAACATGTTGCTTCCATAGTATTTATTACTTAATTAACTGTACCTCTCAGCTGTTTGCAATTCATTTAGCACCCCACTAGATGGCAGTAAATCTTAAGCACAGGAGTTTTGAATTAGTTATTTTAAATATCTTTATGTTAACCTACAAGTAAATGTAGTTCTCCATATTGTTCTTATATCTTTTCATTTATTTTACTGTGAAGCTCTTTGAATGATTTTATTTACAAACTGTGGATTTGGACCAAAACAACCTGAGGTTTGTGTTCGCCTGACTCTGCGCAGACTGAAGATGGAGGAACTCACGGAGTCTGGATGAGAGCTGGCACTGTGGGCATCCCGCTCTTACAGGCCTCTGTGGACAGGATGGACTGCAAAACCGACACTGAACACAAACATGGAGTCAGCACAGATGACAGGAGAGCCACTAAATAAAGGTTCAGGGTAATACGGACCCACGGAGGAGTGGGGGGCTGATGGGAAGTGATCGACGGGGACGCTGTCCGGCGGCCGGCCGTATGTCATCTCGTACAGTAAATGTCCGAAGCAGAACACGTCGATGCTTTCTGTGGTCTGAAGGTAAAAACACAGAAACACACAACTTCTACCATCTGATCCTTCAGTTTCTGCCAAATACTTTTAGTTTAGGTATAAATCTGTATCAAACCCAGCTCACATACATTGATCTTCCTCAGCTGTGTGAAAGCCGGCCTGAGGATGGAGGGAACTCCCAGCACGCCGTTCTCTATGTCCACTAGCCAACACACTCCCTCGTCAACCACAACGTTCGAGGCGTGCAGATGGCCGAAGAACAGGCCGCTGTCGTGGAGAAGCTTCAGGCCCTAAACGCAGACAAACAGCTGCAGCAGGACAGCTCCATCTGTTGTTTAATTCCTGCATCGTTGTGCGTTTTACCTCCAGGATCTGTCGGCCGTACAGTTTGATCTGCTCCAGCTCCAGGCCCTGGCTCTTCTTGGGGTTGCAGTACTTCTTCAGGTGACTCTCTCTGGGTTTTACCTAAACAGATCCAGGCGGGGATGGAAATGAAAAAAGATTATCATTTCAGGAAGCCGGCTGGATTCCATCCCAGAAACAGGGTTTACCTTGCAGATGTGGTCTCTCAGAGAGCCTTTTTCACTGAAAGGTCGGATGAGAAGAGCCGAAGACTCGCTGGTGCTCGAGAAAACCAGCGGACACAGATACGGGGTCTGGAAAACAGCAGAGTGGGGGAAGTTACATTCACTCAACTACAGGATCAGACTCTGTTCAGCAGCTTTAAAGCCGGGCTTACACTGTGATTTTTTGCCCTTTTCGGGGCGATTTTTCAGTTGTGTGAGAATTTTGCAATCAGGCCGACTGTCAGCCTGATTTTGCGTCCTGTAGTGCACAGGGGGTAACTAGGGGCGATCAGATTCAACGACCACCTCCCGATCAGTAATCGTAAGGTCGGGAGAAAATCAAACATGTTTGATTTTTTCAAACATGTTTGATCTTCTGGGCAAATCGCTCAGTGTGCAAAACAAGGATGAAATGCAGTTCTTTCTATAAATTGACAGACCGTAGTAGCCACATTTGCTCAGCCATGTCTTTGTCCAAATACGTCACCGCATTTTCTTTTTAGGGCTTTCAGCACAAAATCGCACAAATTGCCAAGGCAGCACGTTTCACTCTAGTGAGCTTCATATTCCTCTTCTACTCATTTGGTTTCCGGATAGACGAGTCCGAGTAGCGCCATCTTGCCCACCTGGTTTTTAGGCGTACAGTGTGAGCAGGTAGATTGCATCAGAGCATCGGACTGAACATGCATCGCGAGCTGTGAACTCACGCTGTATGACGAAACCCTGCATCGTACAGTGTGAGCTGTAGCTGCATGCAATGATTGAAGAAAAAAAAAATCGCAGTGTATGCACGGTTAATGATCAGAAGATTCCTGCAAAGTTCCAGCTTTTTTATTTCTTTATTTTTCTTTTTCCAGCGTTTTTATTCTCATTACACTGTCACAAGTACATAGCAACTTGTGACAGAGCGTATGAGTTAAATGCAGATTTGACACATCTCCTTGGGGAACAGTGGGCTGCCATTGTGCGGCGCCTGGGGAGCAGGGTGGAGGTTGAGGGTCTTACTCAGAGACCCAGAGTGGCAGTTTGTGGGAGTGGGGCTTGAACTCAGAACCTCAGGATTTCAAAGCGCAATGTCCTAACCACTAGGCCACCACTCACCAAGCAGGCATTAGCATGAAGGGTCTTGCCTCAGGACCCACACTGGCAGCTCATTCCCCCCCAGCTGGGATACGAACCCAAGACGGGTGACTTACCACTTGAGCTAGCCAGCTGCTAAGTCCAGTTAGTAGACCCAGAGACAGACTGAAGATTAGGGAAGGTTTACATGAGACTGTCTGCAGCCTAACATCTAAAGGGCGGCTTTAAAAAAACAGGACAGTACGGAATACTGTACAGAACATTCCAGGTTTTTCCCAAACCAGAACCAGACTCTCAGTGGTCTAAAGACCTGTTTTCAGATGAAGAGCTTCTGCTTCCTTCTGCTGACTGACCTCATTGAGATGCTGATTTCATCTTCTAACACAGCCTGGTACCGTTGTTCTGTCAGACCAGCATATCCATAGTCAATACCAGTTTATCCCTTTAATTTATCCCTTTAGTTTAGTATGAAAAATATGCTTTAAACTACTTCAACGGGCTTGTATCCCTGTAGCCATGTACAAGTCTTTGGTGTTTTTTTAGGCGTATGGTGATCTGACTTAAAATTTTTTTTTTTTTGAACATTACTAAAGGGATACAAGCCCCTTGAGGTAGTTTAAAGTCTATTTTTCATACAAAAGTAAAGGGATTAACGCAATACTGACGTCTTCTGATGCTTATCAACTATAGGTATGTTGGTCTGACAGAACAGAGGCCCATACCAGCTTTAATCACCATGGAAACACCAACAAACTAGAGAGTTTTTAAAAGAAAGGTGAGAGACACCAGAAAGAGCAATGTCAATGACCTGAATGTCGTCATTAAAACAACCCGGGCTTCCAGTGGACCTCAGCAGAACAACAGGCTGATCTCCTCCGCTCTGCCTTTTAAATTCATGCTAAACGTCAAGTAAATCAAGAACTGTCAGTAGGTCCATAACTACTTGTTATTAGTTTTTATGAGATATTTAAAGTCACTGATAAACTAAATAAAGGGTTTTTCATGGTGGACCAGAATCAGCTGTGAATTAAAAAAGTGAACTACACAAGTCAGTGGCGAATGGATCTGAACAAGATAGACTTTTACTCTAACCGTATTTTCACGACCATAAGGCGCTCCGTACTAAAAGGCGCAGTCTCAGTTATGTGTGCCATTACTGTATTTAACACACACATAAGGCGAACCGGACTATAGGGCGCGGGTTTTATATACCGGTACATGTCCTCTACTACGTTTAAATACCTCTACTGCGTATTTAAAAATAGAGCGGGAGCAAAACTGAGTATGATTGTGCTTTATTCATGTATTTATTACAAAGTATTAATCAAACCCATCAAAGTCATCATCCTCTGTTTCTGAATTAAACAGCTGTGCTAAATCAGACATGCCAATTTCCCATTCTTCGCTGTCAGAGTCACTTTCCGTGCAGCGCGGCTCCTCAGAAATAATGCCGGCTTTTGCGAAAGCTTGAACAACAGAGCCAGCAGACACGTTAGTCCAAGCATCTACAATCCATCCGCAAACGGTGGCGTAACTTGCCCGGCGCTGCCTTCCACTTATCCTGAAACTGTGGTCTCCGTCTGTCATCCATCGCTCCCACGCCGCTCGCAGCCTTACTTTGAACGGCCGCTTCACACCGATGTCGAGCGGTTGAAGTTCCTTTGTCAGACCTCCCGGGATAACAGCGTTCATTTGATTCACCTTTTTTTTTCACATCGGCTGTGAGATGGGCACGCAGTCACAGATTAACAGCGATGGTGATGCGTGGAAAAAACCACCTGGTCTCCTCACATACACCTGCCTCAGCCACTCTTTCATCATCTCCTCATCCATCCAGCCCTTTCATTTCCCTTATTAACGACTCCAGCTGGAAAAGTCTCGTTAGGCAAAGTCTTTCTCTAAAAAAAAATCACCATAGGTGGCAGTTTCTGTCCATGCCCACACTTCCTCCTTTAACGTTCTCATGGTGGTCTCAAGAACGTCCGCCGTAACGACACACATAGGGCGCACCGCACATTTTGAGGAGGAAAAAAATACAATTATATGCGCCTTATAGTCGTGAAAATAGGGTAATTAAATCAGTAAAATAAATCTTTTTATTAATAGTTCTGTCCCTAACCGATTCTGAACCACGCTGGCAGCAAAAAGCAGACGGTTGTCTGTCGGTGTTTTATTTTAAATAACTCCGCAGAGAAAGGAAAGCGGCTCATCATCTGATGCATTCTGGTTCCTGCTGAGGGTACAGAACAGGCCAGAAGTCCTGATCCGGTTTGCTGCTGCGGCTGCGACTCCGTTCTTCCAAGAAGCACAGGAAGTTATTATGGATGTTTCCCTGATGACTTTGCAGGTTTTTCCTAAATGTCCCAATCCCCCACAAACAGTCCAACCTTGCAGACGAACGGAAAGAAAATAAAATTGACAGCAGGGAAACCTTTCATGACGGGTAAGTCTAGCTCTGCTCACTTATCAGCTGGTTTTGTCAGAGGAAGCTGAAAGGAAAACAGAAGAGTCACAGCGCAGCAGTTTTCACGGTTTTCTCAAACAGTCGCTCACTGATAAGAACATGAACCTCAGAGCAGCAGAGCTCAAGATACTTCACAGAAAGTACAACTTATCAGCATAACTTAGCAGTTCAAATGGGACGGTACGTACAGATAGGTTGGTCAGGAGCTTCATGGTGGACTGCAGGTCTTTTTCAGAGAGGAATTTATCTGGACCCAGATCCACCTACGGACAGAACAAACACAGACGTTAAAAAAAAGTAAGAAAACCTCCAGTTGCTTTAGTTTATTGATTTAAAGGATAACAGGTTTCTGAATGTCCAGCACACAGGATAATAATGAGCTGAACCTGCAGGATTGAAGTCCCAAACGAACAGAAATGCCAGACTAATATAAACTAATCTACACTGACAATCAGAACCAACAGGATTAGGAAGGCGAAAGAGGCAAATATTTGGTCATAGCAGCTAAAATCTGTGGTTCTGAGCAGAGATAAGGACACATTTTCAGCAAAGAACCTTTTCCAGGAACCAGGGCTCTGAAGAACTAAAATGAAAGGTGGAAAAAACCCAGAAAATACTTTAATCTGTATTCTGTTCAAGCTTAAGAACCATTCTAAAGTTCCTTCTCGTTATTAGCCAACTTAATCTAATTAATGACTAGACCTACATTATAACAACTGTTTTAGATCTGGACATAAAAACTGGGTCCCCTAGAAACGTTAGCAGCAGAAGACCACATGGTAATCCACTGGAAGCTGCTGGTCATGAAGTTAATCCAAAATGAGTTTCACATTTCCAGCGACTTTGGAGAAACTCTAAGCAAGTTTCAGAGATAGAATCATCCGTTATTGTTTTAAAACCAAAGATCTGTGGGGTTTTTTGCCCACATAGCGTTTCTTTTGGTCTTTTGGTATGTGTGGCAGAGAATAATAGCCGAATAGTAACCTTAAGAGTCAGACATCCTACTCACCCAGCTCAACAGAAAGCGCTCTTTGGACTGCTCTTTGTTTTTGATGAGAAAATATTTCTTCCTTATCCTCCAGCCTGAAAAAAATACAAAAAACAGATAACAGAACTTTGAGTAAATAAACCAACATTACTTCAACCAGAACCTTTAAAATCCATTGCTTCTTAAAGCAGATCATTTTAAAATCAATTTTTCTGACTCATAGTGGAACTTTTCAGAAAAACCCACTAAAAGAGGAAGCAGTTTGTCTGAAATAACAGCTATGAATTCATTTCGTTAAAGCTTATTATGATCTGGTGTGAAACACATGATGTCAACAATGCATTTAGGGTAGGATCAAGGTCTAGCAGGAACACTAGTATGACCAGGAACTCCATCAGAGACGTCAGTGAGGCTTACCCATATCTTTGAGGGGCTCCAAAACCTCCCACTTTGGGTCCGACCTGAAGAACATGGAGACCTGCTGCAGAGCAATTTCTGTGACAGAGAGAGTAATTGTTTACACTTCAGTCTTTTTATAAAAAAAAAATACAGATAAGGGCCCTAAAACTTTAACGAGGGACTTCTATGATTAGTAAATACTTTCGACCAAAGAGCTGCTCCAGTTCCCAATGCAGGCCTGGATCCGTCTCTGATCACTCTGTAACTTCTCAGAGCGCCTCGCACTACGACTCGCCCTTTCTGGGCAAGTTCAGCAGAAAGGTTTGTGCAAACGCTCAAACCAACCTGTGTAGTTGGCAGAGTAGTTGTTGTGGTCCAGGAACTTCTTGACAAACAGGGAAGTAGAAATCAGGGGATGCTGGGTAATGAAGTCCAGGTAGGCCTGCAGTCCCCTCTGCCTCTCTGCTATGAACTCTCTGTCCATGTTTCCGATCAGCTTCTTCGGAGGGAGCGGCAAACTGATTCCACAGACCTAGAAGAAGGAAAACAAGAAAATCCTTCACATTCAGTCTGGAGAAAAACACCAAGAGGTTTGATTCTGGAAAAAGGAAATGAGGCGGCTTCCCAGAGACCAGAGAAATTTCCAACAACTGGGATCAAGACAAATCAAAAGGATGCAGAGTTGGTTACACATCATCAAGGTATTACAGCCCCCGTGTTTGCTCAAATGCTTCTAGTTTTTATCCAAGAAAGAGCTACAAAGATGCATAAAGCAGACTGGGCCAGCTGCTGATATCAGTTTTAAACTGGGTTTTAAAAAGCTTCTATTGCTAAATGTTACAATCTGCCATCATACAGCTCCTAAAGCTTACTGTACATTTATTGCTGCACAATGCCATTAAACTGACTGAAAACAATGCTTAAATAGCTATATTAAACAATAAAGGTAGGAAAAACATTATTACAGAATTCCTTACATAATTTTGGCACAAGTAGGACTAATCGATACATTCTTGTTTGAAATATCAATAGTTCGATCTTAAGCTATTTCTGTAATTATGCTGCTATAGGCTTAGGCTGGTGGAGGACATGGCGACCACTTCACATAATTCCACTTCATTCTGTCTCTATTCTCATTCCAACTCCTAATGTTTTTTTTTTTTTATTATAAAAAATACAAAATATTGAAAGAAAAAAACATTAAATTAAACACAGAAAAATCACTCATAAACCTAAAAAAATACATATATAAAGAAAACCAAAGAACAGTATTACTTAAAGACATAATGAACAGAATTTCCTAAAAAATACAAATATGGATTTTTAAGAATTAAATCAATCAAAATTAATGATAAATTTATTGTCAATTGTATCGGTCTGCGCCAGGTGACGTCAATGTTTACCTCGGGCGCGGTGCATCGTGGGAAAACCACCATAATAGGTGGAAAGTCGAGATAACCCACACGCGGCTGTTCTTTTGGCACAATTATTTACCAGAAATGACACGATCGTGTTGTGTGAGAGGCTGCCAGTCCCGGTGTCGTGCCAAGGTAGTTATCCCTGCGAAAATTAGTATCCCCTCGTCGGGAGCGCGCACGGAGTAGGAAGAACAGCCCGACTTAACTCCGCTTCAATTCCAACGTGCAGAACTTGAAATGTGAAAGGTTTTACGTGTATGAAAGTTGAGCTTTACTGTTTTATTTTTTTACTTCACGTGTTATAGCAGAATATCGCCAGTGATATTGATCTAAAACTAATAATAAAACACAAACGTTTGCTTGAAAGCTGGTCGCTGACAGCAGTGTCTACTCCTCCCTCTGAAGGCAAACAGATCCTTGTTCTTTTCCACACGTTCATTTAAAAAATCTCTCATTGTTTCACAGTATCCAAATGTTCTCATCCCATTGAAAGCTGTTGTAAACCATATACTTGTAATAAAAATGACATAGAAAATGGAGTGCACGTGTAATCATTAAAGACTATATGCGGAAGGAAAATAATTTTTTCCTGGTTGAAATTTAGTACTTAAATCTATATTTGTGTTTATAGTAACGTACAATTTATCTATGTTGTACTATCCTTAATAAACAGTTTGTCTTCTAACATCAGCCATTTTATTTCATCCCATTTTGCCAGAAATGGCAATATGGGATGAAATAAAACCTGCTGTAATCTGTTCCCCCTGTCTAAATCAGGCAAAAAAAGGCCCAATCTTTTTCATTTTTGGCTTATAAGCATCTTTTATGATGACAATTTATTCCTGAAACTTTGGAGTTGATTGACCTTTATTTCTTAAAGTTATAAGGGGGGAACAAATTATAGCAGGCCACCTGCTATAATCTGTTCCCCCCTGTCTAAATCAGGCAAAAAAAGGCCCCGGCTTTTTCATTTTTGGCTTATAAGCATCTTTTATGATGCAAAAAATGAAAAAGCTGGGACCTTTTTGGCCTGATTTAGACAGGGGGGAACAGATTATAACAGGTGGCCTGCTATAATTTGTTCCCCCCTTATAACTTTAAGAAATAAAGCTCAATCACATCCAAAGTTTCAGGAATAAATTGTCATCATAAACGATGCTTATAAGCCAAAAATGAAAAAGCTGGGGCCTTTTTTTGTCTGATTTAGACAGGGAGAACAGATTACAGCAGGTTTTATTTCATCCCATATTGCCATTTCTGGCAAAATGGGATGAAATAAAACGGCTGATGTTAGAAGACAAACTGTTTATTAAGAATAGTACAACATAGATAAATTGTACGTTACTATAAACACAAATATAGATTTAAGTATTTCAACCAGGAAAAAATTATTTTCCTTCCGCATATAGTCTTTAATGATTACACGTGCAGTCCATTTTCTATGTCATTTTTATTACAAGTATATGGTTTACAACAGTTTTCAATGGGATGAGAACATTTGGATACTGTGAAACAATGAGAGATTTTTTAAATGAACGTGAGGAAAAGAACAAGGATCTGTTTGCTTTCAGAGGGAGGAGTAGACACTGCTGTCAGCGACCAGCTTTCAAGCAAACGTTTGTGTTTTATTATTAGTTTTAGATCAATATCACTGGCGATATTCTGCTATAACACGTGAAGTAAAGAATAAAACAGTAAAGCTCAACTTTCATACACGTAAAACCTTTCAAATTTCAAGTTCTGCACGTTGGAATTGAAGCGGAGCTAACTCGGGTTGTTCTTCCTACTCCGTGCGCGCTCCCGACGAGGGGATACAAATTTTCGCAGGAATAACTACCTTGGCACATCACCTGTACGGTAATTTCGCATTCTGCTTACTTTTTTCCATATAGTCAGAGAAACAAACTCAATCCTTTAGTCCTTCGTTTAGCTATGCTGCGGTTGTTTACACTACGCCTTTTCCACCAAAAATGGCGTCTTAGCAACAAATGTCACGTGACTGGCGGAGACCGATTAATGAAAGAACTTTCTGAAACAAAAGCATTTTCAAACTCTGTGGCAGAAAGAAACTTAAATAACATAAACAAATCTCGATTAACTAAACTTTTAAACAACTTAATAATATTTAACTTTCTTTTCTCAAAATGCATAATGTTTCTAGCCAACCATATCGCCATCCTGGCATGACTTAACAAAAAATTATCGTCTCTCTGCTTTTTAACATCATGGCAGCTCATCTGGTCAGGTTCTGTTTAGCTTTCCGTAAAAGTTAAAAAAAACAATCCACTGGACTTGGTTTCCAAGATCTGAAGACGTTTCGCTTCCCCTCCAGGAAGCTTTCTCCAATGAAACGTCTTCAAATCTTGGAAACCAAGTCCAGTGGATTGTTTTTTAAACTTTTACGGAATGACTATGACCTGGATGACTGAGAATCTTCATCAGCGTTCTGTTTAGCTGTGTCTCCATCCTGGATGGAAATATCAGATGGGCTGCTGCCATCAACACCTTCAATTATGGATGAAAGAGTGGGGCATGTTTTTAGTGGTTAGTCCTGTTTCTCTCCTAGACATAGCCATGGACTCACCTTTTACTGTGACTAACTGATGTGCTCTATTTCATCTCTTTGACATGAAAACTGGCTCAGAGCCCATCTGCTAAACTGTTTCTTTCCCAGACGGATCCGGATCCACATTTGCAGCTGGTTTACAATTTTCTAACAGAACATATTTATAGATCAGTGCTTCCATGTTCATTTTGTGATTGTGCTTCTGTCTTCTTAAATCCTCGCTCACTCTGAGGCTGGTTGAGTTTTTTTCCTCTCCACTGCCACTGCATGCAGGCTCAGTGTGAGGGATTTCTGCAGAGTCATCAACACAATGCAGTGGAAGTCTACTGTTGCTACATGCTAGTCCAGGAGGAGCGAATCATGCAAAGTTAATGACTGGATGCAATCAGATGATTTTCCTTATAAAAAAAAACATTTAATCAGTCTGAAAGTATCACCTGATTGAATTGTCTCTCTAAAGTTCCTTCAGATACCATTTGCTGTGAATTGGCGCTATATGAATAAACTGAAATGAATAAATCTCCAGCTTTCTGGGTAAATACCAAGAATAGCTAATTCCAGCACTGGTGGGTAAATAAAACTAAGATTTACTGGTGATGGTGATTCTTCACATTCCTGAGATACAGCCTAAATGTTTTAACCTTCAAAATATGTTCAAAAATTTCCTAAAACATTTAGGAGTTCAGAGAAAAAGGGAAGAAAATAAAGAGTTGAGCAGAACCCAGAGGTCCACTGGAGTCTCACAGAGACAGAGTGAAATAGCAAAGCTCAGAGTGTGTCGCAATCAGCCAGCAAGGAGTTTGCTTAACCAGCCAAGAGGTTGGTCAAGCACCGGGTCACCCCCCCCTTCATACCCTGCAGTGATTCATTAGGATTCAGTTCTAACTTCTAGGTCTTTCCAACACAAATAAAAATAAAACACGGCTGTGAAAGAATAAACCAAGAGTATAAATGGAAGGATGGAAGGTTCTAAAAAGGATCTTAATTGGACTGACTGACCAAAATAAACACGGTTCTAGTTACCATTTAGCTCAACTTCTGTCACCTTTCTATCTTCCATGTCTTTTAAGTTTAAATGCTGTATATCCAAACATTTTTAGCTTTTTGCTTCGCTTTAACAGACAAATATCATCAAATGGTAATCAATTGCAAAGCAGAAACCCAAACCACAATCATTGCTGCAATATTGAGGTGAATAAAATCAACAAGGGCTTCATCGATTCAACATTTAACATCTAATGACAAAACAGAGAGAGGAAAACAATAAGAAGAGAGGGACAAAACGTAGAACAAATAATGGATGTCTATTCTATAAAAAGTTTGGGGCCCTAGTCTTTGCCCCAAATGTCCTCTGGGTTTCAGGCAATGTGAGCGTCTCAGACTTCTACTCTAACCTTTTGAGATGCATGACTAGATCGGCCCACCGTCATGTTTCTCTAACATCAAACAGAGGAAGTGACCTCTTCCATGGTGAGGAACTTTAACCTTTAACCCAGCGTTTATTGTGGTGAGACTAGAGTGAAGAGAGTGCAACTCACCATCAAGCTGCTGTTCAGGATGTCAAAGTCGCTGTAGCGGCGAATCACCTGCAGCAAACGGAACCACATCTGTCAGCTTCAGACCTCTGCATCTCATCTTTATTTCAATCTGAATTTATTTATCAAGTTATTAGAATACTATGAGACCCAAACGCCAAACACATCTCCTGACTCCAGTTCTACATCTAAAATTTAATTGGACAGCAGCGACATTTAATAGAATACACAGTTTAATTGAAGGGTAGAGGCCATTCTGGCTCCCAGGGAGGAGGAAGAGGAATCGAGGGAGCTTGTTTTGAATTATGGTCTGATTCCAGTTCTGTTCACATCCCCATGTAGACGGAAATCATTTCATAACCTGGTTTAGAATCAAAGATGTATTGAACATGATAAAGCTGCAAACAGATGCTGTGATTGGTGTGCTTACCTGCCAGCTGTTGTCTGAGGATACACCCCTCTGGACCCTGATGATGTACTCCTGAGACAAAGAAAAGGTCATGAAAAAGTCAGAAACATTTAGGACCACTTTAATACGACATGATACACGGCGTATTTATGGTGTTTGGTTAAATAAAAGCAAAAACCCCGAAGATATTTGTATTATGAAATTTAGGCAGGATCGGGATGAGGTGGCAATAAAGATGAACACAAAGAACAGTTTCTGCTAGAATTAAAATGTGTCGTTTTATTTCGCCACAGAACTCAGCAAAGCAAGCACATCAATCAAGGCACGGTGCTGAATACAAATTATATTGTCTCAATACAATTTATATTTCCCCCCTACCATGACACAAGGATCGGAGGGCCGGTCAATCCTGGCAGGACAGCAATTCGCGCAGCTAGACATCCGTACCCAACCCTAGCAGACCCCGCCAGTGCCAACCGCCATCCGTCATTTATCCCAAACTTCAAAGGAAAATCTTTCACCCAATCAGGAAAAGTGATCGCTTCCTCTCAAGCCTTGAGCGCATGATTATAGAAACCAAAATATGGAACGGGCATCCTCCGAACCCATCCAGGGCTCGTGGACAGCCGAAACCAAAAACACATGCATCATTCTCAGAGCATGGCACAGAGAGCTCGTGAGTACAAAAACAAATGATATCATGCTCTCAAGGAAACAGAAACTTAGATAATGAGAGTGCCTAGGTAATAAGAGTGCTTCATTTGCGATACAAAACTTGTATGATTGTCAAAGAACATAAAATATAAAACACATATATATCAATATTCAGCTGTCTGAGACTTGTGTTCATTCCCTACTTATTTAGCCTGAGGTCACCAGGGTCAAAGTCCTAATTATTACAGTTACAGAGGCATAAAACGAAAGGACAATGAAATGAGAAATGATGCAGTTAAAGGTATAGTGGAGGATATTTTTTTTTAAAGATCCGCCCTCTCCACTTAAAAAAAAAATAAAAATGTACATGCACAACCCTGTACCTACTCCTGAGAGGGAACGTCTATTAAACCTGTGCAATAGCGTGCAGGAGCCCGTTTTTCCTTGTGCACGCTGTTTCTAAAAGTTGCTGTTTGCATCGCTCATACAGGCTCACTTTCCAAAAGAAGATTTGCCATTTTTCCACCATGTCACTCACCCCCGGTAGGTAAAAATGGGGACGAGCACGTAGGACGGCCTTACGTAAACATATCACCAGAACGGTTGACAATTAGGAGGACCACTAATTTTGTTGATCCATCTGGAAAAATAGCCTCCTCCGCTAAACCTTTAAAGGATTCATTTATGGTCATGGCAACATTTTTACTGTTTAAGAAGATCGCTGTTATCGCCAAAGAGCAAAAAACATTATTTAACAAAACCAAATCTGTTTTTTTTCCCTTAACTAGTGGAAAAATTCAAATTTTACAGTTTATTAAAAAAAAAAGCGATATAGGTATATTACAAATATCTAACAATATATACAACATTTACAAAGGTCAGTGATAACATATACACTTTTAGGAACCAGCTCTAATGCAAACACGAGCTGGCCAAAGGTTCCTCGCTTCACACTAAATATGTAAAAACTGGCACTGAGGGAATGAATGCACATGCTGTCATGGCTTTGAATGTAATACAAAGAGTTCGTTACATATTTGCATCAAAGGGCTTCAAGGGGTTAACATTAAATTACAACTTTTTATTTCCTTATTTGAACTACTGATATGTGGTTTAGGAAGCTACATATCCCACATATCTAAAGGAACTGAGTACGATTCAGAAATGTTTTTAAAGATTTATCTCACATTCATAAGAGATGTGCTCCATCTGCACCATTATTTACGAGGTTCTCTCTACTTCTGCTTCATAAACTGATTACCGTATTTTCACGACCATAAGGCGCACCGTACTAAAAGGCGCAGTCTCAGTTATGTGTCCCATTTCTGTATTCAACACACACATAAGGCGCACCGGACTATAGGGCGCATTTTTTATATACAGGTACATGTCCTCTACTACCTTTAACCCATTTAGGCCGGGAAAGCATTACCGCATTTCTACCATTCAAGCCGGGGGCGCTGTTGCGTAATTCTACCATTGACGCCGGGAGAGCATATAAGTCAAGCAAGAAGAAAGAAGTTTTTTTCAAGCAAACATGGAGGAGTTTGACAGAGAAGAGATGTCGGAAGGCAGTGATTTTGAGGAGTGTGTCGGCTTTGATGACGGTATAGATGAAAATGATGACTTTGAACGCGCTGAACCAATCGAACTACCACCGCAATGCACGGAGTGTTTTCAACCGCACACCTGGAGTGAAAGTTGATTTGCCTGCAGACACCACACCGCTGCAGGCATTTGAGCATATTTTTAATGAAGAACTTTGGATGCATCTTGTTACCGAGACGAATAGGTACAGTGACCAAACAAACCAAACTCCAACAAGAGCAAAGATGGCAAAGTGGTCACCCGTGACTGTGACGGAGATGAAGACATTTATTGGGCTGTGTATGGGCATGGGACTTCTTGTGTTGCCAGTACGAAGAGATTATTGGCGACAGAGTAAACCTCTCTTCAGGACGCAGTTCCCCCAAAATATGTCCCGGGACAGATTTGTGGCCATCTGGAGGTAAGTTGTATGCAATTTATAACACAGACATATGCATTATTATGCATAATAATACTGTTAATAAGTAATCATCAGATAGTTATTTATGTAATGTTTGTTCTTTATTTTAAAAACGTTTTATATTGCACATTCTCAATGAAGACATGATCACATATGGAAAAAATAAAGGTTGAATTTTTTATTTTTTTATTACTGCTTTTCACTTTTTTTTTTGGAAGAATTTCAAAGATAAAATATATTTTGAGTTCTATCTGCTACAGAAGCTGAGATATCAATAATTTACTAGGCGTTGACACAGTTGCTGAATTTACAGAAAAACTTCAGGTTTTAGGGGTATTTTTTAAAATCGGCCATAGGTTTTTAAGGTGTTTTTTCCAGGCGTTTTAGGCCTAAATGGGTTAAATAGCTCTACTGCGTATTTTAAAAATACAGCGGGCCCAAAACTGAGTATGACTGTGCTTTATTCATGTATTTATTACAAAGTATTAATCAAACCTGCGAGCTGGCCATGAGACAGACACATCGCAGATGACACAGCGCTGTGATCACTCCTAAATTAACTTAAAATCCTGAAACCTGCCGACGGAATATGTTCGCTTTTATTACCGGTATCCTGGTGCCTGCACTGTAAATTATTTAGATGAAAAACACCTGCCAGCCGCCGCGGTGAGGCTGCTGTTGAAGGGATTTCTGCTGTCGGTGCACCGCTGGTATGTGGGGGTCTGAGCGCCTCCGACAGAAATAGATAATCTGGATGAACTGACTGCAATTAAGTTTTCAGGTGGCCTTTCTCACTTAAAAACATATTAAAACTACTTTATTCCCACTGATCACAGCAAATATAGCTGCAAGATTTAGATTATTTAGATGAAAAAACACCTGCCAGCCGCCGTGATGAAGAGGAGGAGACCCGGCCCAGAGGCTGCTGTTGAATTAAGTTTTCAGGTAGAAAAATAGAGCGGGAGCAAAACTGAGTATGATTGTGCTTTATTCATGTATTTATTACAAAGTATTAATCAAACCCATCAAAGTCATCATCCTCTGTTTCTGAATTAAACAGCTGCGCTAAATCAGACATGCCAATTTCCCCTTCTTCGCTGTCAGAGTCACTTTCCGTGCAGCGCAGCTCCTCAGAAATAATGCCGGCTTTTGCAAAAGCTTGAACAACAGAGCCAGCAGAAACGTTAGTCCAAGCATCAACAATCCATCCGCAAACGGTGGCGTAACTTGCCCGGCGCTGCCTTCCACTTATCCTGAAACTGTGGTCTCCATCTGTCATCCATCGCTCCCACGCCGCTCGCAGCCTTACTTTGAACGGCCGCTTCACACCGATGTCGAGCGGTTGAAGTTCCTTTGTCAGACCCCCCGGGATAACTGCGAGCACAGCATCCATTTGATTCACCATGTTTTTCTCATCAGCTGTGAGATGGGCACGCATGGAGTCACAGATTAACTGCGATGGTGATGCGTGGAAAAAACCACCTGGTCTCCTCACATACACCTCCCTCAGCCACTCTTTCATCATCTCATCCATCCAGCCTTTTTCATTTGTGTTAATATCATATGTCATCAGAGCGCTGTGTCTGTCTCGCTGTCAGCTCCCAGATCAGCTTCTCTGATTGGTTGATGCGGCCCGTCCAGCAGCAAAACTTCAATTTTTCCATCTCGAGCAGCAGCAGCGCGTTGGCAGATGCTTAAACGCTCCTGCTGCTCAAAACGCGCTGCGGGACCTTTTGCTGCGCCTATACGCGCGTCAACCATTGACTTTGCATGTAAACTCGCTGCTTCTGCTGCACCTGCTGGGTCCGGTTCACACCGATGTCGAGCGGTTGAACAGCGAGCACAGCGTTGATTTGTTTCCCCATGTTTTTCACATCAGCTGTGAGATGGGCACGCATTGAGTCACAGATTAACAGCGATGGTGATGAGTGAAAAAAAAACACCTGGTCTCCTTACATTCAGCCACTCTTTCATCATCTCCTCAATGAGGTGGTCTCAAAAGTCGCAGTTACAACACACATAGGGCGCACCGCACCAAAGGGCGCACCGCACATTTTGAGGGGAAAAAAAGATGTTTAAGTGCGCCTTATAGTCGTGAAAATACGGTAACTATCAGACTTCTGTGTTTATTACAAAAGTATTTGCACTAACCAGGTTCTCTCTCTCCCTCTTTAAATGCCTTTACTTTTACTTCTAACCTGCAAACTTACAGTAGTAGACTCATTACACATTAAGAGAGATTATCACTAAGACCTATGGGGGTTCTATGATTTGGAATCAATTTTTTTTATCGGAAAAAAGTCTGTCTCATATAAATAAGAAATAAGATTGGTGTTCTTCATTTAAACAGCATTTAGTTGCTGCCAGTATTTCTGCCATATCTTCCAATGTACTCTTAAAAAATCAGAAAAAATGCCTTTTATGTAAAACAGTTAATATTTTCTTATTGTTTACTCCATCTCCTCTGTTTTTATTTTATTACTGATTGTTTTTTTCTTCATCTCCTGTTCTTTTTATCGTTTTTTGCTAATCAAATGTTAATACTGCGTGTACTTTATCTCCTTGTTTTTGTTTTCCTTATTCGATGTTCATTTGTCAATAGGAGAAATTGATCTTGCTTTAACATCGATGGAGAGGAACACAAGCCAGTCGGCTTTTTCCCTCCTTGCACCATTGTTTGTAAAGAGGTCTGTTTAAATCAATAAATCAAATCACTCTAGTTTTAAGCTTTCCAGGTGATTATCTTAAGTTAATATCTAAGTGAGTTGATTTTATCCATTTAAGGTCTCTATTTGGTTGAATCTGATAGTAATATTCTAATAGATAATTAAGACATATCACATTTAGAGCAGATTTTCCTCATAATGACCATTTGTAATCTGTACTATATCTCAAACTCTTTAAGTGTCTCAAAAATTAGCTTTAATCATTATTTATTACATATTTTGTTTAAGAAAAATGGTTGTTTTTTTGCCACCATAATGAAAACATTCAAGCTTATGCTGGAAAGGCTGTAAAGCTGCATAAGTTTTGTTACAGACTATAAAACAATACTAACTCATTCACAGAGTTTATGGGGAGTATATATTCACGTTTCACACACGTATTGAGGACAGGAAAATGTCCGCTCAGAGGTTTCTGCAGAGAAGCTGCTGCTGACTCACATGTTTAATCAATGGGAACAAGGGAAGCAGACAGACGAGAACGATCTGGACGCTCTGATGGTTTCTCTGGTAATGTTGTGGTCACACATTTAAAGTAAAAGAGCTGACATCACTTCCTGAAAAGCTGCAGCTATTCCAGAAACCGTCCATTAGCGCAGCTCTGCACTGCATCTCTGAGGTGGGGGCTGATTGGATAACCGTCGGATGATGCAAACGTTAATCGATGTTCGTCTCTGCTGCTGGTTTGGATAAAAGCAGTTTGTGACGTCCCTGTCTCTTCTAACAGCTTATCAGTCAAGTTGGCCGTTTATTATCAGGAAAAAGTTCCACATATTTACCTTACTGACAAAAACAACAGAAAAGAGAATCTAGCTCAGCTGAAAGGAATCGACCTACAGCTTCAACGTCCAATCAGAATCCCTCCATACGCTCTGAACCTGCTGTCCTCTCCATCAGAGCTTTAGACTCTGTTAAACCTTAGACCTCAAGATATTCACCTTGATCTGATTCAAAAACTCCCTGAACTCCAGTTTTCCTTCAAACTACTTTGAGCTTCTCAGCAAGACTCTTCTGATCTGGTTTCAAGGGCTGCCAAAGTTTGTTACAGTTTTCTGTAGTAACCAGGGTTCCTTCACATTTCTATATTATTCCAGAACACTGACAGAGCTTTCCAGGTTAAATATGAATTCAATCCAGATGTTTCTACTGAGCAGAGGCATAGCCAGAAAAGGTTAATAAGGGTGGCCAGGCAATAACCAAGGTACACTGAGGAGATAGGAGCCAGAACCTCCAGGTCAATCTACACTGTTCCAAAAGTAAAATGAACAACCACCACATCCAGATTTTCTAAATAAAGACAAACTTTACTTTCCTACAGCCTTTGCTAACAAATAGATGCATAAATTTAAACATCCGTAATTTTTTTTAGATAAAAGGTATAGTGGATAAAACTTCAGTTTTGAGTTCTGGGGCGAACATCTTATTCATTGTCATTACTTACATACTTTTATTAATAATCATTCTGTAAAAAAATAATATTTACATGTACTAATATCTACATTAAATGGATTACTTATTATTAAATTAGTTATTTATCTCTGATTTCAGTGAAGATTACTAGATGACGCGCAAAAACAAATTTCTCTTTACCCCCTTACCTCTGAAAAGAGCATGAATTCTGTATTTATCATCTTTAATATTAGTATATTAATGTGTATAATTAGCCACAGTGTTTTTATTGTCAGGTTATTTTTGACATATAGAAAATTAAAATGTTAAATAACTTAAAACACTCAATTTGAGAGTCTTACTGCTGTCACCGTCTGTATTAGAGGGAAGAAATGGTAAGGCTGGCCAATGTTTGGGTAAGGGTGGCCATCGCCACCCCTGGCCCCCCATCTAGCTCTGTCCCTGGTACTGAGGTCAAAGTTTAAATGCAAACCCCGTAGAAACAGCAGAAGGAAAGATGGAGGGAATAATACATGAATGGATGAGAGGAAATAGAGAGGAGGAAGGGTTGAGGGACAGAAGGATGGACGAGTCCTACAGTCAGATGGAGTGATGAATACATGAAAAGCAGGAGGGAGGGGAGGATGAAAAATTAACCATATAATGCCACATGTATCGTATTTGATACATACGGTTTCTGAAATGTTTTGCGTCTGACACCTTTTGCATAATTTAATGGTAAAAACTTTGCTCAAAATCCTATTGTACACAATCAGATATACCTGATAACAGAGGCCAGAACTACACAAAAAATAATCTTGACTTATCGCATAGCAATAAATTATTAATATCAAAAATGTTTTTCTGTTTTTTCTTTTTACATATTTTGTTAAAAGGCCAAATAAGGAATTCAAACAAAAAAAAAGTAATTTTCTGTTTTGTTTTATTCTTGGATCGGGCTTTAAAGGGTTAAAGGAGAGACAGACAAAGGTGAAGAAAGAAAGGATAAATTAATGTTCAGTTTCATTATTGATGATGTGGAGAATTTGACTGGAAATCAAAAGTGAAACCAAACAGCTGTTATCCAGATACCTTAATGAAAGAGAAAAAGTAAACACAATCATAGTTCTTCTGTTATATTTCATCTACATTTTTGTAAACTACAACATGGGCTATATTAATAATTGGCAATCCTTTTGGGGAAATTCCGGTCCGATTCAGAGAGACAGCATCCATCCCACTTTGGATGGTGCAGCTCTTCTTTCAAGGAATCTGGCCAAATTTATGTTACCTTCTCATTACTCCATCCAGACAGTGTCTAGCCCACGACCAAAATCTAACAAATTAGCAAAGATTCCCAAACATGATAATATAATTAAAATTAAAATTAACTCCAATTGGGGAAAAAGTTATGAAGATTAAATGTGGTCTATTTAACATAAAATCTCTTTCCTCTAAACTTACTGATTACTCCAAAGGCAGTTAATAATTACAACTCTTTTTTAACATTTAAACTTTATATTTTTCCTGTAATCTCCGGTGTTTCTAGATGTTTTTCTATCAACTTTAAGCACTTTATTGTAAATTCTCTAATCTGAGTGTTTGATTATTTCCCATCCAGAAATGAGTCCCATCTAAAGGTGAGTAATCCTATCCATGCTGGACCGTATCCAGGTGAGAGATGATGTTCTGTTACACCAGCTGTCAACAACAAGCAGAGCCCTGCGTCTATTATCGGACAGGAGGAGCTGCTCTCCTTTTCTGGATTCTCTCTACTTAATCTGACTTAATCCTTCAGATCCGGAAACTCTTTAACACAAACTCTGATCACATCAGATTGTATCTTCTGATTATATCAGACCTCACTGTTCCCTTATCGCTCGATTGGTTAATCTAAATGCCAGCTGTAAGTTCAGACCCACCGATGGCTAAAACACAACTAACAACGGTTCTACTTTTTTAATCTAGGTTCCAAAAGTCTCGAAGAAACAGTTCTGGGATAAAAGTGTTAAAATTAGCAGGAAATCTCCCGGAAGTTGCCTAATCTGAGGTAAAGCGTCCGAGAACAGACTCACCCCGCAGCTCAGGTGATTATAATGAAGTTCTGACAGCTGTAATGGACGATTAAAGCGCCGTTTTTAACAACTGCGGAGCTCAGTTTGTGCTGCTTACGGTTAATAACGCGCAGACAGCTTCTTCTGACAACTAAACATGAACCTCTCCTCTGAGAAGTTCTTCGGGTTTCCAGAAACACCAGAGGGGGCCGCGCTGTGTCCCTAGCCGAACTCAGGCGCTGTTGGCGGGGTTAGTCCAGGCAGCACTCACCGTGTGGGACTGGAGCGTTTGGCTCGCTTCTATCGACGCTGTCAGCGGCTGCGTGTCGTCCAGCAGCAGCCCGCCGGGGGCTGGGGACTTATCCAGGAGAGACATCCCGGAGGATGGACAGGAAAGTCTGAAACGAAGCGTCCGTCGGCTGGTGACACCGAGGCGGAACTGCGCTGAGAATCAGAGGACCTCCGACAGCCAGCTGCCTGCTAGCCTGTTAGCCTGCTAGCCACTAGCAACACTGTGGTGAAACGACGCGATTCAGCGCCACCTGCTGTGTGGAGGGAGAAGTGTCTAAATGCATTAAAGTGGTGGTTTTCCTTAAACATTCCAACAAATTACTCCTAAAATAAGCAATTTTTTATTGGTTTTTTTTCTGACAATTGTCCCGGGAATTTTTCACGGTAAAAATACTACACGATTATCAAAAACTGCATAATTATTTACAAAGTTCTAACTAGTTATTTTTGTTCAGAAGCAGGATCTTTAGCTTAATCTGCAGCTGCCTGTAGAAAGTGGATATATGAGCCGGACTTTGCTGCAGCTGGTGTCACTGAAAGAAAAAAAAGATCAGCAGTGAGAAGACTAGTCCTCCAGTTCATTAAGCCCATGCTCAAAAAGCGAACAACAGCGCCACCCATGGGAGGGAAGGGCTTCTGCACCCAAGGGTGTAAGAATCTGGGACTATTTCTGTCTTTGAAGGTATTTTCCAATCATAAATATTTATGCTTTCATTTCAAATTCAAAGTTACAATGCACAAATACTAATGATTCCAATTACCTCCATATCTGAGCCCAAACTTCAACCTTCTTTATCCACAAACAAAACATTTTCAGTTTTAGATTGATTTGGAGACGACAGGCTTTGTTCCCTCAGACAGAGCTGTTCAGCTATGAAGAAAACACAGCAGACAATTAACATTTTCTGTATGAACAACAAGATTTTGGCATTACACGAATTTAGTTGTAATTTAGTGACCTTCATTAGTATAAAACCACTATCACTATACATATTGCAAGAGTAAAGACCCTGAATTAAGTTGAAAAGTAAATTTAAGCCTGTTGCAGCAATGTGCATATTACATGATGAGTGATTTTTTTGCCATGATGCTAAATCTAAAACATATAGTGGAGCTCTAGTGTATAACTTTGTAAGTTGCCGTGGGTGAATGTCATTTTTGGATTGATCTGACTTGACTCCTCTGGTTTTTGTAAAATAATTTTTTTATATTGCTTAGATGTTCTTCAACATGCAGCTTCCTACAGAAACAGAATTGGACTCAAAGGGTATTTTATTTCACATTTCTGAGGTCAGGTGGTGGGGCACGGGTTACTTGTTCAGTTTCAACGTTTATTGTTTCCTTTTCAGATATGATTTTCAAGTATATAATTATTTCTAGCCCTTTCTGGCTCCTCTGGGGGAAACCCTGAGGTGACCTACTGCAGAGGAACTCCCTTCCAGAAGAGTTACTTGCACTTTCCCTTGAAACTGGCTGTGTACTTGTGCGGTCTCATGTGATTGTGTACTCATGAAACGTCATCAGCCTCAGCCCTACTTCTGTTCCAATTCACAAGAACTTATATTTAAGAAAGTTGAACCCTTCATCCTCTGACATAGGAGCTGGCTCCCAGTTTGTCTGCCTGGCTGTGTGTTTTCTGGACGAGGCCACCTGAAGAGCTGGTTGCTTTTTGCATCTCTGCTTCTTTTTCTATGTCTGCTTCTGTCTCCTCACTGAGCCTGGTTCTGCTGGAGGTTTCTTCCTGTTAAAAGGGAGTTTTTCCTCTCCACTGTCGCTACAAGCATGCTTAGTGTGAGGGATTGGTTTCAAGTCAATGAGTCCATGCAATCAACTGGTTTTCCTTTGATAGAAAACATCGAACCACTGACTGGATGACGTTGAAATGAGACATGATGACATGTGTTGTGAAGTGGTGCTATAGAAATAAACTGAATTGTAATTGAATTGAATGTTATCTTTCAATGTTTTAGTTGTTTCAGCTCATACAGTTGGGTAACCAAATCTACAGCAATGATTCATACTAGAAAATGTCAGTAGTGTTAAAGGAAACATTTTAATGAGCAAACATCTTGTTGATCAAATGAATGACTTCATGTTAAGCAGAGTATGTGGACATAATTAGCCTAGTAAACTAGCCCTACCCCCCAGCGGCCAAAATCCTTTTTCGCCAGCGAGTGTGTAAATTACACATTTAATCTCACATTTAGTCTGGTTTATCAGGCTAGGAAATAATTGCATTATTGGGAGATAGTAAAGCACAAGTACCGTCAATTTGTCTGTAAATTGTTTGCAATTTTGTCAGACAACATTTCCCTCACTTTGAAACCATATCAGTGCAACATAGTTTTTTCGATCTTATAAAAAAGCCCCCTACTTCTAAAAAGCTAATTTCTCACTTTGTTAATCTTTTCAGTTCATCTCCTTCTACTAATCATATAAAAGAGGCCTGGGTTTCTGATACACTAGTCGATATTTCAGATGAGATGTGGAATTTGAGTCTGTCAAGGATCCAAACCTGTTCCATTAATCCTAGATAGCAACTTATTCAATTCAAGGTTATCCATCGTTTGCACTTTTCTAAAACCAAACTTAATAAGCTATTTCCACGTGTCTCTCGAATATGTGACAAATGTAAATCAGATAATGGGACTTTGGGTCATATGTTTTGCTCCTGCCCTAAGCTTATGGACTTCTGGTACAGAATATTTAAATGTTATAGTAACGCTTATGGCAAAGTTCTATATCTGGAAAACCATTTGATAATTCTGGGTTGCTCTAAATTCTCTGTTACTCTTCCCATGGCTCTGCAGCAGGCTCTAATGTTTGGTTTGGTGGTTACAAAACGGGTTATTCTGCGGGAATGGAAATCCTCTACCCCTCCATGCTTTAAGAAATGGCTCAATGATATGGTGTCCTGTATCTATCTCGAAGAAATTCGATACTCTTTGTCAGACAATCATGATAAGTTCCTAGATGTGTGGGGTCCTTTTAATAGACATATTCAAAATAATAAGTTAAAATGACTCTCAATTTTCCTGGACCTTTTTTTTTTCTTTTTATGATTTATTATGATTCATTATTATCTCAATACTGTCATCCTTTATTGCACTCCTCTTTTATTGATATCCCATGTTTTATGTTGATCCGCTTGACACAATGTCTCCAGAATTGTTTTTTGTCCTCTCTGACTCTGCCTCGTGCTTTAATATGCTCTACAGTTTGACCAGTACATCTTTTATCCTTTTTATAATTTCTCCAGTTTGCTGACACTGTTTTGTCTTGTTTTTTGTTTTTGCTGTACTTGTTTACTGTTTTGCTGTATTTTCCCCCTCTCTTTTGTCTTGTCTGTTTAACTCTGAAAAAGCATTAAAAAAAAAGAAATTGGCTGTAAATTGGGGAAACTTGTCCTGATGGTTTCACGTTAAACATTTTACAAAAATGACGTGGAGCTTTTATTTATTTCTTACTCGGGCAACCTGAGGAATTACACAAGAATTTTGACCTCAGGCAAAAGTGTGTAGTATTTCTAACGGTCCGTGAACGCAGCAGGACCGTTGCTCTTTAAAGGCGCATGAAAGCCTGAGCGGCGGTTATGTAATGTGGGTGAAAGAGGAAGAAAGAGGAGAGGAAGAGGAGTGAATGGAAGACAGCAGCAGGAGGAGCAGGACAGGTACGGTTCGGTTCTGCCTTTATTCTCGGTTTTAGACATTTTCCGTCTCTTCTTGCTGTCCTGGGTTTATATAACAAACATTATTCAGCGTCAATTAAAGGGACAGTTAAAGACATAAAGCGAAGTTTCCTTTAATGCTGCTTATAAACTGTCCTCTCTACTACATCTGTTCTTATTGTTACAGTTTTATTTATGCCTGCTGTTATGTTCCTGTCAGGGTAAGCAGGCTGTTTAATTAGGGTTATATTGAGGGTAAACTCATTCATATTCAAACTTATTTTAAATGAAATAATCTGCTGTTTATCCTTCTTGGACCTTCAGTCCCTGAAAATATTGAAGCTGAAATGCAGGTTTTTAGATCTGCTCTAAATGCTCCAGGGATTAAGAAGTTCACTTCAGAACCAGAGGCTCTAACTGGGCCTGTGGTTCTGGTCCAGGCTTATCTCCTCTGTTTCTGTCACCTTTATAGCTCTCTTGACCCCAAACCATCAGCGACCCACCTCAGTGTTTCACAGGAGGAATGATGTGCTTCTTTTTTTAGTCCTTGGAGACTCTAGACGCAGCAGTGATGATTTTGGCCTTAGACTTTAATTTTAATCTTCTCAGTTCTGCTAAATTTGTTCCAGATGTTTGTCTCTGTGCTGTAACAGATTTGGAGGAAACTCAACCATGCAGCCTTTTTTTTTTTTTGTCTCGTTTGGTGAGTCATAAAAAAAACAAAACACTAGACCAAATATTTTCAGAAAATTTCAATTCAGTTTATTTAAATAGCGCCAATTCACAACACATGTCATCACTTTATAGAGACAATTCAATCAGATCATACAGTCAAATTGATTTTGAAGTTTTCCATCTAAGGAAAACCAGTTGATTGCATCGACCCATTGACGTGAACCCAATCCCTCACGTCACACATATAGCGACAGTGGAGAGGAAAAACTCCCTTTTAACAGGAAGAAACCTCCAGCAGAACCAGGCTTAGAGTGAGCGGCCATCTGCGGAGACCAACTACGGTTCAGGAGACAGAAACGGAAAGATGCAGAGATACAAATAAACTTGTCAACACATAGCCACGCAGAAGCTCCCATGTCAGAGGATGAAGAGAGCACAACCAGTTAGTCACAGTCAGAGAAACAGGACTACACTGAAAAACAGGCAGAGCTCCGACATCTAGAAACAAAGGTGTTGATGGCAGCAGCACAGCTGATATTTCTCTCCAGGATGGAGTCACAGCCAAACAGGAACAGACCAGATGAAGCTACTATGAGAAAAAGCAGAGAGAGCAGAACGTTAGAGATTGAACTAACAGATTCTGCAGAGTGGGAGAATAGAGATAGAATGATGAAAAAGGGGTCCCTATGTCCTCCAGCAGTCTAAGCGCAGCATAACTATAAATCCCATATTTCATCTGAACTTAGATTTCTCAGATAACTTTCCATAAAATCCTTCTGTTTTTTAAAAGTTCATATATCTTAGGGAAGGCAAAAACCCCTACCTACCACTATGTGTTTTTTTTTTAGACTATACACTACCAGTTATTACAGTTAAACTGGGTTATCGGTTTCTAGCCAATTTAAAACAATGTGGGTCAATTTATGAGCCACTTTTTAAATCAGAACTTTCTCATCAGATCAAATGAAATTTAAAATTCTGGTTAGGATCATTTGTGTTGAAAAGAGAAGCTACTGTTAGTTAATAAATTATCCTCTCACCAACCTTGAACTAAAGGCTAGTTCCGTTTTTAGGATACTTTATTATATGCAAACCATTTTTAGAGTATGGATCAACTTTATATTGATAATAAGAACATAGATAAAAAATATTTGAAGTTTCAGAATACAGGTTTGAAAGAGCTTTACAAGATTAGAGACTAAAAAGCACAGATGATGAAAGAAAGTAAAAGCAGTCTGAAAAACAAATGACTGTGTGGTAACATACAATAAGATGCATGTGTCCTAAGATATAAAGCAAAATATTTATAAGTCGACCAAGAACCTTCTGTCAAAGAAGTAATTTTTAGAGTAAATCAGCGGGACCGATATCCTCAGGCTGCCCTAACATAGACGCTCTGCAATAGATTCTCAGTTTCTGGTCTTGTTAATACTTTTGGCCAGAGGCAGTTTTCTAAAATGGGACAAATTTACTCAGGGCACCATGGAAAGAGGAGCCTAGGAGCTTCTGTGCATTGAACTAGTGTCCTTTTAAGCATATGCTGTCGACAGTGAGCCGGTGTCCCTGTTTGGAGCCGAGAACCTGCTATATCTGAATTTTATCCAAAGCGGAGTCTAACTTTCTCATCAGGTACAGGGGACGGTAGATGGAAGAGCTTGCTTAAATAGAACCGTCACTGCTTCTAGATGTATTTTATACACTTTCCTTGATCAAACCACTGTATCATGTTGAGGTTGTTTAATCTTTACACTGGAAAAACGATCTAGAAATAAGTAAAAATGTCTTAAATTAAGTGTATTTACCCTTAATTTGAGTAGGTATATTAGATAGTTTGCCATTGGAATGAGTATTTGACTCTTAAAATAAGATAATTAGATAAAATGCACTTGAAATAAAGTGATGCAATTGTTTTTTCTTATTTTGACTGCAAATTGTCTTGTTCCACTGGCAAAATGTCTCTTTTACCTTCTCAATTCAAGGACAAATGCACTTATTTTAAGAAAAAATGACTTACTTGGATGTAGATTTTTTCCAGTGTAAGACATAAAAGCTTGAATTATTAAATTAAGATCAATTTTTAAAAAGCTTTGAATTGTTTTTTTCCTTTTAATGTTTGAATAACTGTATAAATCTATGATTTGGGTGAGTTTAAACATGATATCCTTCCAAAAAAGTACAAAAAAAATTATCTACTGGATTTTGTTTCCAAGTTTTAAGACGTTTCTCTTCCCATCCAGGAATCAGAAAAAGCGTTGAGTTCAAGGCTTCATAGAGTGGACCAAAAAAAATGCTTTTTTTTGGCTTAGAAAACATGCAAATTGACAATTTGACTTTCTGAATGTTTTAGAAATAAATACCCACCAGAACCCTCGCAGGATGCCAGTAAAAAGAATTTCTCCCCGCACACATTTGTTCTACGTTTGTGTTTTTTGGTTGATGTAATTGTTTTAAATAGTCAGGTAAATGCAATCTCAGGCAAAAATAACCAGAGGAAATACAAAAGTCAGTTTTACAGTCAGGATTTCATTGATCAAACTCAACTTTTGAAGACAAATGAAGACCGTTAAAGTTTCTCTTCTATGGAACAGATCATTTTTGCTTTTATTTATCTTAAACATAAAATTACAGAGAGATGCTCGGTGTCTGGGATCAATTTTCGGCCCTGGCATTTTTTCCATCTACACCGGCCCACTCATAGAAAATAGAAATAGAAACACAGTCAAACACTGGAAAAACGATCTAGAAATAAGTAAAAAATTGCTTAAATTAAGCGTATTTACCCTTAATTTGAATAGGTAAATTAGATAGTTTGCCAATGGAATGAGTATTTTTACTCTTAGAATAAGATAATTAGATAATATGCACTTGAAATAAGACAATGCAATTGTGTTTTCTTATTTTAAGTGTATATTGTCTTTAGGGTTGTCACAATACTAAACTTTTCAACTCGATACCGATACTAAGGAAAATATTTGATACTCGATACCATTTTCGATACAAGGATAAAAACAAAATTCAACAGAAATATTTCATTAATAAACACTATCCAATAAATAGATAAATAAATACAATAAACAATAAGAACAATATTTTGAGGTTGTATGCTGTGCACAATATTAAGCAAGCTTGATAAAAAACGTATACAATTAAAATTAAGTGTTCCTTCCTTGGCTATGCTTTGCAAACATAGCAATGACAAAAGCCAAACCAGTTAAAAAACAAAAATAATTCTCAGCAGCTGCACCTCTTACAAAAAAAAAGTCTGAAACTGAAAAGTGCGTAGAATTATTCAATCACACAGTGTTCTAAAGTGCATTGTCCTCTATTCTGCACTTTAGATGAATGACTGTTTAGGTGCCACTGGTGGTGGCACTGTATCGATACTTTTAAAAACGAGTATTGTATCCGGATACAACGTTTCAGTATCGATACTTTTTTGAGTATCGATACTCTTGACAACTCTAATTGTCTTGTTCCACTGGCAATATGTCTCTTTTATCTCTTTAATCCAAGAACAAATGCTCTTATTTTAAGAAAAATTACTTTTCTACATTTCGATTTTTTTCCATTGAACGCTTGCGTCTCAAATGTGAAACAGAATAAGAATACGCATTGCTGATTAACCGATCCATCTTCAAGCATCACACGACAACCATCACCAAGACTTCTATAATGCGGTTTTACTGGCTTTGGTTATTAACACGGACGTAACAGTGAGTTCTGCTGCGTGACGTCTACACTTGCACAAAGCCAGCCATACACCCACTCACACATACAGCGCCATCATTGACCTACGTTTTCCAGCCCAAAAGATTTTCATAAACCGCTTCAATATGAAATCTCGCCCAATTTGAACTAAAGTCTATTAATCTTTTAGGCCATAAATCTGAAGAAAATGTTTTTTTTACCCATAGACGGCCACCCTAAACTGCCAGATTGGGAAACATCCCAACCTGGCAACAATGCACGTAAGATGGGAAACATCGGCCTTTAGATGCAAAACCCCATCATGCACCGCAACATATTTTTGCAAAACATTAAAACAAAAACTCTGCAAATATAAGAGGAACATAGTACTTTGGTTTAAAGAAATTATTTTAGCTTTATTATAATTTTGTTTTTTGCAAGGATTTTACAGTTTGAAGACAGAAAATTACACCATAAGCCAACCGTCACAAGGATGTGCATGACAAGGAAGGGCTATATATACTGCATGCATCATTTAGGGAGTTAACATTGGATTACTTTTGAGCTCCTTGAGTTATTTACTGTCACAGGTAGGTGTTTTTCAGCCGGAGAGTAAGTGTTGGAGCTGGTATGATTTAAGGAGGGCCGACCCTCGCACGCTGAAATTAGGACGGGCCCACTCGGACCAATCCGAGCCTGCTGAGAGGAGAAGAATAAAGTTACCATATTTTTTTTTTTTTTTTTTTAAGGTCTCTGCATCAGCGATGGAGCTCAGTGTGGCTAAAACCTTAATGTTAACAGGAGGGGTTCTCCTTCTTCCTGTAGTTGCCTTTGTTACCTCCTACCTCTTCTGGCCCGGAGTGCTCCTGAAGGCCTATAACTGGTAAACACCACAGAATACACTAATGTTACACCTCATGTTCACTACAACCATTTTCTTACTGAAAACCAGGCTTAATTATTTATTTTTCCCCATTACCAATCCATATCCTTATAATCTTTTAAAGGGGTTTGGATCATCAGTCCTCTGTACGTTCTCAGAGTTCTCCTTAGGAAAAGCTAGACTGAGCTATTTGTACGTCACAAATTGAAGTGTCATATTTTAAGGAGGGATGAGTGGTTACTTCCTGAAGACCAGGGTCTAAAAGGCCATGGTTAGGAGAGACACTAGCTCTTCAAGGGATTAGTTCAAGCTGGCATAGAAGAGTGGTTCGGCAAAGCTGTAAAACTTGAACATTAGGTTGCAGGACGAGGTAGGAGGCTTTGTTGCATAGTACCGTTACTTGTTCAGAAGTCTGGTAGGTAGACTTTAATCGGGTTCAGTTCCATGAACAGTTCGTCCTGCCAAACCCCCATGTGTGGGAAACATGTAACATCTGTTTGCATCGTTTGCTCTCAGAAGAGGCTCCTGGGAACATCTTCTCAGCAGCAGACCAAATGTGTTTGCAGAAGTTCCTTAGCATAGCTTCAGTGGTTAGGGCATACAGCTTGGAATCCTGAGGTTCTGAGTTCAAGCTTCTCTCCCACAGACTGCTACTCTGGCTCTCTGAGCAAGACCCTTAACCCCACACTGCTCCCCGGGTGCCGCACAATGGGAGCCCACTGTTCCCTAAGGGGATGGGTTAAATGGAGAGGTAAAGTTCTCCAATGAGTGATTAATAAAGTTCAATTAGCATCGGCGTCGCCAGACCCCATTCACTGGGGCACGTGCCCCAGTATAAATGAGCTGTGCCCCAGTATAAATCTCATGAATATTTGCAACAGAATTACATTTTTTCAATACATTAATTTAGATAATTCCAACGGGAGGAGACGTATATTTCTACTCAAATGCGTAGCAAGTGTGTTGTTAACTCCAAATTGAGGATGTATTAGCGCCCCCACGTCAGCGCATGTCACTGCATGAACTGCAGGTAAATTAACGCGCTGCTCTCAACTGAGTTGGATGGGACACTGTGCGGCCGCGACGCATTTTTAGTTCTGGTAACGTTTCTTACCTGTCAATTTTATCATTTTCCCAGTGAAACCACATGATTTATAGGCTACTAACTGAAAATTACTGCATTGGTTTGTAGATGGATATCAGGAAATTCCTCACACGAAGCAGAGACAGGAAAGCAGTAAAACAAGATGAGAGAGAGGGAGGTAAGGTCCCGTGATGAATTAGTGATTTAAGCTAACTAGTTACATTAGGGACGTTATAAGCAATATGATAGATATTTACATAATTATAAATTTAAGTTTTTTAATGTTTGCTGTAGAGAATGAGAATGCAGGTGCTGGAGTAGGAAAGGGAGGAGGAGGAGAGACTGACAGGCAAGAGACAGGAGAAGGACAGGAGAGACAGGACCATGAAGGTGATGAGGGAGCAACAACCAGCGTCCACAAACAAGAAGGGGACATTAGTGACTTAGGGGGAAACATGATGGTCCTAAACAAGTGAAGTTGTCCCACCATCCCAAGGACAAATTTGGAGTAAAAAAACGTTCATTTAATTCAAAATGTTTTGAGCTTTTCCTGGTTAAAAAAGAAAGCCTTGTCATCGAGGATATGCAGTGTGTTTTCAACTTGCTTGATAACATCATGTTCCCAACACTAACGCAGGTCATCCAGATCATCCTCACCATCCCAGTCTACAGCTGGAGTTGTGAAAGGTCATTCAGTGTGTTGAGAAGGCTCCACACTTGGCTGAGGTGCACAATGGGACAAGACAGGCTCCATCATCTTGCTATTTTATCAGATGAAAAGGAAGAACTTTCTAACCTGAGTCACAGTCTAGTGATTGACCGCTTTGCAAAAATGAAAAATAGGAGGTACACTTTAATGCTCAAAAAATAAAAGGAAAACTTAGTTCGGGTTGAGTTAAAATTTCCCCTGAACTAAAACTCTGAAACCTAGGAATTAATGATTACTTCAGAATGTGTATAAGGAAACTTTTTATTTGTCAAAGTTGTTGATGTCTTATTTTTTATAGCTGCAATGTTCAAAATGTTCATGTTTGTTAAAACAAATATGCTCTTACACACATTAATATCTCAACTGGTAATTTTGGTAGGAATGTATCAGGGTTGGGCAGTGTGCTTGTCTGTATTTATGTATGGAAGGAGGGGCATATGCGGTAGGGGGCCAGTGCCCCAGTAAAGCTTTGTGCCTAGCAACGCCCCTGTCAATTAGCCAGAAGGAATAGCAAATGTCATCATAGGCTATGTTCACACTGCAGCCTGGAGTGACCCAAATCCAATTTTTTTTGCTCATATGCGACCTGGATCTGATATTTTTATAACAGCCTGAACAACGCAGATCTGATTTTTTCCAATGCGACCCAGGCTACTTGGCTATGTGGTCCTGAATCCGATACGAATCTGATCTTTTCGAATGCGACCTGTGTCTGAACGGCCAGGTCGCATTCACCCGACCTCAACGCCATTAAAACCCAACAGTGCTTATTATTCTGCATCTTGCTACGCAGAAGCAGCAAGAAAAAACAACAACCATGGATGATGATGATGCGGAGAGCAGTATTTATGTTTAACCATATTGAAAAGATTGTGTTTTTATAGTTGGAAAAGATCGCTAGATGCACGACGGCACTACCATCTATGTTTACTTCCGTAAACATAGAGCACACTGGCCTGTCTACTGCGCATGCAGGACACTTGCGTTGTATGACTGCAGTTCACACAGGAGATCACATACAAGTCACATATATTTGGAAAGCAAGAAAATCGGATTTCCCCAAAAAATCGGAATTAAGTATCAAGGCCTGCAGTGTGAACGTAGCCAAAGGCGAAGGAAGGAAGAACCACGTCTCTTCCCAACACAGCTTCCAAATGGTAACTCCAAGTTGACCTGGGAGAGCAGCTACAGTTCCCAGACACGATCATAAACTCTAAGGCCACAAAACACCTGATCTTGCTGGAGTTAACAGTGTCCTAGGAAGTGTTGATTGGAACAGGGCCAATAAGACGAAGGGAAGCAAGCACCTGGCATTACTGAATCCTTTTTAGGGCCCAAGACTTGAACCAATAATAGTGGACTGCAGAGGATTTGCCGGTTGGTCCCTTCGTGGAGTTTGCAGCCGACTGGGTGTTACAGGCACAGCTCAAAAGAGGCCCAGAAAACCAACAACTGAAGCCACAGAGAAAGCTACAAGATAGCTGAAGGCTAACCCATGGGTCACTGCTTGGATGCACCAATGGATCGGATGTCCCATCCTATTAATAACGCTAGTATAAAGCCAGTCATCACTTTAGCAGCCATTTTCAGGAATGGTGATGTGGACATAAAGTTTGATCACATAATTATGGCAGTTATTGCTGTATTTCAGCTGACTGGCTTGGATCATCCCATCATGACTCCTCTCATGCTATGCTGATGATAGCGAGCTCTGTCTGTCATTCCTGCCTGTAGATCACATGGTCTCAGCATGAATCCTAGATGGGTTTTTCTGAAATTTCAACATGGAAGAACGCTCATTGCCTCCACTGAAACCTCCCTAAAACTTTTTAAATACGTCAGGAGGAGTGAGAAGTTTTTCTTGCTCTTACAGAAGAGCAAGACAAGAACTAATTTATGTCATTTTGTTCGTTCAGTCGTGTCATTGGACAGAACTTAAAGAACTGCAAGACTACCTTTAAATATCATGTTGCTTCTGTGGTTTGTAGATGCTTGGCTTTGTAAAACATGTCCAACCCAATGCGCCCCCTAGCTCCTGGTGCAGTCTGTTGTCACCTAGGAGAACTGCCACACCGTCCTAAGTGGCCTCCTATTTTGTGCAATCATCTAAATTCCCCCCTCTGTTCATTGAGCTCCTCTGGCTATCCTTAGCCACCCACATCTGGTTTATTTCGCTGACCTAAACATGCAATTGCTGGGCTCTACAGCTGCATCATCTCCTCTGATAGCACTGCATTAGTGGCCTTCCTTATTGGTAGCTTTAATATTACCTGCATTGTCACATCCTCCTTTGTAAATTTCCTTTTGACAAAAATAATAGCTACGTATCTGTGTATGTTGGTCAAACAGGAAATCGTCTCTCTGTTTTGAGGAAAGAACAGTTTTTAGCCAGAATCATTCATATACAGCAATGTGTGATTGTTCAGTAAAATTAAGTGAACATTTTAGACTTTCTACTTTCCTGACTTTTAAACTAGGAGATTATGATCATGATCACTGAAAATGATCACCAAAAAAAAACCAACCATAAATCACTAATATCTCTGAGGTTTAATAACATTATCAGCTAGTTTTATTTAATTTGGTCTGATGAAGGCATATGGAATAACCTTAATGTAATTAAATGTGTGTGAAGGGTCAGGTCTGAGGTGGTTGGTGACGCTGCAAGATCCATCAATGATCTTTGGACTTTGTTCTGTCCTCCATAAAACTAAACGGCCAAAATAAGGCGTTAGATAAGCTTCAAAACTATAGACCTTGAACCCGATTCCTATCAGTACATTTGCCTTATAAGGCAGAACAAATTAACGTTATGGATATTTCTTTATAACTGCCTGCAGGAGCCACCATGGGACTCATAAGACTTTCATTTTTAGCTGCTTGGCCACATGATATTTAGATATTAAGCAACAGATGAAATAACCTTAGATCTGAAAGGGCTTAGAGATCCAGCATAGCTGTTGTGCAAACACTAAACCCACAGAGCTGCCTGCTATGCATGATGAGGATCAGGAGTGTTTGATGGCTGTAGAGTCTGCTGAAAGGATAATGGAGGTTATAAAATGATTGCATTTCACAGATCACATTTCCTTCACTTCAAGCCCAATGCTTGTTCTTCACACGAACATTTACCAATAAAAAAAGTTGTTTTTAGCATCCATGCAGACCAAAGAAGTGCCTCTTTGTTCTTTGCTCCAGAGAAAAGTCTCCAGAAGTGAAGAGAATCTGATCTATAAAACTCAGTTGGGAAAAAATAAAATAAAATAAAAAAACAAACTTGAAAAAAAAAAAAAATTAAACAATAAAACTTAAGACATTTTATAAAGATTGTTTCTGGACTGCATTTTTTTTATTTCCATTTACACAGCGTGTTCTTTGCTTACAACTATAATGGAACAAATGTCAATTCTTATCAAGGAAGCCATTAAAAGATCCAGTAGATGCAAAACACCCCCGACTTATAGCCTTTGAACCTTCTCACATTTGGAGCAGCAGGAATATGATTAAAAACGCCTTTTAGCATATACAGATGTGGAGAGTGTGATTTTACTAGTGATGTTATGAGATTAAGCGAGGCTTCGAGGCATGTGTTGAGTAATGGAGGGGGCGTTTCCACGAAGCGTGTGTTGAGGCGTGATTCATTTAAAGGAGGGGCCAAAATTGACGACGTCCGAGGCCTCGCTACCGTGAAACCACGTGACCGCTTCGGGAAGTGATTCAGATAGTGCAAGAATTTTGACAGGCATCTAAACAGCCTCAGTGTTCAGTCAAGATTATGGAGTTTGGAGGAGAGCTGCTGTCAGCTGGATAGAGTTTGGATAGATTCTAAGAATAGATTGGTTGCTTTTCCAACCAATCTAGTTGCTTAAAGCTAATTTGGTTAGAACAAACAATGTAATGATCAAAATCTGAGCAAACCACCGGACAAAGTCCGTTTTAAGAAGTATTTTCTCTGTGGTATGGGTCTCTGTATAAGTGGTGTCAATTGTAAAACTCAGACTCTCACGCTAGACGCAGGGGTGTCAAACTGGTTCCAGAAAGGGCCAAGTGGCTGCAGGTCTTCTTTCCAACCAAGCAATAGCAAAACAGACTCCAGTCATCTCATCAAGTCATCATGTTCAGATTGGACTCACTTGATGAGATGACTGGAGTCTGGTGTGCTATTGCTTGGTTGGAAAGAAAACCTGCAGCCACATGGCCCTTTCTGGAACCAGTTTGACACCTGTGCGCTAGAGGTTGATGGTTCAAGACCTGTCTTTGACTTTTGAAAGTTGCGATTAAACTTAATTATTTTGGCTGATGAGACTAATTTGCATTGTTTTGCCTGAGTAAAAATAGATTGGGTAAATTAGGTCGGTTTAGCCAAAAGATTGGTTGAATCATGTTTGAATAAAAATGACTAACTCCTTTCATTTTGCTCATCATTACCCAATTTGCACAAACACTTTCACTGTCTGCTTTAGTTTATTTCACTAAAATGGCAGTAAAACTGTGCGCCTTAAATGATTGTTCTAAGAAATTTTACGCTTAAAAAAAAAACTTACAAAGGATTTCATTATACACACCAACCATTAACAATTTCAAAGGAACTTAAAAGGGGAAAAAAAGACAAACAATTGCAAAAAAAATCACAGATTTTATTACAAACTGTAGTTCTGCTGTCCACCAGTAGGTGGTGACATGAAGCCTCATGAACTGTGGGGATCGTTTAAGCAATTTGGCCAAACGGTTCAATGCCTCATGAGGCTTCATCTCACCATCACTAGATTTTACATTTTATTTTACTCCCACAAAAATACAAGAACCAAAAAAAACAAAACAGAAAACATCAGGGGGAAACTCACATGGGAAGCCAGAGATGAGGAAGCAGCAAAACAACACCAAACCAGCCCTGAGTGACTGCAGAGGGGGTGTATATAAGAGGAACAGAACAAAGGATGGGCTAATGAGCTGATTGGGAGCAGGTGTGGATGGAAGCATCTAGAAGGAAGCCAAGGGGAAAGGAAACAAGCACAAGGGGGAAACGGAGAGTAACTAAAGACAGCTGGAATATGATGGAAAATAAACTAAAGATCAACAAAACAGAATAACTGAAAACTAAAAAGTCAGAGTCCCAAAAGAGGAAAACCATAACAGTTATATCTCATATGTATAACATTAGTGCATTGATAAATGGCTCTGAGAATCTGTTTTGATGTTCCATAGAGAACATCAGAGAACAAACAGCCTCATAAAGATGAGGGAACCCAGCAGATGGGTCAGAGAGAAAGTTCTGGTCCAGTTTTAACTTGGCTCAGTTCTTTATCAATATGCTTAGATGTTAGCATCTAGCAGCTCTGCTCAGTTCATCCTCTGAACATGGAGAGAGGAGGGACCATCTGCAGACCTACTAAGGCATGGAGATCCACTTCGACTCACAGGCTGGACAAGTAGAGCAATAATTAGAGAAACAGACAAGAGTTTACTTTGGAGGAGCTGCAGAGAAAATTTGGTGTTTAGGGAGGAGGGGCAAGTTGTTAAAGGAAAGCTAGAATAAGACCTGTTTGTAGTTTTCTTTTAGCCATATTTGAGACACAATAAACATGTAGAAGATCCTAACCACAGTTTTACATGCATTATATATCAGACTTTATAGTGAATTCAGTTAACTGACTGTGCTGACAGATGATCACTACTTTTCTCTCCCCGTTGGTCATGTGACTCCGCCTCCCTGCACGCCATCTTTGTTATTTGGCGACTATGGGCCGCTGTGACAACAAATCCCATAATGCTTTGCGAGGAGAGCTCTCTTTCCAGGACGCTTGTCTAGTGACCATGGATAATCACTACTTTTTAAGGTGGACTGTGGTAAAGTTCAAGTCCAGTGGGTCATTCCATGGAAAGTGTAAAGATTGGACCTCTGAATTTAGAGGTTTTTGATCATAAACTTTTTTTAGTTTCATACCCTGTAGAAAATGTAACACTTGCAATTAAACATATTTTTCCAGCTCAGACACCATTTTCTGCGAATATTTTAGCACATTATATCCAGAAAACAGAGTTTCCTTTTCCACCCCGTCATAGGGCAAAGGTTAACAAATTAAAGGGTAATTTTAGATAAAAGTAAGACAAACAACTTCAGAAAGTGTTTTTTTTTTTTTTTTTTAAACAATAGTGTTCAAATAGTTTTTCTTTATGTTTTTATGTGATGTACAGCATTAATTCGATATGAAGAACGTTGCCACCTATCACAATGATTCCACCCATCACAGGCTTTAGTGTGACGGGGTGGAAAATCTAAAACAATATGGCTCAATTTCTGGATATGTTAAAACCTGATGGTGCCGTTAGCATTGAAGTACAATGAAAAATTTATGATTAATACAAATATAATTTCAAAATTTGATTAACAAATTGTTTTCCCCACTTTTTGTGTGTGACGGGGTGGATATGCTATGGTTGACAGGATTTTGAACCAAAAATGTTCTTAAAGAAAAAACCAGAACTCACCATTGTTTGGACTTCTCTTCTTCAAACTCTTGAATGATGTCACTTCATGTTAGTGATGTCACTTCATGTTAGTGATGTCACTTCTAGGAAGTGTATTGCATTTTGGCGCAAAATAACATTGGTGTGACGGGGTGGAATATGAAATTGATGGACATAGAAAAATCATGCTATTTCAATAACAAAATATGACATTTTAATATAATTAACACATTTCCTATTAAGAGGAAAGTATTTCTAACCATAACAACAACAATTTTTGAGATTTATGTCATATTTCTTAAATTTTACATTACACGAATGAGAAAAATGGTCAGAGCTGACATGAGAAAATGATTACAGTTTAACATAAAAAGTTATAAATGTGCATAATATATATTTATTATTCAATTTTATTTGACCTCATGCTACCAACTAAACTTGAATCAATGGCTTTAGACACTTAAAAGTATTACTGACAGTTTTATTATGCTTCCTATTCCTCTTTGAATGTTATGGACCCAAACTTAACAGTTTTAATGGAATGACCCCACTACTTTTTCATCCCCTAGACGTTCGGACACTCATCTAAAATGGCGTAACCTCTATAAAGTGATTTGGGCTGACATTTGGACAAAGCCATGGTCTCAGAGTGAAATTGGTGATGGCAGCATCATGCTGTGGGAGGCCTTTCTTAGGCAGGAACAGGGGATCTGGTCAAAGTTGATGGGAAGATGGATGGACATGAAAACCCAGTAGAGCTAAATATCCAGACCTTTGCTAGGATGGAATGAGAGTGAGAACCGAAGTAAGAAACACAGAAACCTTAGCAGTTATCTTGACATGTTTTAGCATTTCGTGAAATAAAGTTTTTCCTTTCACTAACTGTGCATTGGTTCTTTCCCGCAAGCCGGGTTTCACGGTGAGTTTTAGTTTCTAAAGACTTCTTTCTTGTCCAGTTCTATGTAATATCAATCTTCACAAAGAGCCTTTCTGATAAGAAAATATTTGGCTGGCTAATTTTGGGATATTTATGAAATAAGGTTTTAAATTGTTTGAACGGCGATGAGTTTAATCAACTGCTTGTTCTTGATGCCAGCAGACGTCTCTGTGGCTGCAGGGTTGTTCACTAACATCCTGTGGTGAAAATCCGCAAATGTTTTAGTTTTTCCGCTTAGCGGCTGCAAACTCAAATGACCTCCTGCATGCTCATATAATGGCTCCATGTGCAATCTTAAGTAAGAAAGCAGTCAAACTTTTGAAGGTTCTTTAGAGTTGGGGAACTTTTGATCAGAATGGCTTAAATAGATCAGAGTAAAGCTTGGCTGTTTGGAATGAAGAGCTGTTTGTTTTGATCTACTGTTGTTCCTCTTCAGGTACTGGCGCCGCAGGCTAGGAATGGTGGTCCGGTACGCTTACAGAGGAAGTTATCGATTCTGTTATTCAAGCCGTGGAACACCAGGAGGCGCCACACCATCTCTGCTGCTGCTGCACGGTTTTTCTGCCACCAAGGACATGTGGCTGCCAGTCATCAATGTAACAAACACACATCATTGTTTAAATACTTAGAATAAGTCCAATTTTTCTCAAACTTGTATGTGGCCTTACATGAACTCAAGTGAACTTCTGTTAAATCTCCGGACCTGTTGCCGGAGCCGCAGAGCCGCACCGCACCGTAGTCAAAAGGGCGGTGTGAGAGGTGGTGTGCGGGAGTTGCGGTCTCCGTCGGCTCGGTAACCGCACCAGAGCCAGTGTGAGCAAGGGGTTAGGGCTCTGTATACTTCTGCAGCAGTGTGTCACAGGTATAATGCAGATATTTTTGATTTATGCCAAATTTTTTACGCCACAACGCAAGAGAGACAATCACGAATTAGCTGTGGGTCTAGGCGGTGAGGAAGTGGGGAAAAAACGCAAGGGGCAAGTTTGTGCAACAACGGAGGGGCAATGAGGGTGAAAAGAAGTCATAAGAACCTGAGCTCAGCACGGTTAACTGATCCAAGCTCGGCACGGATCGGTTTTCAGAGGGTTGTGTAAATGGGGCTGCTGTCTTTCATTGACAAATTCAGACACGCAGAAGTTTTTTTTTTGACACTTATACAGTATGACCCAATAATCTGCTTTATGTTTCCTGTAAATGTTGCTTTTGTCTCTACTTTGATCTCATCTGCCCCAGATGTCAAGTACTTCATCCAGATACAGCTTTACTTAACCTTGTTAGCATGTTTTTATTGGGGAGACAGTTTGACCTTTTCAACCTTTCCAAACAGCCAGATCGATTTAGGGTCTTGACCTTCACGCTGTTCTCTGAGGCCTGTAGAGTCTCTGAGATTCATGCTCTGAACTTGGCCTGAGTCTCCTGGAGCTTTCAGTGTGGCATCTATCAGGGGAAGGATCTTCCTTTCCGCAGGATGATGGACTACTTTAGATGACCTTGTGACATTTCCATGTTAATATTAATCAGAAATCTTTGCCTCTTCTGCATTATTGCTGATGTCTTTCTGTATGCAAATAGGTGTTGTAATAATAGACATTGTCTTGAATACCCAGTTTCTTTATTCAGCTCGGTAAATAAATCAAAGTGTAAAATGTCAGGAGTTCTTTTCTAATTAATTTATTTGCACCACTTTAAAACGGTGAAAGGAACATAACATTTATAATTATCTTTTTTTTCCCCCCTATTTCCAGTTCCTCCCTAAAAACCAGCATGTTGTTTGTGTGGACATGCCTGGACATGAAGGAACGAGTCGAACTGGTGCAGAAGATTATAGCATCCTGGGACAGGCCAGCAGAATCCATCAGGTCGGTCCATCCATTCTATTCAGATTCTCATCATTTAGAAATGATTCTTTATGATCCGATCAGGTTCATTTTAAAATGTTATTTCTGGCATTGAACGCATTTTGTTAGCTGTTACCTGACTGCTTATGCAGTTTACTGATACTAGTATTATAGTAACTAATAGTACTAATAGTATAGTACTTATCAAATAATAGTAAATGGCGGCCGTAAGGACATTGAAAAATATAATTGATGAAATACTATCTTAGATCTAAGTCCTGTGAAATGCCTCAACGAGCAGACCTATACACCTACTTAAGGTTACCAGTGGATAAAAGAGGGGTTCAAAAGCAATATAACGTTATTTCTGAACATTAAACATGAAGCATGTCTTTATACACGACTAATGTCTGATAACAGAACATGTGTTTGGCCCTTCAGGCTGTTATATAAAAACCTCCTACGGAAAAAACAGGCCATCATGAAGGAAGGTCATCAAACTTCCTGGTAACCAAAACAGTTCAGAGGTCAGACAAGGGTCAGTACTGAAAATATATCAGAGCCTAGCCTAGTAAACTAGCCCCACCCGCCAGTGGCCTAGCCTCGATCAAAACCCCAGGCCCTAGAACTGGCGGGCCAATCAGAAAGCAGAGATGTGTTTTGAATTTTTGGATGCAAAGCGGGCGGGGTTTAGAGGGCGGGACGACAAAGCTGCACAACGCTGGAGAAAGCACAACTATTGAACAGTAGCAATCACACTTTCCCTTTTTATTTAAACATCAGTCATATGCCAGAATAAGAATGTCCATTTATGCTAACCCACACAGACGAGTGAATAGAGTAGGGATGGAACTGTTTATGAAAACCGTCCGAACCGTTCGGTTCAACTGTCTTGGTACGGTTCGCGTGTGTGAACACTCCAGAGCAGAAGGTGGCGGTACTGCGACCAAAGCCAACCACCAGTAGTAAACAAGAAGAAGAAGAAGCGAAGCGGCGTAGCCGGGTGTAGCAGAAAAAAAAATCTGTTGTTGTGGATAAAAGTGCAACAGTGTGCAAGCATTGTGCAACACGTTTTGTTTATGCTAACAGCAACTCAACCCACATGTCAGGCTAACAATTAACGTATACCGAACCGAAAACCGTGACCACGAAACCGTGAACCGAACCGTTGATTTTATGAACCGTTCCACCTCTAGAACAGATATAGAAATGAACAGATGTAATAGTAACATGTAACATCTTCAACTATACAACCTTCAGGTTTTCATCATTCTCTACTTTTATTACTTACATCAGAAAATCAACATGTTGAAAATGGTCTAATGTGTGTTTTGTGTCTGAGCAGTTTGTCCAGAGTATCGGTCTGGATAAAACACCGTTCCACCTGGTCGGCACCTCTATGGGGGGGAACGTCGCTGGCGTCTACGCCGCCTGTTACCCGTCTGACCTCTGCAGCCTCACCTTGGTTTGTCCAGCAGGTAAACTCTGCAGCTCTCTGGACATTTTCCTTCCAGGCGGTCAGTCTTTTTCCAGGCCTCCTGATTGTTGCACTTTATTCTACGACAGTAACGATAAATGCTGTTTTGGATGCTTTAGGTCTCACTGATGCTTCTCCTCACCTCTTTCCTGCAGGTCTGGTTTATCCCACAGAGTCAGAGTTCATCAGCCGTCTGAGGGAGCTGGAGGAGAAAAATGAGCAGCAGGAGTCCATCCCTCTGATCCCCAGCACTCTCCAGGAGCTGGACACCATGCTGAAGCTGTGCTGTTACAAACCCCCCAACCTCCCCCAGCAGGTACAGGACCCAGATCAGCTGGTTCTGAAAGCGTTGGGCATCTTCCTCTGTCTTCAGTCTGTGCTGTAACGCTAACACAAATGTTTATTATCCGTCTGATTGGTTTGTCAGCTCCTGCGGGGTCTCTTGGCCAACAGGATCCCAAACAATGACTTCTATAAAGAAGGTCAGTCTTTGTGTTTTTGCTCTTTGTCGTCATAGCAAAAATATTATAATAAGCTGTTATAGTTTACTTTAGTACCAAAGCTGTTTATTACACTCCGTCATGTAAGATGAGAGAAAAGTTGAATTATAGTTGCAGAACACCAAAGTGATCCTAAATGAAGAGAAATGCACAAAAAATAGACAAAGATCTGAGCAGCTGTTGATAACTGAAAGTCTTAACATCTGTTTCTTTATTTGTGACGGGGAGTTCTCTGAGTAATGAACAAAGGGGAAAAACATCTTTAAGTAATAACAGAATTTATTTCCATCCATCCATCCATCCATCCATCCATCCATCCATCCATCCATCCATCCATCCATCCACCCACCCACCCTTTAGGCTGCATCAGTGATTCTCCTCCTTCACAAGCAGCAAAATCTAATTTAGAAATTTGTCCCAAATGGCATTGACAGCCAATGTCTATATATTGAATCTTATATTTTAAAAATCATTTATACAAAGTTTTTTTTATTATTTGTGTTTTAATTCTTGTGGGTTTCTTATCCTTTAATTTTAAGTCTGTGTCCTGTGAGTCTGGCTGTCTCTGGGTTGCTGGCGCAGCTATTTCTGAGTCTCGTTGAGCTACAAAAGACAAAATTATATGTTGAATTTTATTATGGAATTGCATATTTTTTCTTCTAAACTTGGCAATATATTTTATTACATGTGGCATATCTCAGTAAATCTGTTTTACCTTTAAATCAACAGCTGTCCCTAATTGTACGGAAGAGGATTAGGGCCACTGGAAGAAAGAAAAAAAAAAAAAGTTAACAGATTTTTCAATCTATTTCAGTTTAGTATGGGGGAAAAAAGTCAGAATTCTGACTTTAATCTCAGAATTCTGACTTTTTTCTCAGAATTTTTAGATTAAAGTCAGAATTTTGAGAAAAAAGTCAGAATTCTGAGAAAAAAGTCTCTTTTCATCCTCGTAGCTACTCTGTATGCAGTGAATATCCCAAAGCTACAGATCAGATGATTGATCACCAAGAGGTGGGACTGGAGAGCAGCGGCAGAGCTGTAACCCCAGTTACTGCTGGCTAAAGTAAATCCGCAGTAGCTGGGGTTGGTGGGGACATGTCCACACCAGTCCTTCAGAAAGTTACGCCAGTGTCAGGGAAGACAAGCAAACTCCATACAGAAAGACCATAGACATTGGAACCTTCTTGCTGCAGCGCAGCAAGCTGTGTAAATGTACAGCCCAGAATTTATTCCCATTAGGTGTAAAATAATTATTGAAAATAAGCACATAATACAGAGAAAGATTTGACCTCAGCCCCAGACATGATCAGATGTCTGGGGCTGAGGTATCTATCCTATTCTATTTATAATAAAGCACCTTCCTATGAGGATGTTACCTGAACGTATCAGAATAATCTATCTGTATCAGTAGAGAACTTAACATCCGGCTCCAATCCAAATAAGGTAATAACAGGAAGTTACATGGTCTTCCTACATCTAACATAAACACAGATGTTCTCATGATAAACTGTCCATCTAACTGATTTGCAAGTCATTATGTCAACACTGGAGATGAAACAGGAACTGAGCAGCAATCCCTTCAAAGATACACAATGAGGAGTAATTTAAAAAAAAAGGAATCTTTGAGAATAAATCATTGAATTAATTATTTAAAAAATGTAATGACTTAAGAGAAGATGTGGATGAAGCACTGAGTTTTACAAAGAGTAAATAATTACACTCCCTGTGCTAGGCTTAGTTAGCATTGCACTGTTTAAAGCTCTACATAGAGGTTACTTTCTTAAAGCAAAACCTAACTCACTATATTAACTTTATGAAACATAAACTTTGTTATTTATGAAGATAACAGTCAGATTTTATTGCTTAAGTTCTTGTGGCCTAACTTCAAAGTCTACGCCTGCTATCATCCTGGTGGAACGGCTGGCCTGTGTTTGTCTCACATTCCTTCACATTCCATCCATTCCCTGTTCTTATGTACACTTTCCTGATCTCATTAAATAAACTGGGCGTATCATATTGCAAAATGAGTCTGTAAGAAAAGCCGTCATGCAAGGCTACAGGTATGTGCTCTGTGATTAAAAATGAGGGAATAGGCCTGGGTTTGGTTGTTTTTTTGTTTAAAAAATAGGAGTAAATTTATAATGTGTTTTTGTTTTACTCTTTCCATGCAATTAAGAGAAAAGAATCATCCAGTATTTAGTAGAAATTTTTTGTTTTGTTGGTTTAACTTGTGCTAACATTAAATGTTTGCATTTAGTTTTCATGGAGATCGTAGGAGAGAAGTCGCGCCATTCACTGCAGGAACATCTGCATCTAATCACAGCGCCCCTGCAGGTTGTCTGGGGGAAGCACGACCAGGTAAGTAAATAAACGCCTGCTGAAATGAAATACGGAAGAGGATTAGCATTAGGGCCACTGAAAATATAAAAAAAGTTAGCTTAAATTAAAATTTTATTTCAATTTGATGTGGGGAAAAATAATTCTGATTTTTTTTTTCTCAGAATTCTGACTTAAATCTTAGAATTTTGACTTTAATTTTAGAATTTTTACTTTTTTCTGAGAATTCTGAGTTTAATCTCAGAATTCAGACTTTTATCTCAGAATGTTGGATCTTAATGTAGATGGGCACCATGAAGGAAGAGATGTGGAGCACTCAGCTTCACTGACAAAGATGTGAGTTGTTTGAGGTGGCCAGTGACACATTGGTGGAAAATGATGGAATTAGGCAACTTTTTATGTGCCAGAGGGATCCCCTCATTAATGGAGGAGCAGAAGGTCATTAAAACAAGAGAGCTAGTCTCTAAAACAGACATGGCTATGGCTTGATGCTAACATGTTTGTTAGCTGACAGAATTCTGTCAGAATTCTGAGAAAAAACTCAGAAATCTGAGATTAAAGTCAGAATTCTGACTTTTCTTTACCATATTAATCTGAACTAATATTTAAAAAACATGGTAACTTTTTTGTCCTTTTTTTTCAGTGGCCCTAATCCTCTACCATAATTAAAATCTACAGGGAAATACATTTAGGTCCAAATACATTAAATTTTAACGTGTTTTTATAAAATCTGAACACTGAAGAAAAATCTGAACCAAGTCACAGTGAAGATTTTGATAAAATCTCTGCAAATGAAAAAAATCAGAGCTAAGAATTAGATCATAGTCAGCATGGCTCATTGTTTGAACAACATATTTTGCCATAGATGTGATTCTTCTTCACCAGTAAGTGTGTTTAGTTGTGCAAACATCCAAGGCCTCTCTACAGTAGCCGTAGTTAAGCTGCTCGTCTTTGTCTCTCAGGTCCTGGATGTTTCAGGAGCTGCTGTGATCCAGAAGGCGCTACAGCACTGCCAGGTAGGGATGGGGATCGAAACCCGGTTCTATCAAGGACCCGGTTCCACTTTTTTCAAAACCCGAAAATCAATAACGTTTGGGCTTATCGATACCGCTATCGAGTCTGGTCGTGTTTTTTTTTTTTTTTCTCTCTCCCGGAGGTCCTGTAACATAATTGTGTGTCCCTCGAGTCGCGTCACAGCATTTAAATCTAATCAATCCAATCACTGCAGCATGTCCACCAATGTTTGTAAACAAAAAGATATTAAAAGTAAAACTAGTGAAGTCTGGCAGTTAACCCACTCGCGACTCGAGGATGGCTGAGCGGACAAAAAGGTCTAAAGTTTGGCTTCATTTTACCAAGCTCAAAGACAAAGACGAAGCGAAATGCAACTTATGTTGCAAAATCATATCTTGCAAAGGGGGGAACACAACCTCAATGGCCAAGCACATTAATATTGTGCATCAAATAAAGGCCAAATGCAGTACCTTTGACTGTCTCCGAGCTGAAAAGACTCCTCCTCCTCCTCCTCCTCCTCCTCCTCCTGCTGCCGCCGCACCACAGTCTTCATCATCCACTGGTAAGCGCGCACACAGACTTTGTAGCTTGTCCGGTCAGTTAAAAATAGTAATTGTGAAATCCGTGTTGTAATCGGCAGCATACAAGCTAGTTAGCTTGAAAAGTAAATAAAGTTTCAGACGTGCTGCGTGATGATGTGTTCAGATTGGCTCAGTAAAATGGCAATTAGGTTATCATGATGCGTTCAAGTGTAACGTAAAGAAAAGGGAAATTGAGTTTTTGGCGAGAAACGTGAGTAATACAGTTGTATATTGCTCTAATTATTTTAGAATATATAATTAAACTACTGATGCCAACATTTATTAAAAATTACATTTAATTTAAAATACAATTGTTTATTTGCTAAATATTTTCCTAATCACTAAAAACATGATGAAAAGTGACAGTAGACAATACATTAACCAACAATTGTGAAAATTTATATATTTTTTTAAACCAAAAGAAGAGATTTCTTCAAAATATAGGACATTTCTTCAAATAATTTTTCCCCCCACTTCCTTTCTGTCTGAGAAAAACATTTGGAGGACCTTGTAATGATTTGTTTTTAATTATAAGTGAAAATATATCTACCATTTCCTTTTCCCATTAATTTAGATGGTGTTCAGCTCAAGCTCACCTCAACTCCCGCCCCCATTGGCCTACTCCAAACTCCCTTCACCTTGGCTGCCAGGAAGATGCCTTCTAATCAAGTGGAGCAGTGTCACAGGGCTGTCACAAAATTTGTGGTGAAAGGCTTGCACCCTTTTGCAACAGTTGAATCACCGTGGTTTAGGGAAATGACAAAGGCCCTCAATCCACGTTACACCCCTCCAAGCAGGACTGTTCTATCAAACACCCTCATCCCTGCATGGTATGAAGTGGAAAAGCAGAATGTCATTACAGAGCTGGCAAATGTTAGTAAGGTAGCCATTACAAGTGATGGGTGGACTAGCTTAGCGCAAGACCACTACATTACTGTGACCGCCCATTACAGCAGCCAAGGCAAGCTTCAGCAAAAAGTCCTCCGGACCAAAGCTGTCTACAGAGCGCAGACCGGGGAAACAGTGGCAGTGGAGATTGGGGAGGTGTTGGAAGAGTTTGGCATTACTCAAAAGGTGGTTGTCATGACTGTAGACAACGCGTCCAACATGGATGTTGCTGCAAAGAAGCTGGACATCCTCAAACTGGGTTGCTTTGCCCACACCCTTAACTTGGCTGCGCAAAAAGTTTACAGCATTGCTGCGATGACCCGGTGGGCAGCAAAACTAAGAGCAGTCATCGTGTGGATGAAACGATCTTCAATGGCGAAGGTAGTGCTAAAAGAAAAGCAGCTCCTTCTCAAACTTCCTCAGCACACCATGATACTGGATGTGAAAACCAGGTGGAACTCCCTGTTTCTGATGGTTGAGAGGTTCCTTGAGCAGTATCCGGCTCTCCAAGCTGCAGTGTTGGATCCACGTATAAGAAAGCCCATGGAGAGGGACCGACTGGATAGGATCACAGATGAGGACTTTACCAAAGCAGAGGAGTTCATAAAGGTCATGAAGGTCCTGTACACTTCTACACTGTGTGTATCTAGTGAGAAAACCCCCACCTGTGGACAGATCCTTCCGATTCTCATGAAACTGAAGACCCACTTCACAGTTCAGGAAGGAGACTCTTCATTTGTATCCGACATTAAACGGAAGGTTTTAACTGACCTATCCGGACGTTACCAGGAGGAAAAAATCCAACAGTTCCTCGAAGAGGCGACAGCGATGGACCCAAGGTTTAAAGCCAAAAGTGTCAGGCACACCACCTGGGAACGTTTGCAGGAGGCAGCTGTAGCAACAAATGCTACAGAAGCTGATGTCCCAATCCCTGAGTCCCATGAGGACAGCGACACAACCGAGGAGGCTATGTATGAGAATCCTCGGGTTGAAGTCAGTCCACCACCACAACCTAAGAAGAGTGCCTTGGAGGAGCTATTTGCCGAGGAGGAACAAGAGCGACGGACCATCCATATGAACAACTCCAACATCAGCATTCAGCAGAGAGTATGTGAGGAAATCCAGCTCTACAGAAGCCTGCCTATGATTTCTATAGCAGAGGACCCAGTTCTCTGGTGGTGGACAAAGAGAGACACCCTGCCCCTGCTAGCGGATCTCTCTCACGGCTACCTTACTGTCCAAGCGTCTTCGAGCCCTTCAGAGAGGGTGTTTTCCACTGCTGGGGACACCATCAGCCAGGAGCGTTCGAGGATCATGCCTGACAAGGCAGACATGTTAATTTTTCTGCAAAAAAATACCTGTTAATTTATGAGCTGATATTTTATTTCCTTTTGTGTGACGCAGCATATTATTTAATTTACATACATTATGACATTTTTTTTCATTTGGTGCTGCTGATATATTCTACTTAGTTAGCCATGTTTATGAAGGCTAGAAATGTTTTTTTTATGCTCACTTGTCAAACAATAAAAGCAATACCAGTTCTGTTAAAAACATATTGTCGCATCGTCTTTCCACCAAATAACAGAAAAGTATCGATAGTGGTATCGATAAAGACTCGGATCGATAAGGAGTATCGATAAAGGTATCGATATCAATAAATATTAACGATCCCCATCCCTACTGCCAGGTGGACGTGTTGGACGACTGCGGCCATTCTGTTGCCTTGGAGAGGCCAAGAAAAATAGCTAAACGTATGATGGACTTTGTGATCAGTGAAGCAAAGAAACATGCCTAAGGAACATCTTACTGGATGGATGGATGGATGATGGAGCTCAAACTGGAGGATGAACTTTAACTTGGCACAATTAAAATGACTTATTGTGTTGTTTGAGACTTATATGCACTTATTTTAATTTAACTGCACAAATCAGGCTGATATTTGTTATAGATAACATTCCATTAGAGGATTTTTACCTTTGCTTTTTGGAAAAACTGTTTTTTTTTAATTATTATTATTATAATTTTTTAGGGAATAACTTTTACGTTAATCAATTAGTTATTTATCCCATAAAAAACTGGAACAAAACATAGAACTTGGAACTGAGGGTAACTGATTCCTGTAATATTTATTTTTAATTATTATTATTGAATCTTTGTGGTTAGACTTCAACAAAGTTGATGTATCAGTTGAACAATTAATGCAAATAATAATTGCACATTAACATTTTCAAGCGTTTAAGAATTAAAACAGTTAAAAAAATGAGTTGTTTTTTTCTGTACTGCATGCGGTAACATAATTTGGCCACCAGAGGGCAGCACCACCTATCGTTTCACCAGGGCCGTCAAAGAGCAGTTAAACTTTCAAGATGTACCACTCTTTTCTTTTCCATTAATCATGCATATCTAGCGTTAAAACGTTAAATGAACTCTTAAATAATGTTTTAAAGTAATCAACCGATATTGTTTTGTGTCTAAATGTTGCGAGTGTTGTCTTTTGTTTATAGTTTAGACGAAATTAGCATTAAAGTTATTTCGTGTAAAAATACATTGAATATTGAATAAATAAGCCGAATGTCATTTTGGCCTAACAATATATTGATAACACAATTTTAAATTAATCTAAATTGTTCAATAAAATAATGGGTTCAAATTCGCTATCTGTGGAAAAACACGATTAAACGTAACCAGGAAGTTCGGCATCTTTGTCAGAGTGACACCTCTTCATCACAAAGATATGTCAGCTAAGTGCGCATGCGTGGATCACTTTGATGGCGGCAGAGAAAGCACGCTGTGTTCTGGAGCTGTAGACGGTGAGTAGAGACATCTCCCCTGCCTCCTGTCAGAGGATCTGATCTGATCGATGGTTTAGCAGCTCCGCGTTCCTTCTCTGATCCTCTGAGAGCTTCCAAAGGTCAAAGGAAGTGACCTCAATTTGACCATCAGGGAGAGTTCAGGGTGTTTTAATGAGGACAGTCCAAATACTCACACTAAGCCCTATATAAAGTGTTCACCAGGAGGAAGTGCCCTTAAAGGAATAGTACACCCAAAACATGATTAGGCTTCATTTTCTACTCACCCCCATGCTGAACAACACTCTGGAGTACTTTTTTGATATCTCAAATGCATCTGGAGATCTGGGAGGCTTCTTGCTGTCTGCTGACATTCAAATAATGGAGGTCTATGGTGCCCGAGGCAGAAAGGTCCATAAAAGTCCACAAACAACGTGTCAATATTCCTCCATACTGCTCGTCCAATGTATTCCAAGTGTCCTGAGTGGGTAGCGTCCATAATTTACTCGAAACGAAGTCATTTAGAATGTTTTTAGAGCATAAACAGTAGTGTATAGGATTTCCTAAAAGTGCGCCCCTGCGAGTTCACCAGCCTACGGAAACTGCGGCAGACCAAACCAGATGAAAGTGCGCATTCAGCGTCTGCTCTGCCAATAATGCAAGCGTAGAAGAAGAAATGTGCTGTTTACCTGTGCAAAGAAAGAAACAACGAAAGAAAAATGTCTGAGGACTTCAGTGTTGAGGAAGAGCATGAGTTCTTTGCCGAGCTGAATGCGCACTTTCATCTGGTTTGGTCTGCCGCGGTTTCCGTAGGCTCGTGAACTCGCAGGCGCGCGCTTTTAGGAAATCCTATACACTACTGTTTATGCTCTAAAAACATTCTAAATGACTTTCTTTCGAGTAAATTATGGACGCTACCAACTCAGGACACTTGGAATACATTGGACGAGCAGTATGGAGGAATATTGACACGTTTTTTGTGGACTTTTATGGACCTTTCTGCCTCGGGCGCCATAGACCTCCATTATTTGAATGTCAGCAGACAGCAAGAAGCCTCCCAGATCTCCAGATGCATTTGAGATATCAAAAAAGTACTCCAGAGTGTTGTTCAGCATGGGGGTGAGTAGAAAATGAAGGCTAATCATGTTTTGGGTGTACTATTCCTTTAAGCTACAGTAGCTACTGTCCGACTTTTCAGGACATTTAACCCAAACCCTCCATTTGGCAATCACTGCTTAAAATATTTTTTAAAAAGCAACAAGAAATGCTTTAATATTCACAAAAATACAGTAAAATATTAATAATTTTGTTAATTAGATCTGAACACAAGGGTTTTATTCAGCACAGGTACTGGAGCTCAGTTTTTAATCATTCTTTATGAAATAAACAAAATGAAAACAAAAATATTTGCAGTGTTGAAGATATATCTTAAGTGATATAAAAATACAGATTAACACAGGGGGTCCATAGAGGTACTGCATGGGGGTTGCGAAAGTTTTGGTTGATTAGACTTTTTTTTATTTTTTTTATATTCCTCCTGCAATTTTGTCCACTTATTGAAATGTCTTTAAATCCACATTAACATGAATTCAACAGACTGTAGTAAACAGATAAATGGAGGCAGAAGATGTCTTTCAGTCATCAATGCACACATTCAGCGACACACAGGAGCCTTTCAAGCTGGGCACTGTTTCATTCACAACACCTGTCCCATCAACCAGGAATCAGAAATACTTTAATAATCCCAGGGAGGGATTACTTTAGTTACATTACTCCATCTGTAATAAAGTGACTATAGGACCAGTTTGATAGAACACAGTTTCATACAATATATATAATTAGGGGGTCCCCACTCCATCGCCATTAGTTTGGGGTCCTTGGCCTGGAAAACCTTGAAGACCCCTGGTATAGAATATAGAAGAGCATCTGTGGGGGAATAAGGAACTGCATAAAAATGCTAGGAGAAAGAAAATGAAAATAAAGGCATGTTAGAAATGAAGTATTTGGACCTTTGAAGACATCTTTCCTGGTAGTCTTTTAGTTTTCATTGTTTTGATAGAAGAGAATCTAAAAATCATTTAAAAAATGTAAGAAGGGGAGATGGCTTTCCAAATACTGCAATTAATATTTAAAAAAAAATCAAAAATACCAACTTAGGCTGTCAATCTAGAGTCTAAATATTCCATTTTAAAATTAGAAATATTATCAGTAGTGATAACTGAATGTTTAATTTAAGACCAGAATACTTTAGGAGACTCTTTTATTCAGCAAAATGTATTTACCTCAAATGTGAATCTCTTGCCTCATTGGACGCTGGTCGATGTGCCTATAGGGCGGCCATCTTGGATCAGACCACAGTTCAGACAGCTGCTGTCGGAATGAATAGGAGGCCCCTTAGATCTAATTTTAATCACATTAAAGACAAGTCAGAGATAATATCGCAATAATCTCTTACATGTCACAACCACTTAAAAGACCAAAATTAATCCTAAAATTACTAGGGATGCACGATATTGGAATTTTGGCCGATATCCGATATGCCGATATTTTAAAATGCATGCGGCCGATAACCGATACCGATATTAAAACTGAAAAATAAATCATGTTATATTCATTCCTTGTGCAAAATTTGAAAAATACTCCAACTGGTGTTATGTATAACAAGTCAAATTTAATGACAGTTAAGATGTGCTGGACAGACAATCACTTAAATTCAAAATAGTCTGAAAACAAAGGTGATTATGCAGGTACAAATTAAAAATTACTAACTCAAATTAGTAAATCTGCTCAGTGCAAACAAACTGAAAAGTGCAAAAAATGTGGTCAGCTTCAGTTCTTTGTCCAGTTCAGTGTTCACAGCACTATTTCAGCTCCAAACACATAATTTAACAACACATCCTGCCCTTTTAAAGTCCATAGAAAAATACTCAAAGACTGACAGGCAAATGTAAGTATTTTAAAAGTCAAGTGTGAGAGGCAGGTTTTTTTGGACAAAAATAAGCATCTCTGCCTTTTCACAAGCTATGCGGTTTCTTTTTTCATCAATGATATGTGAAACAGCACTGAACAGCCGTTCGCTGTCAACACTAGAGCTGGGGGCACTGAGGTACTTGCATGCAACCTGAGCAAGAGCTGGGAAGCGGGCCTGGTTGGAATTCCAGTACTCCAAAGGACTGGCAGTTCTGGGAATGGTGGGTTCACCCAGGTATATGTGTACCTTTTAAAACTAAAAAAGAAAGCAAATATGAAATTTTATTGCAAGCACAAACAGTACAATAAAGTGCAAATCTTTTTTATGCATTTACTGAACTTTACATTAGTAGTTATTCTTAGATTATTCACCTGTGATGCTGTCTCGCTTGTGGAGGCGTGCTCTGGGGAAATGCTCTCTTCGATGATTTCGTCGTACATGTCCAACAGTGATCCAGTTCGGGCCTTCTTCTTTGGTGGAAGGTCATCTGTACTGGCATCTCCGTGCTCACTACCATCTCTGACACTGTGACTCATTTCATTGATGGCGCTTAGTATCAGGTTGTGCGCTCCCTCCTTCATTTCTCTGTCGAAGTAACGATCTTTAAATCTTGCATCCAGCATGGTTGCAACAGCATAAAGTGCTTTTCTTTGCACACCATCAAAGCGAGCACGGACAGCTTCCAGCAGAGTACTTTTGGCTGTCTGCACACCTCTGTCTGACTCACTTGTCTTGCTCAGCACTTGTCTTGCTCAGCAATGCCACTACGGCTGGTATGACCTCTGAAACAGATGCCTGTGCAGAACTGATCTCTCTGGTCAGTTGCTCGAAGGGTATAAGTAGGGTGATCATATTTTCAAGAATTCCCCACTGGTTTGCCGTCAGAGTCACTGGGAGGTCAAAATCAGCAGCATACGCACCCAAAGCTCTCTTATGCTCCACCAGGCTCTGCATCATATAAAAAGTCGAATTCCATCGCGTGGACAGGTCATGTTGAAGCCTTTTAATAGGAATCCCAAGCTCATTCTGTACATCTTCAAGTCGACTGCAGGCTAGTTGTGAATGTTTGAAGTGCCCAACTATTTTCTTGGCCACGGCTACAACGTCTGAGATGCTGCGCTGAGACAGCACGCCTTCATTCACTGCGAGCTGCAAGCTATGTGCCATGCACGGCAAACTTGGTACACCCAAGTCCATCAATGCCTTAGTCACATTACACGCATTGTCCCTCACAACAACGTGCACATTCTCCTTTGAAATTTTCCACTTTTCAAGCATGCATTCAAAAGCAGATGTGAGCGCAGCTGTGGTGTGGGATCCTCTGCACTCTTGCGCATGAAGAACAGCCTTTTTAAGCTCGAAGTTTTTGTTAATCCATTGTGCTGTAAGGCTTAGCATGCTTACAGGGCTAACACTTGATGTCCAGATGTCTGTGGTGAAACTCACCCAAGTGCAATCGGCAATGATCTTCTCAATGCGGGTGGAAATTTCCGCTTGCAACTCTGGCAAGGCTACATCCGAAAAATACCTCCGACTGGGGACCGAGGTTCAACGTATTCCAAAAATCTCCTGAATCCAACGTCTTCAACGAATGAAAAAGGCTGGTTATCCAGAGCAATACACTCCATCAGTTTCTGAGAGATGCCTTTTGCCCTTGGGTGATCGCAGCTGAATTTCTTGGATTTATCCAAGGCTTGATGGAGAGACTGCTGCTGGAGAAGCTTCGATACGCTGCCGCCGCCGCTGGTAACCTGCTTCTTTTTTTCCTTTCTCGCCGCCAAGAACTCGGTGTAACGGTCGTCAGGATGACGGCTCTTGAGATGGTTAATCAGGTTAGTGGTGTTGAAAGACTTTGTTTTAAATCCTCCACGCATCACTGATGCTGAGCACTCATTGCAGATAGCAGTTTTGTTATCTGTTTCCGATACCTTAAAAAACATCCACACAGCTGACATTTTGTTTTCATCTGCTACAGTAGCTGCCCAGACGTGATAAAGGTGCGCCGGTGAACACGGCGTTGTGACGTTTGTATCCTTGCGTGGGAGGGGTGTGGGCGGCAGAGGAAGGAGGACAGGGGAAAAAAACATATCGCAGGTTCATTACCAAACAGCGACCTGATCGGTTAAATATCGGTTGAATATCGGTGGGGTGGCCGATGTCCGATATTCAGTTTTACGGCCGATACAGGGTGATACCGATAGGGGGCCGATTATATCGTGCATCCCTAAAAATTACCTTTCAGTTAGATTACACATATTTCAGGTGTGAGCTGGGTTATTTAAAACACCTCTGTCTTTTTTTAAAACAACCTTTGGATCTTATAGAACCCCTTTTATCTGGATGGGTTGTCTTTAAAGTGGGGATTCTGACTACTAGTGGCTCATGGAGGTACTGCAAAGGCAGTTAAAGGTTTAAAACTAATTTCTAATCTAGAACTTTACCCTGGTGATCATCGTTTCTTCTTCTTCTTCAGGCTGTAGAAAGATGAAATGGAAAGTAGAATGAGTCCAAACGACACAAAGGCAGAATCCTCTGGTTACCAACGAGTCGTTTTGAAGAACGCTTCACCGCATCACTACCTGAAAGTCCGCCTGTAAGTCTCTGTTTGTTAAAACAGCCGTCAGTCTTTGTTTCTATGCTTTAAGTTAGATCCAACCAGAGCTCATGTTGTGCGTTCAGGCTGCTGGAGGATGAGACGAGCAGAGTGAGCGCTGTAGAACTAAAGAGCTTCATCATCACCTGCCTAAAGGGTCTGCATGGAGAGGTGAGAGCATCACTGTTACAGATCAGACAGCTTGGAGGGATTCAGAGGAAATGAAAGGTTGTGAGCTCTTTGCCAACGTTTGAGGTGCCCAGATCCTGATGTTTCCTCTAATATTTTTGTACGAATGGGCCTCAGGTTGGAGCTGCGTTAGACGTCGATGTGCTGAAGTACGAGGAGGAAACGCTGACCGCTCTGCTGCGTGTTCAAAGCAGGTACGTGTCATGGAGGGACGTCAGCAGCACATTCAGAGGCTTCAGCTGGGTTGCTCTCCCATCATGTGTGTGTTCCTTTTTCAGAGGTTTGGTGAAGCTGTGGAGCTCCCTGACACTGCAGGGGTCCTACCAGAACCAGGCCTGTGCCCTCAGGGTTCTGCAGGTCAGCAGACCATAGATCGATCTGTCTGTCTGTCTGTCTGTCTGTCTGTCCGTTATATAAAAAATAACTGGAATATAGATAAATGTCAAAAGAAGGACCTGTTTTTCCCAGGATATAATTACAATTTGGGTTTAATTTTTTCTACTAAATTTAGAAAACAACAAAAAATAAGACCAAACTGTTGCAGATATTAAAAAAACAGCCATAAAAAGATTTTTAATAAATAGACATCAAGAAAAGCAGTAGAAATGGTTGGCCATATCAGACAGAATGGACACATGATACATAAATGGAGGCTTTCTTAATTCTGATTATTTGGTTTCCCTTGCTTCAAATGACGTCCCACTTGTGCTTCATACTTTTGGCCACTAGAGGTCACCAAAGAAACCTGTGTTGAAAAGTTTTGAGCCCTTTTTGTTAAAAGCTTTAGAAAGCCTCGTTTGGCCAGCAGCGCACTCAGTATGGACATGTTTTAGGTTTTCATGCATTCTGCTTCTCCTCTGGAGTAATTTTTTTCTCAGCTAAAATAAACACATTTTAGAAAAAAAAGCTGTAGTTTGGTGCACAGTAGCTGAGGATGATGCAGTTTTCTCATGCTGTGCGTCAGGTTATCGGCTCTTTTTGAATCAGTTTGTTTGAGCTCAGCTCTTATTCCCAGCCCCGTAGTTCCAGCAGACATTATATCTTCTATCAAATGTGAAAACCTTGCTGCCCCTCCCACCCAGGCAGTATCAGTGGTGCCAACTGTGCAGAAAAACAGCCAGCTGGTAGCGCTCGTCTGGCTCACAAAGTGAGTTTATGCAGCTAATTCAGATGTAAACACGAAGGCAGAAGCGGTTCTAACAGAAACAAACTGAAACACTCTGCTTAAAAAAACAAGACAAAACAACACAGATCCATTCGGACCGAGCTCCGAGTTCTAACCCACGTTTCTGAAGCTATTGGTTCCAATTATTAGAACATTTCTGCAGAAAGAACAACTTATTTCTTTATTATTTACTTTATAGAATGTTCTGTTAATTCTTCTGCATATTTTTTTAAAGACAAAATAGATTTCCAATATCTAGAATAAAAATTATTATATCTATTATTGGAAAAATAAAAGCTAAACTAATAAGATGTTTTTTTCTTCTTAATGTAAATAAGTTTTCACCCTGATTTGACTCTAAATATTTATATTTATGTTTATAAATATTTTATATTTGATCATAAAGTGTTTGCTGAGGGTAATTTTAAATCCAAAAATTTTACTTTAAGTTAGTATTTTTATTAAAGAACAGGTTAAATGATGATCTTTGAACTGAAATGCAGTTTTATTTGCAGTCGATCAGAGATGCTGAGTAGAACTAAACCAAGTCCAGACATCCGTATGACTCTGTGTCTCATGCTGCCTTCAGGTGTCTCCGTTCCTTCTGGCGCTGACGGGAAACAGTCGTGATCTGCAGCTGGACTGAAGCAGAATGACTTTTGTTTGGAGGGCGTTCTTCAACAGGCTCCGCCCCTCCTCCTCGGCAGGAGCTCCTCCCCTCAGACGGCTGCTTCACGTCGGGCAGCAGGCCTCCATCACCAAAGCGTTCAGCTCCCGAGACGTGGAGCTGTTTGCCGAGCTGACGGGCGATGCCAACCCTCTCCACGTCGACCCGGCCTATGCCAGCGCTACGTCCTTCGAGGCGCCCATCGTTCACGGTGTCCTCATTAACGGCCTGATCTCTGCGGTGCTCGGCACCAAGATGCCGGGTCCCGGATGCGTCTTCCTGTACCAGGAGATCCACTTTCCGGCGCCGCTCTACATCGGAGAAGAGGTTTTGGCCGAAGCAGAGGTCCGTAAGATCAAGATGTCGTTCGCCTTCATCGCTGTGAAGTGCTCTGTGAAGGACAAGGTGGTGATGAAGGGAGAGGTGATGGTGATGATGCCTGTGGAGCAGCAGGAGAGATGAGGAACCGATGCAGGAGTTTTTTTCTTGGGTTTTACTTTCATTAAGTTATTGTGGATAATAACCGTGTCAGATGATTTTCATTTTATTTTTTGCTGCACTGAATTCTGTGTGAACTCTGTTGAATAAAGAAATCAACATTTGTTTTGCAACTTAAAAAAAATGGGGTTATTTTTGTTTTTGTTTTTTTTTGTTTGATAAAATCTTTTCATCCTGTCAAATTCATCTGATGCTGCCTGTAAACAGGAAGAGTTAAAGTAGCGCCCCCTGCTGGAAAATCAAAGCTCAACTGTGTTTAGAGGTTATCAAACATTACTATGATGTTATTGAAGGAATCTGGGAAATAAAAACTAAACCTGATGGAAGATTTTTCAGATTTTCCATTCTAACACTTAAAATGTTTTACTTAAGTAACTTTATTAAGATCAAGTTTCTAATTATAGCTGAATGCAGTTTTTTACTGTTTAAAATAAATCAGTAGGAATAATGGGAGGAGAATTAATTTAAAACATCTGAGGTCATCTTTATATGATACCAATATCTTTTATTTGTACAGGTCATCAAGATTTTATCTGGTATCATCTCTTTGTCAATGTCAGTCATATATTCAATGAAGTTTATTTTTATAGCAGCAATTCACAACATGCATCATCTCAAGGCTTTTTACAGAGAAAATACAGTCAGATTGGTTCAAAGTTTGTCAAGGAAAACCAATTGATTGATTCCAGTCACTGAATTGAAAAACACGCTCCTCCTGGAAGAGCCTGTGGAGATGACCTTTGGTTGCTTTAGGGTTATATATCCATCCATCCATCCATTTTCTGACATGTTTATCCCTGCTGGGGCTTCGTGAGGGGTGCTGGTTCCTCCAGCTGTCTACGGTGAGAGTCGGGGTACACCTTGGACAGGTCTCCACTCCATTGCAGGGCAACACAGAGACAAACAACCATTCATGCACACACTCACACCTAAGGAGAATTTAGAGAAGCCAATGAACCTAACAGTCATGATTTTGGACTGTGGGAGGAAGCCGGAGTACCCAGAGAGAACCCATGCATGCTCCGGGACAAGCAAACTCCATGCAGAAAGACCCCGGGCCAGGAATTGAACCCAGAACCTTCTTGCTGCAAGGCAGTAGTGCTTAATCACTTACTGTAATATAAATTCACCAAAATTAAACAAACTGCCTCCTGTTTTTTTTAACACCTCAGGCTCCTTAAAATGACACTCTTCTGATGCTTCTTTTGTAGCTGCAGTTAGCTGGCTACTCCATAAATTACAGGAACATCAGGGTGTGGGGAGGTTTTTTCAGCAAATGTTTCTAGCAAACTTCAAAAATTGAAGGAAGGATGAATGGAAAAATGTTCAGAGAATGGGCCAAAATCACACCTGAGCAATGCATGCAACTAGTTACTCCATACAGGAGGCGTCTTTAAGCTGTCATTACCAACAAAGGCTTTAGTACGAAGCATTAAATACATTTCAGTGTGTTCAATACTTTCCCTGTGTCATTTCACTTTATTTAACGTAACTTAATTTCTGGAAATTATGGTTTGATTATTTGGATGTGTGGACTGAACAAATTGTTACCGACATCTGGTAAACAATGATGGCGTGTTCAATACTTATTTCACCAACAATATATATATATATATATATATATATATATATATATATATATATATATATATATATATATATATATATACACTCAACAAAAATATAAATGCAGCACTTTTGGTTTTTCTCCCATTTTTAATTAGATGAACTCAAAGATCTAAAACTTTTTCCAAAGCACAATATAACCATTTCCCTCAAATATTGTTCACAAACCAGTTTAATTCCGTAATCCATCGCAGCTCACAGGTGTGCCATATTAAGATGTTGATTTGACACCATGATTAGTGCACAGGTGTGTCTTTGACTGCGCACAATAAAAGGCCACTTGGTGGGTGTGGAGGTAGAGCACATGACCCATCTACTGGCTGTTGCAGGTTCCTGTTCTGGTTCTGCAGACCTTTGCTGAATGTCTTTCTCCTGTCTTCTAAACCCATTTCCTGTCTTAATACTATAAAAAAATAAAAATAAAATAAAGGCCACCAGAGCCTGAAAATAAACTTAAAAAATATCAAGTCATCTCTCTAAAAAAAATCCTCATTACTGGATGTTCTTTGGTTCTCCATCAAACAAGCTCAGTAAAACAAGATACGGATCAGAGCATTTCTTCTCCTGTCATTAGAGATTAAATCTTTTAAATAGTTTTATAGATTTACTGAAACTGAATCAACAGAGAAAAGAATCAAATAGAAAATAATGAAGCAACTTGTAAGAAAGGAACAAAGAAATTCATCATAAATCTATTTGTTTTATATCTTTATTGGATGTAGAAATGATAGACTAACCCAATAAAATATGCTAAAAAAGATTTATCCATCAATCAGGAGGCATCAATGGAAGGAAACAGTGAAAACAGAATTTACAAACATAGACAACATAAAAACAGTGAGTCAATGATATCCATATATTTCCATTTATATGTGAGGAACCATCTTTGACAGAAGAGTTGGCCTGAGGTTCCACCTTCAACTCAGCAACTAAAGTCTGAGAGCAGTTCCCAGCCTTTCATGTGACCAAGGTAGCAAACAGAGGACAATGAATAATGAGAGGAAAGAGCAACATCTCAGGCTAAAGCTCCTCTCTGTGTTCTACAGGTTACTGGATCCACAGCAATAATCTAAAGACACAGACAGTTGTTTGTGAAATAATGAATCAATTCTGCTCAAATTCACTTGTTTGAATCATATATTGAAATAAAGGAGAACTAATCTAATCTATAACACTAAATGCTATTTTCTCCATGTTAAATGTTGACTGGTGTATATTTTAAAAGAGATTTTAATACATTTCAACATCATTATATACTTTCAAATCCCAACAATGCACTATATGAATTCAATTATATGAATTAAAAGTAAAAGTCTGCTGATATTTTTGTCTTTTGATTCTTCAGTTATATTTGAGTTATATTTCTACAAAGAAAAAAATAAAGTACCTATTTGTAGATTATTTAGAAACATGTTTAGCTAATAAGACTGATAGAAATGTTTATACATGAATGAAAGTGAAGAGTCCACCAGGTGGCGCTCTCCAATCTCAGAAAAAAGCAGAAACCAGATTCTGCAGCGTTCATCAGTCTGGATGTTTGGATCTCAGTTTGTTTCCATCAGCAGAGCTCTCCAGGGTCCTGATGTCTCCACTAACCTCACCTGTTCCCTGTTCATGATCAGCACACCTGGATCTGCTGTCAGAACCAAACTAAACTCCACATCATCCACTTCATGTCTTAGTTTGTAGCATCTGGACAGATTATGAAGCAGATCTGAAACTGACCTGAAAACAACCAGATGATCAGTCAGATCAGATCAGATCATCTCCAGTTTCCTGTTTCAAACACTGAGTTTCAATCAGATCAATAAGGTTTCATTTGGACTTTGTGTTCTTCATGCTGAGAACATCAGAGCTGCTGTTTGCTCACTGAGATCTTCATGGGTAAGATTTTTACTGTATCATCACCAGTGGAAAATAATGGAAACATCTTGTCAGTGAATTTGTGTGTGTGAAAGCTGTGTATATGTGTGTTTGTCTCCAGATCAGAGAAGGACAGCTTTCCTCTGTCCCAGTCCAGATTCACTCGGATCCTCTGGAGCTTCTTCTCTACTGACAGAACTTCAGGAGGAGCTGGTGGAGATTGCGCATAGTATTTCCCTTCAAACAACCATATAATCAACAATCCAGACACTATAATTCCCTTCCTCTTGGTAGACTCTTCTAACACACCAAGTCTCCAACCTCCACTGTCTCCAACATCAACATCCCAGCTGTGATTCCCTGAGTTAAAGCCCTCAGAACTCAGGACAGAACAGGACCAAAACCCAAACCTCTCTGGATTATCAAGAAGCTTTTGTTCCTCTCCAAAAGTCCCACTGGTCAGGTCTTCAGACAGGATGAGTCTTGAACCAGCAGTGTTTGGGTCCAGGATGAGAGGAGTGTAGGACACCATGTTCTTCATGTTGCTCCAGATGTTGAAGGCCAGGTTGCCCAGATGTTTGGCCTGGTCTATCAGAGCTCCTGAGGGCAGCTGTGGATCCTCCAGCAGGGGGCAGCGCTGGACTCTTTCCACTGCAGCCTTGTAGTTGTGCAGGAATGAGACGTCTTCAGCTCTCAGCTCCTCCTCTGTGGCTCTGACTGTGTCTGAAAGAGCTGCTATCTCTCTGCTCAGAGCCTCCATCTTCTCCTTCATCATCCCTCTCTTCTGCTCCTCTTCCTCCCTCAGTGCAGCCAGCCTGGCCTCCTCTTCCTCTGCTAGAAACTGATGAAGCTTCTTAAACTGCTCCTTAATCAGCCTCTCTGTGTGTCGGGCCTGGACCTTCATGTGTTCTGCTGTCTGATCAAACTCCTCTTGAACTTTCTTTCTGAGCTCCAGCTTCTTCTTCAAAGGTTCCAGAGTTTCCTGAAGTTTCTTCTTGTGTTGCTGAGCAGCTTCATCGATGGGTCTGAATCTGTGCTCGGTGTGTTTTTCTGAATCTCTGCAGACGAGACACACTGGCTGCTGATGGTCCAGACAGAAAAGTTTGAGTTTCTGAGAGTGCAGACTGCAGAGATCCTCTGAAGCTCTCTGCTGTAAGAAGGTCTCATACAGGTTCTTCAGAACATCCATCCTTGAATATTTCTTCTTACAAACTGGACACTCTTTTACTGGTTTCTCTTTCCACCAGTTCTTCAGACACTCCTTACAGAAACTGTGGCTACATGACAGAAGAACTGGATCCTCCTATAAGCTGGAAGCCATTTAGTCTCTGAGTGAAGCTGAAAACACAGAAGGTCCAGTCAGTCATGGCTCCCCTCCCTCCTCTACTAACTTCCCTCAAAGTGACTCTGAGTGGTGTTCTTGGTCCAACTCACCTTCAGTGTGTGGAGTGTGAGCAGCTTGAAGCAGCAGTGTTGGAGGTTTCCACTTTTCTCTCCTGCAGCTGGACTCACTCAGAGGAAGCTGCTAGTTTGGTCTGAAGGTGAATCTGATCGTCTGGGAGTCTCTCTGCAGGAACCAACAAGCACAAACTGCTTCCTGCTTTAGTTTAGCTCCAACTAAGGTGTGTTTCATTCCAAAGTCCTGAATTCAACCTCTAGCTGTTATAAAACTCAATGATTAACAGGTTTTATTTCTCTCTGCTCAGATCAGAACATAACCTGTAATAAAGACTCCAATAATCTGTCCTCAGTGCTGCAGTCGTTCAGCTCTGACTGAAATTTCTCTCCCAGATGTTCGTTCAGGAATAATCAGCTGACCTCCACAAAGTTCTCCTCTTCCTCCAGACCTGCTGCAACAACAACTCAGTCTCTGGAGCTAAATGTGGTTCTAATGTGATGCTTTTTCTTTCATTGACTTCTTTTTATCATTTGTTGCTAAATATAACAGAATCAAATGTTTTGATCTCATTCCGGGTCAGAACAGCATCACTTGTTAATCACTCTCAGTCAGTGAAGCTGAGATGTTATCAATGGAGCCAAATGGAAATAATCAGTATTGAGACGCTGAAAAGTTTCTTTGCTCAGATCTTAAAGGTCTAGTTGAGGATTTTTTTGAATTTTTGAAAAAAATTTCCGATCACACTGAGCCTGGTTCTGCTGTAGGTTTCTTTCTGTTTAAAGGGAGTTTTTCCTCTCCACTGTCGCTACAAGCATGCTTAGTGTGAGGGATTGCTGAAGAGTCAATGAGTCGATGCAATCAGCTGGTTTTCCTTAGATAGAAAACTTTGAATCAATCTGACTGGATGATCTGGTGAACTATAAAGTGCCTTTAGATGACGTGTTGTGAATTGGTGCTATAGAAATAAACTGAATTGAATATTCATCAAATCAATACTGTAGATTAATTTTTACTACTATAATGATTAAAAATGCTTTTCCACTAATTCTAAATCCAGGTGACTTGTATAAACACTTGCAATAGTTTTTTCTCTTAAAAAAAGTATTTAAACAGTCTTAAACTTTATTATAACATATATTGTTAATTTCATATTTTCTACTGCTATAAATTAGATTTTCTAATAAACCAGTATATCAACTTCACCTGTTTCGTTTCCTTTATTTTCATATTTCAAATCATAGCCATCTAACTTAAAATGAATCCCTTTATCCTCATTAAACTAAACCTCTGATATTGTAATATTACTAAACGGCTGAACAACGACTGCCACCTCCAGAAGTTCTTGGAGGATTCTGCCATATCTGGCCTCATCACAGGCTGAGACGACTCAGAGATCAGACAGTGGACTCTGGACTTGGTGGCCTGGTGCCTGCAGAACATCCTCCTGACTAATGCAGGGAAAACCAAGGAGCTGGTGGTGAACTTTCACCGAAGCAGATCCATCCCACTGACACCAGTGAACAGCCAGGAAACACATTGAGATAGAGGACTCTTATAAGTACCTAGGTGTTCATCTGAATAACTGGACTGGACTCACAACACTGAGCATCTACAAGAAGGATCAGAGCAGCTTCTTCCTGCTGAGGAGGCTGAGGTCTCTTGGAGTGCAGGGGGCGCCCCTAAAGACTTTATCTGACTCTGTTGTGGCATCAGCCATCCTCCATGGAGCTGTCTGTTGGAGCAGTAGCTTATCTGTAGATCAGCTGATCAGGAAGGCCAGCTCTGTGATTGGATGCCCTCTGCACTCAGTGCAGGAGGTGGGAAATAAAAGGATCTTATCAAATGGAAATTAGCATCTCTGTTGGATAATGTCTACCAGCCCATGCATGAATCTGTTGCAGAACTGGAGGGATCTGGAAGGAAGGATCTGTGATAACGCTCCCTGGTGCATTTAGGGTGCAGCAGTCTGTCACTGAAGGAGCTCTCCAGTTCAGCACCAGCTTCATGCATGGGGGGGGGGGGGGGGGGGGGCATCCAATCAGAGCTGGCCTTCCTGATCAGCTGATCCAGCCGCTTCCTCTCAGCTACAGATAAGTTACTGCTCCAACAGACAGCTCCTTAGAAGATGGCTGATGCCACCATGGAGTCAAAGAAGGTCTTTAGGAGCGCCCCCTGCAGTCCTAAAGACCTCAGTCTCAGCAGGAAGAATCTGCTCTGATCCTTCTTGTAGAGCCTCAGTGTTCGATAAACCACTTGGGAAAACATCAGTTCTGAATTCTTAGGGTTTAATAGTGTCACACATCATCAATAAGAAAAATTCTAACAGGATCCCTCTAAATCTGATTTGTTCATCCTTAAAATTGAAGCAGCATCTTAAGCAACAACAGAACCAGAATTGTATTTGGATTATTCTGATCCAGTTGTTTTCAGTTAGCAAAATTAATTTTATCTAAACCTTCAACTTGAATGTTAGATCCAGTTCCAACAGTTATTTAAGGAATTATTCCCTCTGATTTCCACCTACGTTTTATATTATAATCTGTAAAACAGAGATATGTACCACAGGCTTTTATAGAAGCTGTAATTAAATATTTACTTAAGAAACCTTCGCTTGATCCTGATTACTTAACCATAAACCATGTCTATTCTAAAATGATATAAAACAGTTGTAAATAGTTCAAAGAATCACAAACCCAGTTTTATTTCAAATTTCAATGGCTTTATTTTTATGTATATAGATTTGTATATATTTATATATATTATATTTATATATATATATATATTTATGAAACGTGTTCTCAGTTGCTTGATTATCATCTTTTGTTCAAACGACATGACACTAAGACCAGGGCATTCCACATGATCATATCTTACAAAAGAGTAAAGAAAAACCAGGAGTGTGTGCACACACACACGCACATCCATCAGCGTGCACGTGTCGTGCTTCTTTCTGTCTCTACAGAGAACCGAAGGTCACAGAACCAATGGGACGAGTGGACAGGGAGGAAGAGGAGGAATCAGGGGGAGAACGGGACCATTCTGTTGCATAGATCGAAGCAAACAGGACGACGAGACAAACAGACGAGATGAGAGTGAAACACACACACACACCTGGGGAAGAACAGGACGTTTGGTCCCAAAATGGGCCCAAACTGAGGCTCAGAACCAGAACTGAGCACTGAGGTCACTGCAGCAGCAGGTCACAGCCAGATGATGGCGCTGCAGGGTAGCTAAGCTGAGGCTATGGAGACAAAAACAGCTTTACATGAAATAAAATCTGAGCCAACATAATGCAGTAAATACAAGCTTTTATTCTGAAAAACATCCTTCATTTTCCAAATGACATTTAATCGCACGGTACCAAGTTTGATTTTACTGACAATATTTATAAAGAGTCTTTTTAATTAACTTCATTGGCATCTTTAGTTTAATTGGATGCCTTGGAGTTTTGGTTACGTTTTCTCACTTTGGAGCAAAGCGTCAGGCGGACGTCAGGGAGCTTCAGAGATTAAAAAATGTCTCCAACTATTTTACATGTGATGCAGCAGGTTGTTTTAAAGCTGCTTTACTGCCATTCAAAGGTTTTTAACAGCTTCAAACCCAAATAGGGAACTACTACTGCAAATAGGACTGGATCTAAACCGGTTCCTGTTAAACAGGGTTCACACTGGACTCTGGGACGTCTCTGAATCCGGTGTGACACCTGAAGCAGAAGGAACTGGTTCTACTCTCCCAGTCAGGAGAAATAAAGGGACAGAGAGTTTCTGAGGCGTGTTAACAATATTAAAGATGAGATTAATATTTTTTTGGATTAGAAAATTAACTCACAGATTTTAATTTTGAGGTTTGTTGACAAAGCTTCCCATAAAACCAAAGAAATCAGATTTCTGTCGTTGGGAAAGTCTGGATTAAGAGATTGGAGCTTTTATTCTTCACATTGATGTTTACAATGGTTGGGATGAAGGTGGCTTAGTGAAGAGGAGCGATGCGTTCAGGACAGTGAGTAAACCTGAGTGCTGCGATGGAATGAACAGAAAGATGAGTTTCCAGGCTTCCTCAGCGGTTTCACCTCACAGTGCAAATGAAGCCATGACTGTGTGTGTGTGTGTGTGAGAGTGGGGTGGGAAACGAGTCAACATTTGGGATGTTTCATTCCGTACTAAAACATGCAGAACACAGAACATTGAACACGGATACTGAACAGCTGCAGATTCTTTTTTTGTTTGTTGGGTTTTTTCTTTTTCTGGCTACAAAGAACACGACGGAACCAATCGCACCAGGTCGGACATATTGCTTTAAACCACCAAAGTCTGTATATATGTCATGCATGCCACATAGATGATATCATGTTTATACAAAAATAACACCAACGCCTATAACTGGCTATCATAGTAATTACAGAAACTAAAACTTTCAGTCTTTTTTTGCAACAGAGTTCAAACAGAGAACCAGATTTCTGCCTTTATATTTAAATCTGATATATACGCATGGATATATATCACAGATAAATATGTACGGAATTTAAATATGACTTCCAGCTGTGATGTTCCAGTTCGTTTTGCAGACGATAAGCAGGATCTTGGTGGAAGAGGCTCCTTCCTGATGGAGAACAAAGTTCCAGTCTGCTGCCAGGTGATCCGGGACGGCCCACACCGAGGCTACGGCAAGAGCAGAGGGACAATCCAGAACCAGGGTGGGGGGAGGGTCTGTGTGTGTGGCATGGAAACGACTTTAGCAGAACAATCTTAAAGCTATGCTGGGTGATGATTGGCTGATTGCCCCCCTCTCCCACTTCCTGGTTGATCTCATTCATTTTGTGACATTATTTACACATACGCCACCTGATGGTCAAGTGCGGGAGTTCAGCAGGAAGAGGAAGTGATGTCAGAGAGCTTGAACAGTCCCGCCCTCTCCACAGTAGGCTGTCAGTCATACAGAACGCAGCAGTACCTTGAGTCTTGCTCCAGGCTCCAGATCCAGGTGTCAGAAACCATCCTTCACTCCTTTGATCAGGATTGGAAGGAGGAACCGGGTCTAAAGGATCCGGTCTGATTCGCTGTGACAGCCAGGAAGGTTTTCCTTTAACGGATTATCAGAGTTCTGATGTTCTCAGGTTCTGATCCACCAGGGAAGGTCAGTCTGGATGCCGTTACCATCCATTGCGGATCAAACTGGTTTTCTCTGAAACGGTTTGAGAAGAGGCTGTGTGAACAGGTTTAAATGCTAACCTCTGGTGTCGGTTGTCGTGGGGGCGGTTCTGACCCAGAGTCCCACAGAGACTGTAAACAGACGACTGAACCAGCTGGCAGAGTAGAGGGGGCTGCTTCGCTGGACGAGAGGCGGAGCCTGGAGCCAGACTCAACGTGACCCGGTCAACAAACAAACCCACAAGTTGGAGAAATAACAACACATTCCTGTTTAATGTCGGACTCGGACCAAGTCAGAACCTTTACAGCATGTTAGAGCAAATCAAACTGGAGCCGATGAGAAGTGAACAGCCAACAGGAAGTAGACAAGTCACTGCAGGTTTGGGAGCCCTAACGTCAGGTGACTCAGACGCCACACGTGGCAGAAATATTGGGAGCTGTAAAAACAGAGAGTCCACGGCAGATTCCTATCATTCAGGTTCTGTTCGCTCACCAAACTCCTCAGGCTGTACACAGATTCATACATCTGCAAAATATTAAAAAGTACTTAATATAAAAATACAGAAGAATTGTAAAAAATGAACAAAACATTGAATTTTATATGAACAACATGCAAGAAAGGTTTCCTACTTAGTTAAACAGTAAAATAGAGGAAAGGAAGGGGGGAGGGGGGGGTCAAACCGCTTCTCTTGTAAACATCGGAGAGGTCCTTCATAGATGGTTCGGCAGTGACAACTGAAGAGTTTCTCCTCGCTTTTTGGTCGTGGTTGGAGGCGCCCCGAAGGGGTGGGGGGGGGGGTGATTTTGGGGGGTGGGGTGGGGGGTTCCGCAATGACTGAAAACAACATCCTATAAAATATGGCTCTGAGTACTTAGAAAAAGCTCGAGGGGGAAGATTAAACTGAGTCATGGAAAATATGGCAGTAGTAGCGAACCGCTTCAGTCAGGAGAGGCTGATGGCCGCCGGGGGGAGGGGGGGGACACAGTGGATTCAACTCTACAGGCCGACTGGTGACATCATCAGTCTCCTATAAACCGCAGCGTGACCTCCACACTGACGCCTGCCCGACACAGTGGGGCGGAGCGGCGTTGTGACGGCGATGAGCTGACGCCGTCTCCGCCGCTGGCCGTGTGATGTCACTGACAGCTCATCGGGAATTAGACGAACAAAGGAAGGGAAACGACGGCAGACGATGGAGGAGCGCCGGGCTGCGGACGCAGAACCGACGCCTCGCGGCCGGGTTTAAACGACAATCTGGAGCTGCGAGCGGTTTGCCGCCTGCAGCCGGGCTCCTCCTCCGGACTCTGTTCACGGCTCCACTTCCTGTTTATAGGAGCGAACTTCCTGCTCTAACAAAACAAAACGGATCAGAGCTGCAGTAGGCTAGTGTCTGTCCACGCTGCCATCACCAGGAAAACCGGGTTCCGGGCAGAACGACGAGCGGGACGCTGGTGCTCAGGTTTAAGGTCCGATTCTGATGTTTTTAGCTTTGTTTGACCCGGTCCAGCTCAGACCGCGGTTCTGCTCATGCAGTGTTGGAGAGGAGCGGTGGAAAAGTGTTAGTGTTGTTAAAGGAGACGGTAGTGAAGCGACTGGAGGAGCGTGGGGGGCGTGGCCTGTGTGCTCTACAGCCTGATGTTTCCTTAATGGGGACAGACAGGAAGTTGATGGAGCTCTGAACAGAGACGGTTTTCCAAACAGCTGAACTCACAGGTCATCATGCGACTCAACGACAATTAATTGAAACATGCATCGTTTACTGGATAAACTGGAACAGAGGGAAGTAGAGCGGGCCTGCTCTGGATGCTGCCGTGTAGCGGCGTGTTGGGAACCCAAACAAACTGCCTTCCCACAATGCACCACAGCATGCAGAGGTGAAAAGGGAGGAAGATTCCTACGAGCGAGTTTTAAGGTTAAACAGGTGATCCTGATGAGGAGACTCCACCCTTAGCTGATGGGATGGAGGTGATGGAGGAGCAAAACTGAACAACATCACAGTCAGGATGGAAAACAGTGCAGGGCGTGGATGTGCGGGATGAGAGGATGAGCCGAGGGGTGACTCCCCTCCTCGGAGTGACAATCCAGCTGCTGGGTGACTGAAGGTGATGAAGAGGAGGGAAAGGAGGAGGAGCTCAGATGGTGAACTTGCTGCCGGGTGCTTCTCCTTCGCCGGCAGCTGAGAATCAGGGAAGGGGCTCGATCTCCTCGATCTCCTCTCCTGACTCCTCGATCAAGCTGATCCGAGCCTCCTCCGCCGACTGAGGCACAAACTCAGGATGGGCCATGAAACTATGGATGGAGCTACGGGAATGTGGACTCTCCATCTCAAAGAGGGAGCTACGGAACGCGTTCACCACCTTAATCTGAAACAAAAAGAGAGGAGAAACGTCAGGAGGACAGGAAAAACAATCTGCGTCAACAACACCGACTTTAACAGGCAATGGGGGGGAGGGGGTCTGGATCCGGACAGCCAGATGCAAAAACCACAGAACACAATGAAAACAAAGGAACCATCACTGGGAACATGAAAAGGTTCTCAAACACAAAAGATCCAAAAATGCTCGTCATGATGCTGGAGGCAGCCCACTGAGGGCGGGGTTGGGGGGTAGAATGTAAACACACACACCATCCATTAACTGTCAGGTTAGTCTGAACACGCAGTCACAATACTGCAGATCTACAAGGTGTAGAAAGACATGCCTCAGATCATCACGATGCAGAATCAACCTGAGCTACTGCTCATGATGCGCTATGCTAACCCTCAGTCTGCACCTCTGTAGGGTGGATAATAAAACTAAAGCTCTGACTACTGGAGAGTCCTAAGAGAACACTGACACTTCATCCACAGAATAACGGTTGAACCTCAATCATGGAAGCTAATAAAAAACAAAACACCAAACCTGTTCCTGATGTAACTAAATGATGTGAATTAAACGCGCTAACAGGAAGAAGCAGAACCTAGACGCTCCACAACCATTCAGCACATTGATCTTTGGATATTTCTAGCATCTGCGATAATTTGATATTAACTCCCTCAGATGAGAACGGAGCTGCACTGATCCGTCCTAATTTTCTTGTTGATTCAGGTTTCCTGCTGCTTGGTCATAAACAGAGACTCAGTTTGAGGATACGGTTCCTATTCTTCATTAGACAGACACTAACCCACCATCCAGGTCCGACAGTAAACTTCCCACCACGACCAAAGCCTCAAACCGATTCCCCATCATGTAACCATGGCAACTGGTGCATCAGAACCAGAAGGGGAGGTTCAGCGTTGCTAAAGGTTTGTCTTGCGTTTTTATAAGCCTCAGTATTATTTTTTTTTACTGAATCAGTTGTAAGACAATATAATCAGAAATAAAGGGCTGACTTCGCCATGATGGGAAACCTCAGACAGAACTCTGTAGAAGAAACTACCATCACCTTGTTTAGCTCCTAATTCTGCTCTGTCCTCTAACTACTCTGATGAATCCACTGCTGCTGATCAGCCTGATTTATACGCACCAGCACACTCTCTTCATCATAATTAATAACCTGCAGCTCAAATCCCTGAACCACAGAAGAACTGAAGCTGAAAACACACACAGTTAAACCATGAGAGACTTGCTAAGCCCGACAGATTCAAACCTTCTCGGGATTAACCCATAAAATTATCTCGGTAACCAGGCTGCTGCCTCTGGGCGGAAGAGGAAGCGACTAAACAGATTTATGGTTTTGTTGTTGCCTTCACAGTGACCAATCAGAAGCCTTCCTCTCCTCCTCTGACTCATCGGCAGCAAGTCTCACCAGGTCGTTGCAGAGGTTTGCAGGAAAAACGTCCAGAACATGCAGGAGCAACAGCTGCACTTTGACTACATGACAGTTTCAACTGAAAGATGAAGATGAAGCAGAGGAAACGAAGCAGGTGGTCTGCATGTTCTCTGAATGCGATGCTCGGACTGCAGCAGGAACCCGGCAGGTCCAGAATTTAACTCTGACTCTGAGTCAGAGACAACGAGCTTAAAAATCTAGTTACTGCAGCTCTTTGAACTTACGACCCTGAGTGGACCCATCGTCTCCTGCAGCACAGTTTAAAGATGTTTATTTCAGCTGATTATTTTTACAGTTCAGTCGTTTTTGTACTTCTGTGCTGCAGAGACCATCTTTAATCTTATTAAAGCTGTCCAATAGATTCTGCGGTTAGTGGAGCATTGGTTTGACTGGTTCTACTGGCGCTCAGTCTTAGATCTCTCTGACTGGTTGGTTTGATCCGATGAGGACATGCAGACACCTGCTGAGGACAGACGCAGCTTCATGCAGAATAAACAGAGTCCAGCCTGGTGTTGGGCGCTGGGTGAGCTGGCCTCAGGTCACAGACTCACTGCCTGCAGTGGAAGAGGAAGCAGCAGCAGCAGCAGGGGGCGCGGCCCCTGCCGAGTTGGTGAGGGAGGAGGAGGAGCTAAGCCCTACGTGGGTGGGGCTAGAGAGAGTTTTTGCGGCAGTGGCATCATTGTGTTGGCTGACGACGGACGGCTGGCGGCGCAGGGCACCGGGCACCGGCGCCTGGCCCGTCTGGAAGGTATAGACCACATCCATCTGAGGGGAGGACAGCCACAGTTAGACAGCAGAGACAGAGCGAGAGGACGGCACAGAGGAGAGCAGGAGGAGCAGAAGAGAAGTTAGAGTGTTAGACAAAGCCAGATCTGAACAGCCATTCGTCAAGATGTCAGAGATCAGAGGAAAGAGGTTTGTTTCCTTCAGATAACAGCGGCTCTGAGAATCCACCGCCAACCTCTAAACCACCATCTGATAGATTCCCCCCCTTTCATTCAGAGCTTTCAGCACTTTGCAGAGTGCAGCCACAGATTTCAAAGTCATTTATTATTATTTTATGAAATGATATGATACAAAAAGATGGATGGCTTTAAATTATTAACAAATATAACATGTAACCTCGTTTGAATGGTTTTCTGCGCCGTTTACTTTAATCCTTTATACAACAGAGTCCCCCCATCCCTCAGTGAGGTCTAGAAGCACAAGATCTATATCCAGCCATTCAGCAAAGATGCTGCTACATGGCTGTACATCTTACTTTGGCATTTGACCAATTAGATGAGCCTTTGAATTATATATAACCTACTGGAAATTAAGTTGAGAAAAAGTTAACAAGAAAAAAGCAAATTGAAAAGTTAAAAAGTAAAGTTAAAACATTAATAAGCCTTGTTAACAATTATATTTAGGTTTATAAACTAAAAATTGTAATTGCCAGTATCAGCATTAATGCTTTTAAGGTTATGTTGTACCAAAAAAAAACAGTGTTTTTCATTAATTTATTCTAGAAGCACTTTTATTGTTTTTCTTAATACATTCGGGCAAGTTGGCTTTTCTTATTACATTGACATTAATTTTTGCCATCCAAATATCCATACTTTTTTAAATGTTTAAAAGGTAATAAGGTTTTGTCCTGGATTCCAATAACAATATTGGCCTGAAAGTTGGATTTTAATGAGTCCCCTATAAGGGGTTAATACCCCTAAATAAACTATTATATGGAAGTAAATCTGTGTCGCTGGGATTTAAATTAAAAATGCCACTGAAATTTAAATGTTGCATGTTTGTACTTACTGTTTCAGTGTTAAAATATATTCAAAACACATCTTAGACCTAAGAAAAAAATCATTGGCATTATTTCTACACAGTTGAAATTTCATTTATTTCCTCTTCAAGCTAAAAAATTCACATTACTATTTCAAAGTGATTTGACTTGATTTTTCAGTTTAATTTTTCAGTGTTAATAAAATCTGTATATAAAAAATTCAACCTTTCAAAATTCAAACTCAATATTCAACGGTGAGTTTATTTCTTTCATTTTTCTGTAGTTGAGTTAGCGTTAGCTTGCATGACCGGGTCCGTCATGCTGGTTTTCCTTACCGTATGAGCGCCATAAGCGTCACGTGACTAAGAAACCGTAACGGGATTGGCTGGGTGTTGGACGCCACAATCCATTGCTAATGTCTCTGACCTGAAGTAACCCTTCCCTTTTTACACTGAATTTAGACGCCGAATTTAAGACAGTGAAATAGAGCCAGTTGAATCTCAGCAGGCTGAAAATATTGAGTTTGAATTTTGAAAGATTGAATTTTTTTATATGGAGATTTTTTTAACACTGAAAAATAAGTATTGAAAATGTAATCACTTTGAAATAGTAATGTGAATTTTTTAGCTTAAAGAGAAAATAAATGAAATTTCAACTGAGTAGAAATAATGAAAATGATTTTTTTAGGTCTAAAATTTGTTCTGAATATATTTTAACACTGAAACAGTACAATACATACAGTACATACAACATTATAAATTTCAGTGGCATTTTTAATTCAAATCCCAGCGACACAGATTTACTTCCATACTATTAGAGATCAGAGGAAAACAAAGCTTTTTTCTGCAGGAATATGCTGCAAAAACGATCTAGAAATTCTTAAATTATTGGAATTTACCCTGGCTTACCCTCCACCAGTTTAGACCTAAAGCAAACGAGAAAATCTCTGACAAGACTTTAAAGCTCATCTTCAGACCATCTCCATCCGATCTACCTAAGTTTGTTTCCAGGTAAGTGTGAGCTGGCCAAGACCAACCCAACAGCTGGAAGGGGTCCTGATTCATGGATGCATTAGCTAGATAGGTGGTGATACTATGCAGTGAAGGGGGGGAGGTACATTTGAGGTGGAGTTATGGATGAAAACTGTGTTTTTAAGGTTTTTACCATTAAATCAAGTTGAAAATCCTGTTATCAGATTCATACAAATAAACAGAAGTTTCTGGTTGTAACAAACAAAGCAAGAAATTGTCATTGAACCAGAGGTTCTGATCCGAGCAGCATGTTTATTCCTCCTCTAATCAGACTGTTAAGAGTTTCATGGTTTCATTGATTAACAATAGAACCGAGTTTCAGCAGCTAATTTATCAGACGTATTTTGGAGCTCCTGTCATGAACTGAATTTGGTGTCCAGGACTGTTGCCGCATTATTGATGAGGCAGAGAGAGTTTGGGCAACATGTGAAGAAAAGGAAAATCCTGAGGGAGAAAGCAGAGGATGAGCCTAAGAAAATGAAGGAAGAGAGGCAGCAGAGTGAAGCGAAGTCTGAGGAAGTGGAAATGCTGATTTATCCAAGCCTCTGGTGGAATGAAGTGATGGAAGAAGAGCTGGACAATGGATGAGGAGCTCCTGAATGAAGCTTACATTACTTAGAGGAGCGGAGCAGGAGGAAGAGGAGAAATGTCATTTGGAATGACTGATAACGTTTCAGCTGTGAGGTGCTGCTTGTACCAATTATCCTCCCTCTGTGTTTGACTGCTGAGGCGTCAAGCGCGGCGACGTTGGATTAGAGAGGAGGACGACACGAAGAGGAACGCTGAGAGATAAGAACCTAATTAGCTTGGAGCCTTTTGTTGCCTCCCCATCTTGTCGTCCTCCTGTCCCAACAGGACGACTGTAATCATTCAGATACATGAGGAAAAAAAGAGCTTCCTCATTTTCCAGGTGAGCACTCTGACCTGATTCCTTCTAAATCTTTCTGACCCGTTGGGTTCAGGTGTTGTTCGGTACCTCCTGACTGGCTGTGAAATGTTCGGTGTAAAGCTTTCATTTCCAATAAAGCTTATAGCTGGAGCTGATGCTGCTATAGGCTGTGGAGGCCGTTGGACATGATGACCACCTTTCCTTACTCTTCTTGGAGTTTGTTATTTATATAATCATTGTCACTTTAGAACAGTATAACAGCCAGTGCCAACATGTCATACCAATAAAAATGAACTTAAGTATTTATATGGTACAGAGATGTATGGAAGAGGATTAGGGCCACTGAAAAAAAAAACTTAACTGATTTTTAAATTTTATTTCAGTTTAGTATGGAAAAAAAGTCAGAATTCTGACTTTAATCTCAGAATTGTGGATCTTAATGTAGATGGGCACCATGAAGGAAGAGATGTGGAGCACTCTGCTTCACTGACAAACATGTGAGTTGTTTTAGAGGGCCAGTGACACGTTGGTGGAAAATGACGGAATAAGCCAACTTTTTATGTGCCCGAGGGGTCCCCTCATTAATGGAGGAGCAGAAGGTCATTAAAACAAGAGAGCTAGTCTCTAAAACAGACATGGCTATGGGCCGATGCTAACATGTTAGCTGTCAGAATTCGGAGAAAAAATTCAGAATTCAAAGAACAAAGTCAGAATTCTGAGATCAAAGTCAGAATTCTGAGATTAAAGTCAGAATTCTGACTTTTTTCCCATACTAAACTGAAATACAATTTAAAAATCACTTAATTATTTTTTTTTCAGTGGCCCTAATCCTCTTCCATAGAGATGTGTATGTAGAAATGATGTAAATTCGTTGAAGACTGTGATTGATTGGGGGCTTTGTTCTACCTCTTTCAATCAATCATAATCTGCAGCGTTTGTAGCCTTGAACGTTGCTCTTTCTGTGGAAAGTACAACAGGCTCAGTGCTTCTCTTTTTGACTGGAACCAGAAGCTGTCCTTAATAGGCTCCATCCAATGGAAGCCTGGTTAGTACCCAGGCGTTAGAAATGTTTGATCCTACCCCTGTTTGATTCCCTCTTTATGAGGCGTAAAGTGCATGGAGACCTTTATACTGCAAAAATAATTCTATCACAAATCCATGCAATAAGAATCCTTATGAACTGCAGTTTTCTTTACTGAAATAAAGTAATTTTATTTAAATAAGTGCATTCTACCTTTGAGTGGGTAAGTGAGACAGTATGTCAGTGGAAGATTATTTAAGTTTAGATAAAAAAAAACAACTCCAATATCTTCAAGTGTATATTCTTTTTTTAAGGTGAAAACAACTAATTCCATTGATAGATCGTCTTATTTAGCTGCTTAAACAAAGGGCAAGTACACTTATCTTAATACATTTCTATTTTTAGACCAGTTGTTGCCGAGTAGAACCACCTGCTAATGATAAAATACCTTCAGTATTAGTTAACAATAAGCAGTTGGGAATGTTTGACCTAATTCAACCTGGAGTTGGATCATTCCTAAATAAACCAAATGAAGATCATACAAGATTTTTTTTCCAAAGCTAACCTGACATTTCCCTCTCCTTGAAGGGTTGTGGTTAAATTCGACCAATCAAATTAAAGCAGGTTTTAAACTTGGACCGCGCTGTGTTTTGATTCGCTGCTGCTCACCATGAGCTCACTGCTAACTTCTGTTAATTGGGGTGAGTCGGATCTTGTTTCTATGGTAACAGAGACACCTGGTGCCAATTAACACCGCTACCAGTTAAGCACAGAGGCTGGCATTGTGCCATAAAAAAAATTTTCTTGGAATATTTCTTTGAAATTTCCTGTTCTGCTAAAAGTTTGCTCTGATTCTGCTGGAGGTTCAAAGGCATTTGTTCCTCCTCACTGCTACCGTATGCTTGTTTCGATCCAGGGACTGGTTCTAATGCCGGCTGCTGGGATTAATTAGACACCGTTTCACCAACCGGTTCAATAAACCGGATCTGATTCATCAGCAGGACTGAATGTTTGTACCTGAATCCTTCTAGAAGAAGAAAATCTTCATGGATTGATTGGAGCTCGAAAAATAAACTGAATGGAACAGAAACAGAATCAGGGATAATTTATGATTTCAGCTCTTTTTGTTTACCTTCTGGTTAAAGAAGTACGAGTTGGTCCAAACAGAGAAAACACTGTGTGTGTGTGTGTGTGTGTGTGTGTGTGTGTGTGTTGGCTGCAGTAACTGGACGTGGGCGCTAGCATCAAGGCTAATGAAGCCAACAGGGACAGAATGGACTGACTGTGGACATGTTGATGCTCAGTGTGTGTTGATTCTGTAGGAGGATGATAACAATCACACACACCATACACAGGTCAGCGCAGATCCTCCAGCTACAGTAGGCCTCCATGCTAACAGAGTTTGAAACGATCACAGGTTAACAGCGCCAGAGATCTTGTAACTGGAGGAAAACTGGTTCTACGTCCTGGTTTGTTTTAATGGCTTTTTTAAAAGGAGCCCTGAGGGCCACACCTCCTCTCATTCGCCGCCTGATTTTCCTCAACAAGCTTCTGGCTGTTAGTGGGTCGGCCTCTTTAATTTGAGTGTTTTAATGAAGAGGTTCTGGGCTGCAGATCTGCAGCAGAGTGTGAAATTAACAGAACTTCTGTGTTTCAGAGTGCTGTGAAGACGGCAGACGGTACGAAGCTTTAATGCTGCTTTGACAGATTTAAAAAGAACAGAATCTGAAGTGTGATGTTTAAACCACACGTCTTACTTCTCTCCAGATGTCTTCTGTCTCAGAAAGGCAGGGTCAACATGGAAGAACTAGAAGCATCTAAACCAACCTGACCTGATGTCCTCATGTTTTACCACTTTGAAGCTTTGGTTTAAGGAAGAAATACGAAAAAACAGCTAAAAATATTCTTTAAATTCTTCATGAAGGTGATCAAACAGCAGGGCTTCCAGTAGACCCGTGGTTCTCTGAAAACACCCCAGATCCTGCAGGACATCATTGGAAAGAGATAAGGCTGGTTGGCGGTCTTACCTGAGTCTGGATCCTGTTCAGACCTCTGAACCAGAGGATCTGGCCTCTCCTTAGCTCCATCTCGGCGTGGTCGATCTCATCCGTGTCCTCGGTCATCTCCTCCTTGTGGATCTCTTCTTTTGTGATGCCGTGGCCCGCCTCCTTCAGGAACTTCAGGTGGTGGGTCGGGATGGCTGAGATCAGCTGAGGATGGGAGAGAGGTTCAGGAATCAGTTCTCGGTCTCAATAAAGCGGCTGATCCAGGCAGTCCAGAAGATCCGGTCTTCTGTCTGACTAAATCTGACACTGTGTGATTTTTTTGCCCTTTGGGGCCGATTCTCCAGTCGTCCGAGAATTTTCTGATTGGCTAAATTTCAGCCTGATGGTGCGTCTTGTAATGTACACTGGGTAATAAATGTAAAGACTACCTCCTGATTAGGAATCGTAAGGTTGGGAGAAAATAAAAAATTAAAAATTCATGCGGCCGTCATAAGGTGGTCGTGGGCAAATCGCTCAGTGCACAAACAAGGATTCATCTTCTTCCTCTCAGATGAAAAAACAGCAGTATGGCGAAGGTGCAGTAAAATTGAGTTCTTTCTGTTAAATTGACAGACCGTAGTAGCCACTTTGCTCAGCCATGTTTTTGTCCAAATACGTCGTCTCCTTTTCTTTTTAGGGCTTTTAGCACAAAATTGCACAGATTGCCGAGGCAGCGCGTTTCACTCTAGTGGGTTTCATATTCCTCTTTAACTCATTTGGCTTTCGGATCGACGAGTCCGAGTAGCGAGTCCGGGTAGCGAGTCCGAGTAGCGCCATTTCTCTTCGCAGCTGAGTTGTACCGCGTGAGCTGTAGCTGCGTGCTACGACTGAAAATATCGCAGTGTAAGCCCAGCTTTACTAGAACCAGCGAAGAAGGCTGGTTTGATCGGAAGGTGTTGATAATTTCAAACATTTAGCTTTAGTTCCCTGTTGTATAAAGGAGCGCTACCGCAGGTCATTCATCCTTCCTGCAACCAGACTCTACAATGCGACACTACAACGGCAATAACCTGGGCAATGTATAACGTGCAATAACGCTATAGCTCTCGGGATCATGCTGGGGATCTGACTGCATGCACGATTTTCTATTCAGCGGTCACGCTCAAGGATGGCTGCGCTCTCGAAAGCGTCTCTGCCATCGGACTGATTTCCTCCCCACCCAAAGAATATTGTGTTTTGACAGGTTGGGAGGAGACAAACCTCTCTGTAAGCCTCCTCCTGACTGGGCCTTGCAGACACAATGACAAGGGAAGTTGTGTCAGGAAGCCTTTGACTGACGCTTTGACCACCACTGTCCCACCTCCTGCCAGCTGTCAGTCAAAGGCAGGAGCTCCTCCCGAATGGCGTGGGAGGAGCTCCGTAGAGCGATTTTCTCCTCAGTTTCGCAGCAGTTTCTCTCGCATGTGTGATTTTGTTGTGCGGTGGTATATAAACCATGAACAGAGGTGTTTTAACATACATTTATTTTGCTTGAGGGCCTTTTTGAAATAGATGTGACATAAATAACCCTGTATAATAATCCTGCTATTCCCTTGGCACATTCTTTTTCTCTTCTTTGACTATTTGAGCTGATGTAATGAGTAAATTTCTCTACTGTGAGATCAATAAAGTTAATAAAATCAATAGTCCGGTAAAGTAATTGAAAAATCAACATTTTACAAACAGATTCTTTCTGCTGCTTCAGTTGCATCTGAGTTTTTCAAGCTTCTATCATGTTTCCTCTTTAGGTTACAGATTCAGCCTCTAATTTTGCTAAATTTACACCGGAGAGACTTTTGATCACCACTAATTTACTGTGAGATGTTTAGATTTGACTGATTGTGTCTTAAAGAGTTTTTGTAAATGCCTTTCTAGGGTCAATGCTAAAGTATAATATGCTAACTGGATCATATAAATGAAAAGAACCTCAGAGTCTGCTCGACCTTAGCGTTGCTGCTGTGGGTAATCATGTGTGTAAGCGTGTGTCCACAGTGGGACTGAAACACCCTCGCAGCTTGTAAACAGGAGCTGAACTGCTTTCATGTGCTGAGCTCATTACCATGCCGATGGTCGCTAAGGCAACGCTGCAGCAGCAGCAAGTGTTTTCAAGACAAACACTAAAGCCACAAACTTTGGATTTCCGCCTCCTCGTGCGCCCACGTCTGTGGGAGCGGGTCTCCAGTGAAACTGAGGCTCTCACCTGTCCCCACAGCAGCTCGCCCATCCCGATGAACACACACCACAGCCACTGGTCGATGGTCAGAGGAGAGCAGGAGAACGGCTTCCCTCCAAACTGAACGATGATGATCTGAGGGCGAGAAGGAGCGTTGCTCAGGTCTATAAAGCTGCTCTATCTGAGGGGGTCTAGATGTGAAGTCCTGATGATGAACCTACCTGCAGCGCGAAGGTGCCCAGGACCACGCTGCAGAAGATGGGGTTTCTGTAGACGCCCTCAAAGACGTTCCTCTCGCCGTGGATCTTCCTGGCGTTGATCTCGTTGAAGAGCTGCATCATCACAAACACGTTGAAGACGATGGTGTAGTGCTCCGATGGCGGGGAGTGCAGAGGAGTGTTACGGCCAGAGTCGATGTCGAAAAAGTTTTCTCCTGAGAAACAACACGAAAGTGTAAAGATGCCCTGCAGGGAGGGGGAGGGGGGGGGGGTTGGTGGTCAGACCCACCTGCAAACAGCAGAGTGAAGATGATGATGAGCTGGAACACGGCGTGGCCCAGGATGTTCTTCATCATGGTTCGGGAGATGAGCGGCTTGTCTCGGCCGTAGGGTTTGCGTAGAAGCAGCGACTCTGTGGGCGGCTCGGTGGCCAGGGCGAGGGAGGCCAGCGTGTCCATGATGAGGTTGACCCAGAGCATCTGCACGGCTTTTAGAGGCGAGTCCTGGAAAACGAGGAGGGAATGTAGGGAGACGGGTTTTTCTCTGCGTCCGTTAGGATGGGCTGCTTTTATTTCTGCAGATGTATCTAAAAATAATAATTGAACTTACGCCAGTTTTTCTGCCAAGTTTAAAGGAAAAGTCCGCTCATATTCAGAATTCAAACTTCTGAAATTATTCCATCCTGTTCAATAAATGATCAGTGTTTTTAATTAAGAGTAATTTCCATGTGAATGTGCTTTACTGGAGGCATCCATGTTTGTCAAAGAACACTACTGCCACCTACTGGTTTGTGACGTCACGGTGCTACAGAGCCCCTAAAGGGACATGGAGGGAAAAAATAAACTTTTGAGAGATCCCGCAATACTTTCGCGGTATCTCGCAAAAGTTCTTTTTTTCCCCTCTATGTCCCTTTAGGGGCTCCGTACGGTGCGGTATCGGCTGTTGATCAAGTCCCAGTGCTGTATCTGGTGTTTGTCACAACGCGCTATTATCCAAGTCATCTTGAAAACATTCTTCTTCCAAATGTTGGCTATGTTGGCTTATACTTTTGCTGGATCTTGCAAAACTATTGCGGGATCTCGCAAAAGTATTGCGAGATCTCAAAAAAACTAAACTTTTGCGAGATCTCGCAAAACTATTGCGGGATCTCGCAAAAGTTCTTTTTTTCCCCTCCATGTCCCTTTAGGGGCTCCGTACTGTGTGGTATCGGCTGTCCAGTGTCCAAGTCCCAGTGCTGTATCTGGTGTTTGTCACAACGCGCTATTATCCAAGTCATCTTGAAAACATTCTTCTTCCAAATGTTGGCTACATATTACGTGTTTTTTCTCTGGCCAGAAGTTCGATGGCAAATCCTCCCTCTTCAAGTTGGCGATCCAACGACCAACCCGTCCGTGGAGGATCAGGAATCAGAAAGGTGGAATAACTCTTATTTTTCACTTTTACCCGATGCATTCCAGCATCCAGCTGCCATGCACGTGGGCATTGTCAGTTTCACTATAGCTCTGGTGAATTTCAATGGTGAAGTCCTCTGGAAATCTTCAATAATTGTTGTTGATTGCAGATGTGTCTAGTAGTTCCCATTGATTTAGCTTGTAAAGCGGGGAGAATGGCGCTAGGCTTACCGCACCGTGACGTCACTGCTGGAAGATGGCAGGAGGGAGGGGTTACTATATTTGGGCAAAAATGGCCAACGAAAACTATTTTTATTTTTTTACTGATTAACACTTAATTCATTAAATCACCACAAACGTATCAGTTTTAGGTATAAATAATGATCCACTGAATATTCCTTGCTAACTGGACTTTTCCTTTAAACTGGTTTGTGGACTATATTCAAGCACCCCCACCTGCACAATCATACCAGTTCCCCCCCTACAGTGAAAAATTCTACCCCATCATCCTCTAAACGGCATCCCTGTTCGAGATGCCTGCATAACTGCTAATAGCTGCCGTGCATCCTGACGTTTCAGTCTAACATCTCATCATGTAGCCCTCATTAACCCCCCCCCCCCAATCAGACCCTTGAAGCCCCCCAGCCGGTTCCTGTTGGTACAACAAAGGCAGAGACCATCTTTAATGATGTGTGTCAACATGCCGGTGGCCCGACACGCACCAAGCTGCTGCTTATGATGATGATTGGGGGAAAACTGAGCTTGCGGACCTGCTGAGTTACTGTTATATTTCAGGAACTTTAATGTGACGTGTTGCCATGGTTTCAGGCTGATTCTTAGCCTGGTTTATGTTCTCGGTGCTGGAGAGCGGTTAGTTATCTCTGCTGCCAGCTGTGAGCTTTTTAATTAACACACAACCCAGAGATTTTCTGCTCCGCATCGGTTCAGGAGTTCAGTTTCCTCATTGAAAGAATAAAAGGTGTCGGCTCACCTCCTGACAGCAGAGACCAGACTCAACCGTCATCGTCGCTTCAGTCAGTTTGTCACAAGCCGTTTCCCCAGAAAATAACACTGGTTTATTAAAACGGACATGTGATGATAGAGCATCTGTTTAACCGACTAAAATCCTTGCTGACAAACGGACTGAAGCGCAAAACTGAAACATCATAGAAATGAAGTTAAGGAGGTTTTCACTCTTATTAAGAGTTTAAAACTAAACTCTCGCCTGGAGGAACGGGGAGCAGTTACCTGGGTGATGCAGGCGCCGGTGAACGCCACGATCACCGCCACCACGTTGACGGTCAGCTGGAACTGGAGGAACTTGGAGATGCTGTCATAGACGTTCCTCCCCCACATGACGGCCTTGACGATGCTGGTGAAGTTATCGTCAGTGAGGATGATGTCAGACGCCTCTTTAGCCACGTCAGTGCCTGCGATTCCCTGAGAGGGGACAGAGGAGGAGGCGAGGATCAATGCGGGAAGTTAAGATACCCCTTCAAAGACAGAAACAGGGACGTTTGTGTGGAGCAATCTTCTCCTTGCTGTATTTTTTTTCCATCACAGGGGAGTAGAAACATCAGTAAGCTGTAACTGAACACCCAGATCTGATGGATGAAACCTGTCTGAGCTGCAGCAGAAACCTGCTGTAAAGGAAGGTGCTGTGCAGCAGGAAGGAGACCTGCAGACATGTTTAAATTCTGCAGCTCTGAGTGGGAACATTTGCTTTGATGTGTGCAGGAGCAGCTGAGTTTAAAGGTACATAAAGATGCTGCGTCTCACTCGGTCCCTCCAGATTGCCGCTGCATCGCTCTCTGGGTTCCAAACAAACAGGCAAGAATAGAGGAGCGCATTCATGGCTCTAAGCCCTCTTCTGTGCAGAGGGAAGCAACATGAGAGGTCTGAAGGCGCAGCAGCTGCTCTCCAGCCAGCAGGAGACGCTGCTGTTCAATGACTTTCCTCATTGAAATAAGGTCAGACCAACTTTTATATCTATATAAATAACATGGAGAGAAATATCAGCTGTGCTGCTGCCATCAAATCCTTTGTTTATAGATAGTGGAGATCGGCCTGTTTTTGAGTGTAGTCCTGTTTCTCTGACTGTGACTAACTGGATGTGCTTTTTCGTCCTCTGACTTTGGAAACTGGCTGTGTGTTTCCTGGACGGGCCGCCTGTGGAGCTGGTTGACAGTTTCCTTTTGTATCTATGCTTCTTTTGCAATGTCTGCTTCCGTCTCCTTGAACCCCAGTCGGCCTCAGCAGATGGCCGCTCGAACTGAGCCTGGTTCTGCTGGAGGTTTCTTCCTGTTCAAATGGAGTTTTTCCTCTCTACTGTCGCTACAAGCATGCTTAGTGTGAGGGATTGCTGAAGAGTCAATGAGTCGATGCAATCAACTGGTTTTTCTTAGATAGAAAACTTTGAATAAATCTGATTGTATGATCTGGTGAACTGGAAAGTGCCTTTAGTTGACGTGTTGTGAATTGGCGCTATAGAAATAAACTGGATTGAACTGAATAAAAAAGGGCTTCATCAAATGGTTTCATCAATCTTCCAAAGCTGTCTGATGCAGCTCTAACTGCAGGGACATCCTGGCTAGAACATTCCAGTCATGTTAGGGTGGGCCTCTGCCTCTGATCTTGGAGATTTGTTGTTTACACACTAACCTTCATAACAGCCACTGAACAACAGTTTCCTCTCATTACTGATCGAACTTTTAAAGTTACAGCTACTAGCTCTGCTGCAGCATTTCTTCACCGTTTGCCAGGTCTGCTAATGCTAACCTAACCAATTCAGGTCAGAAGGAAAGTGGAAAGCTCAGTGCCTCCTGAGCTCCTTTGCTCACTGAAGTCAGCACCGACTCTCAAACTCTTTACCGATCTTACCCTCATTTGACTATTTCATGGTTTTTAGTTGGAATCTGAGAAATGGAGGCCATTTCCAGGCTCCCTCTTAGGAGACTTCAACCTACTACTCGTGTTGAAGCCTTCATTTTGAGGTTGGCATCATAACCTGAAGCAAATATTTACACATCTTTGACCTGCACAATTACTTATATAACCTTGTCCACAGTAAAACAAAACCCTTTAATTTTCCACCACTCTAGAAGCTCCATAGAAGCACATTTTACTGAAAAAGTTGTAGCTCTGTCCTTTAATATTCAACTCTTGTAAACCAGGAGCTTCTTAAATAACAAGTTACATTTTGTTTTTCTAAAAAGACCAAAGCCGATGCAGAAGAACGTTGTGGACATGAGGACAGGTGGTTAGGATCCAACAGCTGGTAATGTGGAGACATTGAAGTTCACCACATTTTAAGACCCTGCAGGAATCCTGGTTGTGAACTTTCTGGATTCAAAGGGAAGCAGCTCTGAAGAGTCGGGCATTAAACATGTACAGGTGCTGGTCATAAAATTAGAATATCATGAAAAAGTAGATTGATTTCAGTAATTCCATTTAAAAAGTGAAACTTGTATATTATATTCATACATTACATACAAACTCATATATTTCAGATGTTTATTTTGTTTAATTTTGATGATTACAAATGACAACAAATGAAAATCTCAAATTCATCATATCAGAAAATTAGAATATTACTGAAGACCAATAAAAACAAAGGATTTATAGAAATGTTGGCCAACTGAAAAGTATGAACATGAAAAGTATGAGCATGTACAGCACTCAGTATTTAGTTGGGCCTCCTTTGGCCTGTATTACTGCAGCAATGCGGCGTGGCATGGAGTCGATCAGTCTGTGGCACTGCTCAGGTGTTATGATAGCCCAGGTTGCTCTAATAGTGGCTTTTAGCTCTTCTGAATTGTTGGGTCTGGTGTATTGCATCTTCTTCTTCACAATACCCCATAGATTTTCTATGGGGTTAAGGTCAGGAGAGTTTGCTGGCCAATTAAGAACAGGGATACCATGGTCCTTCAACCAGGTACTGGTAGCTTTGGCACTGTGTGCAGGTGCCAAGTCCTGTTGGAAAATGAAATCTGCATCTCCAAAAAGTTGGTCAGCTGCAGGAAGCATGAAGTGCTCTAAAACTCCCTGGTATGTGGCTGCGTTGACCCTGGACCTCAGAAAACACAATGGACCAACACCAGCAGATGACATGGCACCCCAAACCATCACTGACTGTGGAAACTTTACACTGGACTTCAAGCAACGTGGATGAAGTGCCTCTCTTCTTTTCCTCCAGACTCTGGGACCTTGATTTCCAAAGGAAATGCAAAATTTACTTTCATCAGAGAACATGACTTTGGACCACTCACCAGCAGTCCAGTCCTGTTTCTCTTTAGACGCTTCTGACGCTGTCTGTGGTTCAAGAGTGGCTTGACACAAGGAATGCGACAGCAGAAACCCATGTCTTTCATACGTCTGTGTGTGGTGGTTCTTGAAGCACTCACTCCAGCTGCAGTCCACTCTTTGTGAATCTCCCCCACATTTTTGAAGGGGTTTTGTTTCACAATCCTCTCCAGGGTGCAGTTATCTCTCTTGCTTGTACACTTTTTTCGACCACATCTTTTCCTTCCCTTCGCCTCTCTATTAATGTGCTTGGACACTGAGTTCTGTGAACAGCCAGCCTCTTTAGCGATGACCTTTTGTGTCTTGCCCTCCTTGTGCAAGGTGTCGATGGTCGTCTTTTGGACAACTGTCAAGTCAGCAGTCTTCCCCATGATTGTGTAGCCTATAGAACTAGACTGAAAGACCATTTAAAGGCTTTTGCAGGTGGTTTGAGTTAATTAGCTGATTAGAGTGTGGCACCAGGGGCCATCAATTTTGAACCTTTTCACAATATTCTAATTTTCTGATATGATGAATTTGAGATTTTCATTTGTTGTCATTTGTAATCATCAAAATTAAACAAAATAAACATCTGAAATATATGAGTTTGTATGTAATGTATGAATATAATATACAAGTTTCACTTTTTAAATGGAATTACTGAAATCAATCTACTTTTTCATGATATTCTAATTTTATGACCAGCACCTGTATGAGCGTGGAAGTTGCTCCACACTGGATTATCTGTGAAATCCCAGGAATCTTGTTTATGGCACTGGGACGCATGGAAAGGGCGGTCTCCCTCCCCGTTGATCTGATGGTGGAGGAGGGATCCAGCAGTCATCAGAGCACCCAGGCTCAACATTTATTGATTCATAATTCAATTTCACAGCAGCCTCCATGAATCCCAGGCATTCAGCTCAGAAGACTGCATTAGACACGTAATTAATTTCCTTGTTTAGCTGCTGGAGCGGAGAAAAAATCCAGCCGAGCTTTGAAACAAAGGAAAATATGAAGCGATGGTTACCATGGCGAAGCCAACATCAGCTTTCTTGAGGGCGGGGCCGTCGTTAGTGCCGTCTCCAGTCACCGCCACCACCTGTCGTGTTTCTCCCACCGTGCTGTCGATGATGCCTGATCGGCAGAGGGGAACAGAACCAATCTGTGTCAGTGAGCGTGAAAACGCTGGGTTCTCAGCAGCTGCAGCAGGAGGCGCTCACCTTTAACCAGAGTGTGTTTGTCTGTCGGCGACGACCGAGCCAGAACTCGCAGTTTGGGCCAAACCTTGTCCAGACGTTCTTGTTCAACCTAAAAAGACAGAATCAATGGATGAAATCCTCGGCCTGATTATGGTCCGTGTTCAACAGTAAATCGCCTCTGATGGTTTCAGCTTTTATATGCAGAAATTTATGTTTTCTAAATAAAAAAACACTATTAAAAGATTCTGTGGGTCACTTTTCCAACTACAGGTTGCTGTTTAGGGTTGGGAATTGATAAGATTTTACAAGGTTCCCTTATCGATTCTGTGAAACGATTCCGATTCCCTTGTCGATTCTGTGAAACGATTCCGATTCCCTTGTCGATTCTGTGAAACGATTCCCTTATCGATTCTGTGAAACGATTCCCTTATCGATTCTGTGAAACGATTCCCTTATCGATTCTGTGAAGCGATTCCCTTATCGATTCTGTGAAACGATTCCCTTATCGATTCTGTGAAGCGATTCCCTTATCGATTCTGTGAAACGATTCCCTTATCGATTCTGTGAAACGATTCCCTTATCGATTCTGTGAAACGATTCCCTTATCGATTCTGTGAAGCGATTCCCTTATCGATTCTGTGAAGCGATTCCCTTATCGATTCTGTGAAGCGATTCCCTTATCGATTCTGTGAAGCGATTCCCTTATCGATTCTGTGAAGCGATTCCCTTATCGATTCTGTGAAGCGATTCCCTTATCGATTCTGTGAAGCGATTCCCTTATCGATTCTGTGAAGCGATTCCCTTATCGATTCTGTGAAGCGATTCCCTTATCGATTCTGTGAAACGATTCGATTCCCTTATCGATTCTGTGAAACGATTCGATTCCCTTGTCGATTCTGTGAAACGATTCCGATTCCCTTGTCGATTCTGTGAAACGATTCCCTTGTCGATTCTGTGAAACGATTCCCTTGTCGATTCTGTGAAACGATTCCCTTGTCGATTCTGTGAAACGATTCCCTTGTCGATTCTGTGAAACGATTCCCTTGTCGATTCTGTGAAACGATTCCCTTGTCGATTCTGTGAAACGATTCCCTTATCGATTCTGTGAAACGATTCCCTTATCGATTCTGTGAAACGATTCCCTTATCGATTCTGTGAAACGATTCCCTTATCGATTCTGTGAAACGATTCCCTTATCGATTCTGTGAAACGATTCCCTTATCGATTCTGTGAAACGATTCCCTTATCGATTCTGTGAAACGATTCCCTTATCGATTCTGTGAAGCGATTCCCTTATCGATTCTGTGAAGCGATTCCCTTATCGATTCTGTGAAGCGATTCCCTTATCGATTCTGTGAAGCGATTCCCTTATCGATTCTGTGAAACGATTCAGATTCCCTTATCGATTCTTTGAAACAATTCGATTCCCTTATCGATTCTGTGAAACAATTCGATTCCTTATCGATTCTGTGAAACAATTCGATTCCCTTATCGATTCTTTGAAACAATTCGATTCCTTATCGATTCTGTGAAACAATTCGATTCCCTTATCGATTCTGTGAAACAATTCGATTCCCTTATCGATTCTTCTCACAGTCATCTGAAGAATTTCTTTTAGAAACACTTCTATGTTTCTTAATATATTCAGGAAAGTTGGCGTTTCTTGTTACTAAATAGACATTTATTTTTGCCATCAAAATATCCATATTTTTTAATGTTACAAAGGTAATAAGGTCTTGTCCTGAATTCCAATAACACTATTGGCTTGAAATTTATATTTTTCAGAGGATTTAACTGAGTGCCCTATAAAGGGTTAAGATGAGAATCTTTTAAATGGCAGAAGAAATTATTTTTGCTTTGTTTGAAAACCATCCATATTTGTTCTGATAAACCTTCAGTTTACAAACTTTTGTGAAAATATAAAACCGATCATTTTACTTCAGGTTGCTGTGACCCAGGGACAGGATGAGAAACTAAAGACCTGAACAGAACTTAAATCTGTTGCTCTGTATGAAGGTTTTTTGCTCTCTCTAATGTTTCTGAGCATCTGTTTTCTTCTCACCTCTCCTTTGTCGTTTCGGATCTGCTGGTTGAACTCTTTGCCCTCCAGACAAATGAAGTCCTCTCCTGGCAGAAGGATGCCGCACTTGGTGGCGATGGCGCGGGCAGTGTTGATGTTGTCTCCTGTCACCATACGCACGGTGATTCCTGCACGCTGGCACTTAGAGATAGCCGCAGGTACCTGCAGGGTGAAAAGAAAAGATAGTTGAACAATCGTACAACCAACCAATCATTTGTTTACGGTGAGATAAGTAAAAAAAGATGAATAAAAAAAACAAATTTAATATTCATACCTTAGACACAAATGTACTTTAAACGACCAGATACTCAATACTTCAGAAAAATAAAATAGAATGGCTCAAACTTTAAGATTATATCAAGGCTACATTTGGAGAAAATAGGAAGATAAAAAGCAGTAAAATAAACATAATAGACTGACTATGCTGCAAATCTGACATTTAACACATTTAACGATCAGTGTTATTCATCTACAGCGTTATACTCGAAGATTGTCTCTTCACTTCAAATGATCACTTATAGGAAGGATCACAAGCTGCTGGGCTGCATGTATTCTCCATCTCAATTCAGCAGATTTTGTTCTTATTCGTTATTCAGAACATTTCCTTAAGCCTGTATCTGATTGGTTGATCAGATCTTGCGACATCTCCTCTGGTGAGGAGCTTAGCTTTGTGTTCTGACCGAGACGAAAACACAGAGAGAGCAAGAAGGTTTTTGTCCAATCAAATGAGAAAAAGTGGGATCTACTCCACAGGTTTCATCAGAGATTAATTTAGTTACCCCCCCACACCTTGAACTGCATCACTCAGAGCACCAGTGTCTGAACTCAGTCCTCAAGGACCAGAAGACAGCAGAAGACTTTCTGGTTCAACCCAGCTGAATCAGATGGATGAGTCGTTAAGTTGCCACTGAAACAGGAAGGACTGGAATCTGACTGAATGCATGAATTTTCTATGTGCGTGACTGATGCCATTCAGTTTTATGCTGTGTCTGTTAGGGGTGGAACGGTTCACAAAATCCACGGTTCGGTTCGATTCACGGTTTCTGGTCACGGTTTTCGGTTCGGTTCGATACATGTTGATTGTTACACCGAAATCCCATAAAAATTTATGGAATTAATGAAAAAATCCCCCCAAAAATAATGGATTGTAATTATTTTAAATGATCTGCGGAAACCCTGGATCATTTCGGCATGTTTTGCTGCTTTGAATTTAATCATCTGGCGCATGCTCTCTACCATCTCCAAGGGACTCAGAGCGGAGCGGACGGGAGCCACAGCGGAGGCTGTAGGCTTTGCTTTGTGCAGGCGGTCTGGAGCGCAGCGGGGCGGAGCGCTGACGGAGTATGAGGGATTTCGGGGTTAGCCTGATGTTGGTCATGTTGCTGTTAGCATAAACAAAACGTGTTGCACAATGCTTGCACACTGTTGCACTTTTATCCACAACTTTCTTTCTCATCGTCATCGTAGGTCACTCTAAATGCAAAGCGCTCCCATACAGCAGACCTATAAAGTGCTGCTTCTTCCAACTCCTGTTCTTTCCCACTCGCCATTCCCACACAATTCTCCACAACAACTGATTTTTTTCCCTGCTACACCCGGCTACGCTGCTTCACTTCTTCTTGTTTAGTACTGGTGGTTGCCTTTGGTCGCAGTAGCGCCACCTTCTGCTCTGGAGTGTAATCGCTTCGCCTATGAGAAAAAGGAGCAGCGCATGAACCGCACGAAACACGAGACAACCGAACCGAGACAGTCGAACCGAACGGTTCTGACGGTTTTCATAAATCGTCCCATCCCTAGTGTCTGTGCATCAGCCTTTAAAAATGTTTCAGTTGCCTTTTTCTTTTGTCAATATGACATGCAATTTATTTCAGCATCATTTTTCAAATAAGAAATACAACAAACACTACAAAAACGACAGCGTCATTCACTTAAAGAATTACTACACTCACATTTCACTGGAAAAACAATCTAGAAATAAGTAAAAATGACTTCAATGAAGTGCATTTACCCTTAATTTGAGTAGGTAAATAAGATAGTTTCCCAATGGAATGAGTATTTTTACTCTTAAAATAAGATAATTAGATAAGATGCACTTGAAATAAGACAATGCAATTGCGTTTTCTTATTTTAAGTGTAAATTGTCTCGGTCCATTGGCAAGATGTCTTTTACCTCCTCAATCCGAGAACAAATGCACCTCCATCCATCCATCCATCCATCCATCCATCCATCTTCCTCCGCTTATCCGGGGTCGGGTCGCGGGGGCAGCAGCTTAAGAAGGGAGGCCCAGACTTCTCTCTCCCCAGCCACTTCTTCCAGCTCTTCAGGAGGAACCCCAAGGCGTTCCCAGGCCAGCCGAGAAACATAGTCTCTCCAGCGTGTCCTGGGTCTTCCCCGGGGCCTCCCCCCAGTGGGATGTGCACGGAACACCTCACCAGGGAGGCGTCCAGGAGGCATCCTAAACAGATGCCCAAGCCACCTCAACTGGCTCCTCTCGACGCGGAGGAGCAGGGGCTCTACTCCGAGTCCCTCCCGGATGACCGAGCTTCTCACCCTATCTCTAAGGGAGAGCCCAGCCACCCTACGGAGGAAACCCATTTCGGCCGCTTGTATCCGCGATCTCGTTCTTTCGGTCATGACCCAGAGTTCATGACCATAGATGAGGGTAGGAACGTAGATCGACCGGTAAATCGAGAGCTTCGCTTTTTGGCTCAGCTCTCTCTTCACCACGACGGACCGGTACAGCGCCCGCTTCACGGCAGACGCTGCACCAATCCGCCTGTCGATCTCCCGCTCCCTTCTTCCCTCATTCGTGAACAAGATCCCAAGATACTTAAACTCCTCCACTTGGGGAAGGACACCCCCCCTGACCCGGAGAACGCACTCTACCCTTTTCCGGCTCAAGACCATGGCCTCGGATTTGGAGGCACTGATCCCCATCCCGGCCGCTTCACACTCGGCTGCGAACCGATCCAGCGAGAGCTGCAGATCACGACCTGATGAAGCCAATAGGACCACATCATCTGCAAAAAGCAGAGACGCAATCCTAAGGCCACCAAAACGGATCCCCTCAACACCTTGGCTGCGCCTAGAAATTCTGTCCATGAAGGTAATGAACAGAATCGGTGACAAAGGGCAGCCCTGGCGGAGTCCAACTCTCACCGGAAACGAGCCCGACTTACTGCCGGCAATGCGGACCAGACTCTGACACCGGTCATACAGGGACCTGACAGCCCGTATCAAAGGGCCCGGCACCTCGTACTCCCGGAGAACCCCCCACAGGGCCCCCCGAGGGACACGGTCGAACGCCTTCTCCAAGTCCACAAAACACATGTAGACTGGTTGGGCGAACTCCCATGCACCCTCCAGGACCCTACTGAGGGTATAGAGCTGGTCCAGCGTTCCACGACCAGGACGGAAACCACACTGCTCTTCCTGAATCCGAGGTTCGACTATCCGATGGACCCTCCTCTCCAGCACCCCCGAATAGACCTTGCCGGGGAGGCTTAAGAGTGTGACTCCCCTGTAATTGGAGCACACCCTCCGGTCCCCCTTTTTCAATAGGGGGACCACCACCCCAGTCTGCCAATCTAGGGGGACTGCCCCCGATGTCCATGCAATGTTGAAGAGTCGCGTCAGCCAACACAATCCTACAACATCCAGGACCTTGAGGAACTCCGGGCGGATCTCATCCACCCCCGGGGCCCTGCCACCGAGGAGCTTTTTAACCACCTCGGCGACCTCGCCCACAGAGATTGGAGAGCTCAGTCCAGAGTCCCCAGGCCCAGCTTCCTCAATGGAAGACATGTTGGTGGGATTGAGGAGGTCTTCGAAGTATTCCGCCCACCGACCCACAACGTCCCGAGTCGAGGTCAGCAGCACACCATCCCCACTATAAACAGTGTTGGTGCTGCACCGCTTCCCCCTCCTGAGACGCCGGATGGCGGACCAGAATCGCTTCGGAGCCGTGCAGAAGTCTTTCTCCATGGCCTCTCCAAACTCCTCCCACACCCGAGTTTTTGCCTCAGCAACCATCCGAGCCGCATGCCGCTTCGCCCGCCGGTACCCATCAGCTGATTCCGGAGTCCCACAGGCCAAAAAGGCCCGATAGGCCTCCTTCTTCAACCTGACAGCATCCCTCACCGGAGGTGTCCACCAACGGGTTCGAGGGTTGCCGCCACGACAGGCCACGACAGGCACCTATTTTAAGTAAAAAAGACTGATCTAGATATCAGTTATTTTGCAGTGAAATATTTTCTATTTTCTAACGTTAGACACAATGTCAATGGCTAACTTGGTCTATATCTTCAAGTCAATCCAAGATAGATAGACTAAAGATAGGCTACATACTATACTGTAGGATACATCTGGGTATATATGGATTTTCTTGGTTAGTTCCTCCACTGACCGTGGTGCAAAAAGACTTTTGTCCCGGGCCGTAGCGAAGCCATCCGTAGGCCTGTCTACAATGCTTGCGCCTGCCGTGCAAGGCCTACAGCTGTGATGCACCGAGGTGTACATCCTATGAAATATTCCTAGCTATAGGCCTGGTGATGACGCAACATTAACTTTTCCTCCAGTCGAACAACCAGCAACATATGAGCAGGTAAAATGTTCAGCTTGCAGACACAGCCTTGAGCGATCAGGTTTGTGAAACACAAAAAAGTAGAAAAAGGTTAAACTCTTGTTACTGTTTAACAGACCATAAACCAATCAGTGAAGGTTTTACTGACTGCAGCCTGGTTGGAGGAAAACATTGTTTATAATTTCCATTAAATCCAGACTCTTCATCCTCGCTGTCCTGTCTGTCAGAGTTGCCTTTGCTTTCTGTGTGTTTGGTTTTAGAGGCGCTCTCTGGGTCTAACCGACTCGGTACGGTCCAGTACCGCCCCCATTGGGTTTTAGGACCTAGAACACTGCAGGCAGTTAAAGCTTCCTTAGAAAAAGCCAGAACATGTTTATAAAAGTTGAATCTTTTATCAGAGAACCAGTCGACATGGTAACCAAAGCAGCGTATAAAGATTGTCAGAAATCTTGCTTTATGTTGTTTGTGCTTCCTTTACTATTATAAATCAATACTATTAATGAGAAACAGTATCTTAGATGATGTGTAATTAATTTGATTAATGGATTAAATCCTATTTTAACAAATGTTCCAGTTTCATTAAATCTGTAAGTGAGATCTCTCACTGGAAATTCATTCTTCAGAACAGATCATAGACTGATTATTCTACAGACGCCCATTATTTCTGTGCATGAACATAATTTAAATCAGCTCATTAATCCGCAGCAGTTTCCTCCATCTGACGGTGAAGCAGCAGCAGGGAAACGGCTGCATCCACAGATAACCGACTAGCTGCAGGCTGCTTCTTCTCATCCGGAGGTTCGTCTCCAGCCATGCGGCAGAGACGCCGCTACGCCCGACCACACCCACCCTGCTGACTCTTTATTTCAAAGACACCACAGCTTGCGTGTTCCTCCTCGGCTTTCTGTTTTGGATCTAGGCCGAAAAGATCACATATCAGCAGAGATCGTTATTAATGGATCTGAAGCTGCCGCTGTTGCCTTTTATGGTGACAAACTGCTGAGAAAAAATTGATTTGGGTCAATTTCACACCAAATGCAGTTTAGTTTGGGTTAATAATATTTCTGCACACAAAAAATTGAGATCTGGGTAAGTCATTTTTTCTTATGATAAGGGCATTTTTTCTTGAATAAAGCAGCTGAGTGTGTAAGGAACAAGATAATTTACATTTAAATTAAGAAAAAGCATTTTCTGTCTCTTATTTCAACTGCATTTTATCTAATTATCTTAATTTAAGATTAAAAATACTCATCCATTTTATTATCTTACTCAAATTAAGGGTAAATAAACTTATTTCAAGGTTATGTTTCTCATTTTCAGAACATTTTTGCAGTGTGAAACCTTCAGTTTCTCTGACAGACCAGTGTTTGTTGTTGAACTGACAATAAGGGTGAAAGCTGCAGCAGCTCTGAGGCTCTCTGAGCTTTAGCATCAGCTTCAGAGGCAACATGCAGAAAAGAGAGCACAGCTTTCATACCAACAGCCAAGTTTAAAGAGGAAATCTTTAAACTTGCTTGGTAAAAAGAGGTCAGATGAATAAAACTGGAAGATTTGTCACCGCACACCTTTTCTTCATACACCCCTATTGGTGTAAAATCAAAGCAGCAGGAAGAACTGCTTGGAACGTGCAGCGCCTGCCTACAAATCAATATGTAAAATAGTATAAATAGCTGCAAGGTCCCTGCCTTTAAATAAAGAAAAAAAAAAGAAAAAAACACTAATTACAGCCAATCAAACATTTTCTGAATGACATAAGCGAATGACTGAAGAAACAAGCTAAAAATAAAAAGTTTGTTGGATCAGTTTAGTTTTTTAAAGTTTGTATGAAGTCCTTAAGCTCAGTTTTAGTCCGTGAGGCAGACACCCTGTCTACTTTTAAGGCTAGGCTTAAAACTTTCTTTTTTGATAAAGCTTATAGTTAGAGTGGCTCAGGTTATCCTGAGCTATCTCTATAGTTATGCTGCTATAGGCTTAGACTGCTGGAGGACATAGGGACCCCTTTTTCATCATTCTGCTTCTTTCTATCTCTATTCTCCCACTCTGCAGAATCTGTTAGTTCAATCTCCAACGTTCTGCTCTCTCTGCTTTTTCTCATAGTAGCTTCATCTGGTCTGTTCCTGTTTGGGTGTGACTCCATCCTGGAGAGAAATATCAGCTGTGCTGCTGCCATCAACACCTTTGTTTATAGATGTTGGAGATCGGCCTGTTTTCCAGTGTAGTCCTGTTTCTCTGACTGTGACTAACTGGATGTGCTCTCTTTATCCTCTGACATGGGAGCTGGCTCGGAGCTCGTCTGCCTGGCTGTGTGTCTCCTGGTTCCTGGTTCTGTTGGAGGTTTTTTTTTTCCTGTTAAATATGAGTTTTCCTCTCCACTGTCTCTACAAGTATGCTTATTGTGAGGGATTGCCTTCGAGTCAATGATTCGATGCAATTAACTGGTTTTCCTTAGATAGGAAACTTTGAATCAATGTGACTGGATGGTCTGGTGGAATTATCTGTGTAAAGTGCCTGGAGATGACGTGTGTTCTGATCATTTTAAGGCCTGAAACATTATTAATAAGAAGTCAATATGACCCACATGTTTATATTAGGAACTATGTTACCACATGAACAGGAGAAGTTAGAAACCATGTTTAAAATGTTCCAGTAAGTTCTGGACTTGTTACAAATACTCTGGGACGTCAGGCATACACTGGCTAAATCGGTAAGGTGTGACAGAGCTCTTATTTTGGGAGCTTTTAAGCTTCTTGTTGTGGATTGAAAAAGTTTGTGAGGCTGCAGCAAACTTCCACTCGTTGTTCAATCTACAAAGATGTGCAGATGATCTTTATAAATGAGACCTGATAACTTCCCCACATCGGGAAAACGCAGCGCAGCAGTTAAACTCTGATCAATGTACCTCGGTCTGCTGCTGGCTTCTCTAACTTCTGTGTAATAAAACTGAATAAAAAACTGTTTTAACATCTGTCACAGATGGAACAGAGGGAGCAGCCGCTAAGGCTAACACCTCAAATAAATAATGGGGAAAAGAATCTTCTTTCCAGAAAAGGATGAACCAAGCAGGCTGATTCATTCACACCTTCTCACCATGAGATGTTAAACAGCCGTTAGTCTATCTGGGTTCAGCATATTTTGTTTCTGTTCAAGCAGAACAGCTTTTAAACCGATTTAAAATCATGTTAAATATTGTAAAATCATTTCCTATGATCTGTTACTGTTTTTGTTTATTCATAAAGGTCTAATTTGGGGCCCGGCTGTCTGAGGTTCTGCTGTAAATGAAGGTGTGGTATGTAGTACCTCCGGTCTGACAGGGTCCTCGATGCCCACCACAGTGATGCAGGTCAGGTCGTTCAGGATTTCGTTCTCGTTGTCCCAGTTCGGTTCTCCGGCTTCAGCGGGGAAATCCCTGTAAGCCACGCAGATGGTCCTCAGCCCGTCGCACGCCATGGGCTCGATCACCTTCCTCACCATCTCGTCGCGGTCCTTTACCTTGAAGACGCGGGGCTGACCTTGGGCATCCAGGATCCGGGAGCACCTTTCGGAAGAGGCAGAGGGGAAATATATAAAGGCTTCGACCGACGGCTCAGAACCTCCATCAGAACCTCTGAGCTCCTCCTTACTTCCTCAGGATGATTTCAGAGGCTCCTTTGCTGTACATGCGGAAGCCTCCGTCAGGATTCTGCAGCACCGTGCTCATGGACTTGCGGGACGAGTTGAATGTATAAACCTTGTACATTTTCTCCTCTGGGATCTCGTCTCTGATTGGCTGGTACTCCCGCTTCAGGCCCAGAACCAGGCCCAGCAAGGCGCACTCCGTCTTGTTGCCAACATGGCGCGGCAGCCCTCCTTCCTTCTCCGGAGGCAGAATCTTGGTGGTGTACGCAGAGTTGACGGAGATGCTGTTGACCAGGATATCCAGCGTTCCCGGGTTAATGACGTCCGGTTCCGGGACGGTTTTGTGATGCGTGTCTCCGATGTACGCCTGCACCACCGTCATGCGGTTCATGGTCAGCGTCCCAGTCTTGTCCGAGCAGATAGCGGTGGCGTTGCCCATGGTCTCGCAGGCGTCGAGGTGGCGCACCAGGTTGTTGTCCTTCATCATTTTCTTGACAGAGTAAGCCAGGGAGATGGTGACGGCGAGCGGCAACCCTTCGGGGACGGCCACCACCAGCACCGTCACGCCGATGATGAAGAACTTGACGAAATACTGGATGTAAATGGGCGTGCACTCCGGTAACCAGCTGAGGCCTTGGATCCCAAAGGTGTAGATCACAAAGTAGAGGATGAGGATGATGACGGTGAGAGCCGACATGAACAGACCTGGGAGGAGAAAAACAACAGAACCTTTAGAGCAGAACCAGCCCGATTTCAACCCAAACATCTGAGCTCTTCCTCCTTCAGTTGGTCTGTGCAGGATTATCTGTGTGATCCCATTCCAGAACCTTTATATCAAGTGTTGACCTCAAAAAAGCCCGTCAGAACCAGTCAGTGTTGGTTGGAAATGTTCTGCTCCAGAACTAATTAAAAAATGCCCTACTGGAGATCCCATTAGCTGCACATCTCTCACTATAACCCAAGTCACCTTCTGATTGGTCGATTAGCATCTAGTCAGGACTCCATGCCTGGAAGCGCCCGTTCCGACAACCAAACAGAAGAACTTTACTTTGTAGGTTTTTGCTAAATATGTCAGCTTTTGTGGGAAATGGCTCCAGGATTTTTGCTCTAGACCGTCAATGCCTTTAGAGTCCTCATTACTTTGGATTTGGAGCCTGAAGCCGATGCTCCTAACTAAAGTAAGACAGCTTCAGACATCTAACAGCAGTACCAGGTGATACCGGTTCCGCCTTCTGGTGGGAATGTCAGCTGAACGGATGCAGCTGCAGCCGGCTCATCCCGGCAGCTGAGATAGATGTGATGGAGCAGAAAGGTCATTTGACAAGAACCCGCGGGAACCCTGTTACAGATTGACCAGTCTGAACCAGCGCCATCTCTTGGTGCAGATTCCAACGTGTGGTTTTTAGACGTACAGTGTGAGCAAGTAAATTGCATCAGAGCGTCGGGTCGCACAGTGTGAGAACATCCATCGTGAGTTGGGAACTTTTAAACCTGCGGTTTCGTCGTACAGTGTGTAGCTGCAACGATTGAAAATATTGCACAGTGTACGCCCGGCATTAAAGTGAGTGTCATTAAACGTGCTTCCTGAAACCGCCGTCAGGGGTTGGGAGGTCGGTGGATCAAAGAACCTAATATATGAAAGTCAAAATAGTTAACTTTTGCTGTGTTTGGGTCAGTTTTGACCTCTTACCAGTAACTTACTTTACCTCATGAACAGTGTTAACCACCAGTTCTCTTCTTACCTCCATAAACCAATAAAAAAAACAGAATAAGAACGATTGACTAAATTAGATTTGATCTTTAGCCCCTTCCTCTGAACCTCCTGGGAAAAACAGAAAACTTTGGACAATCTTTTTAAACTTTAAAGAAAACAGTATCAAAGTTTCATTTCTGGTTCATAAACTTTCTCCCCAGCTGCAGTTTTTAAGAGTCGAATCTGGTTCCCCTCTGATTTCATTAAGTCATTAGTAAACAGACCTCGGTTTGATCATTATCTTGTATTTATTCAATCTTGATCCAGTTAGCTTCATATTGGGTCTTCCTATAACTCCTAATTTAATTTGTCTGGATGCTAAATAAAGCTAAATGATCCAAAAGCTATTTTCTTGTGTAAAGCAGTGACACCTCAACCAGAAGGAAATGATTAATCTTTCCCTGATTTACTGCTAGTTTAGGTTTACTGCTCCTCCTCAGAGAGCATTCTGCAGCAGACAGATGTTATTTAAAACCTTATCCTTCATCCTTTTCTTGGTTTCCATCAGCAGCAGTCAGGAGTGATGGAGAATCACAGAGCTAAACTATTTCAGTCTTTTACATAAATGTGGGGAGAACTTAAAAAACAAAAGGATTTTTAGCGTGTGCATTTGATCCTGAAAGGAACCGTAATGGGAAATATGATCAGCAGACCATCGGCCTAATTGTTTCCGTTATGTAACGAGGAGCATTACATGACCCCCCCGCCACCACAGTGACCTGGAAAGCCCACGGTGCATTAAGGTCAATTGAAATGAGACGGAAAACACCTTCAATTCCAGGATGAATCGCGTTCCCAATAATAAATCCATCTAATAAAACTAAGTGCATTTTGGCCCCCAGGCTCTGCGTCCAATCAGCTCCTGCCGCTCGGCGTCCTTTTAAAGGCTCAGGCCCACATTTCTGGAAAAGCCTAACTTGTTTATTCAGCAGCTCCTTGTTCAGGTTTACTGTTAGCCAATCAGATCGATGCTTTCTTTGGATCCTAGGAACCTCTGAGCTGCCCTACGATCTGCAGCCAAACGTGCGTTTGTGAAGGTGTGCGCTCCTCACCTGCCTTCCCGATCTGGACAGCCAGTCTGGTCAGTTTTCCTTGCAGCACGGACTTCTCCTTCTTGGTCACATTGACCTTCTTCACCTGTTTGACCTCCTCCTTCTCCTCCGACTCGGTGGCCTCCTCGCTCTTCAGCGGCTGGATCTCCAGCGCGATGCCGTCCTGAGTTTTGGCTGGTCGGGGGGCGGAGGAAAGGGTTTGGGGGGGAGGAGAAATGGTGTTTGTGTTTGGGGGAGAGGGGGGGGGGGGGGGGGGGGGGTAAGAGGAAAATGATAAGGGGGAGGATGAAGAGAGGGTTTTGGATGAATGTGATGAAGACGGAAAACAACAAAAACAAAAGTTTAGTTTCATGGATGAAAACAGAAAATGCAGATGAAATAAATTGATGCGTATAAATAAATCAACCAAAGGAGGGGGGAGGGGGGGTTGAAGGAGTGGTTTGGGAAGAGAGGCAGAGAAAATATTACATTCAAAGCTTGGAAACACAGGCGGGAGTTTTCTGACTGATCGATACATTCTGACCGCCACTGGCCGGAGTGATGCAGCCGGCAAAAACCAGCCGCTTCCTTCAGCTGATGAAAACAAACTGCCGGCCGGTTCGGCTCCTTGTTTTTCATAAACAAACGTGATATTTGCATGCTGCCTCGTCCGGCTGGGGAGCTGCCGTCTCTCTGGTGACGGAGCCAAACTCGCCCGTCTTTAGCGCTCAGTCTGACCTGCTCTGTGTCACGGTGGGTGAAGGTTTTAATCTCCCCCCAGATCTCAGCTATAGAGCTCTGGGTTTATTCACACCCCAAACCATTTTACTTTGGGTTATTTTAATCACAAAATATTAGTGAGATTTTCTGCGCCAGAACGAAATAGAACATTTTTAGAGAACTGTGGGATGGATTCAATCCTTTTTATTCTGAGCAGCCCAAATAAAATGACATAATCAGGAAGTGCTGTCTAAATGTCTGACACCTTTGCTGCTTTGGCTTTAGAGGCTCCTCAAAGAACACTGAAGAACAACTAGCCTAGCTAGCGCTTTAAAGGTGGAGCTTCATTTCAGAGGCAGAAGTAACAGAATCCCTGTAAACGGTCTAGAACCATCTCGAAAACTATGGAGGTGAAGAAAATTACATATTTTTTTGTCATCCTGCTCAATCGGGACACAAAGGGCATCATTGAAGCATTGCTCTGCTGCAGAGATAATCTTTAACAAAAAAACCGTAGCAAACCTAGATTAGGTTAGAAGAGCTTGAATAAAGCCCATAGAAGGCCTGTTTGCTGGGTCCCTGCATGGATGCTGGCAAACTGCAAACATAAAAGGAGGAGTTTTGGTCAAAACTGATTCTATGTGCAGCAGCAACACCTGAAACCATGTTAAGCACGGAGGCGGCCGCATCATGCTGAGGTAATGCTTTTCTTCAGTGGTTCAGAGTCGCGTAAAGATAGAAGCCCCTAAACGTAGATGGGAGAATCATAAATTAACAGACCTTTAGGCGCCACTAGAGCTAAAGGATGTTCTGCAGAGTGCTGGCTCGGGGCCTTGATACAGATGCACACCGCACTTTTCAGATTTGTATGAATGGAAACCCTCTAAGAGCCGTTGATCCCTCTCCTTTCCTTGCTGAACTACTTTGTTTCTGTCACAGAAAATTTGGTTTGGTTGTAATGTGATAAATAGAGAGGAGTGAATACTTTAACATGGCTGCTGTGTTACACCGCAACGTTAAAAGATGCCAGTAGGGGGAGTGTTTGTTCATTAAACCTGCAGAGAAGCTCTGATAGGAGATGTGAGAGCTTAGAGATGCTGCAGCTTCCTTTAGGTACAAGAAGCTGAAGTGAGACCAGGCTGAAGTGCAGCCCCATCATACTCTACTCCTCATACAGGCTACTGGACCCCAGGCTGAACAAACAGACCCGACTGTAGCCTTTAGAAAACACTGAATGATCTTCCCAGAAAAACAATCCACCATAGTTTTGTTTCCAAGTTTGAAGCGTTTCTCTTCCCATCCGGGAAGGTTTTTCCAATTCAAAAAGTCAGAAATAGCGTTGAGTTCCAGGTTTTATACAGTAAAGCTTTATTTTTGTTTAGAAAACAAGCAAATAGAACCAGACGAATGGGTCTAAGTTAAGTTTAAATCTAAAGTCGGTTTGCAGCTGATGTTGCCCCGCCTTGCTATGATTAGCTGATGGCAGCAGGGGGGGGGTCACGATTGGTTATCATCTCATCTGAAACTGGGTCGATTACATCAACAGATCCCTGAATACTGGACCCACTGCATCAGTGTTTTATTGATCACTGTGTTTCGAAAAAGACAAAAAACAAGAGCTTTCCATTTTTAATATTTTTAAGCCAAACGGTTGCAGGACGTCTCTGAACAAACCTCTGATTCTCTGGTACCAACCTCCGTTTCAGGACTGATGCTGAAATCTTCAGTGACGTTAAATCATTTGGAAAATAAAACCTGTGGTTACATTATTTCCTCCTGGGGTTAAAATCCGGATTTTTCCTGCTTCAGACACTTTATTCTAGACCTGATTCTGCTTAATCTGATCTCCTGTTGATTTAACAGATTTCAGCAAACATCAGGACACTGAAACTAACTTGAAGGAGATAAACGCTGATTTTTTTTCTGCTAAAAACCTTCAGCTGCTATGAAGGTGCTGATTTTTGGACATTGATGAAGAACCTAAATTGCAGCAAAACCTTCTGATGGACTGATAATTATCCCCCACACACAAAAGCATCATTTTACAACACAGGACATTCAACATTCCAGATGTGGGAATGAGTCGCAGGTCAAACCAGGAAGCTGTGGAGCTTTAAGCACATGGTCCACTCTGACAACAAGCCACAACACGGAACTAACTGGCACAGCTTCACACGAACGGGACTGAGACCCACGGACCAATGACAGAACCAGAAACAGGCGCAGCACGGAACCATGGGAGAACGCACGGCGGCCAGAAGAGGAGGCGTGTCTGACAAAAGTAAAAGCAACTCCACAAACCAAAGATGAACTCAAAGGATCACCCCGAACAAAATGGAAGAACCACAGTGATGCAGAACAGAGACAGAGGAAGAGGAGGCTGCAGCAAGACAGGAGGAAGAGAGAAGAGTGAGGAAGACACGGCAACCCTGGAAGGGGTCGCGGGGGGGGGGGGGGGGGGGTGAGAGCAGGAAACAGCTGGAAAACAAACAAACTGAAGGCACACAAACAGGACAGGTGCTACAGTGGTCCACCAACACTGGAAGGGTGCAACTCCCACACAGGCGGGTCCAGATTGGCCCCAGAACCCCAGCTTAATGTGACTGCTTTCTGTTTCACCTAGTGAAGGAGACCCGCTACTATCAGCGTGGTTCCTGGTTTTATTCACCCCGCTGGAGGGACCGGCCCTCCAGCGGGGTGAATAAAAAATGAAGAAAACCAGGATTCTAAAGAGGGAAACCTGACAATGCTGTGAGCTCTATCACCAGACGGCTCAGAGCTGCGGATCATTGAAAGCGTGATGATCCGTGAGTTCCTGGGACATGTCTGCAGCAGATGCTCTGACCGCAGGAGGCCGGGAGGAGGGCGGCTCCGGGTGCGTGCGTCACAGAGCGGGATCTCAGGCAGCTTGCAGAGGAAGCTGGACATGTGTTGGATCGCATGGAAAATGGAGGACAGTTGGCTCATTCTGGACGAGAACCCAATGACATCATTAAACCACCCACCGTCGTCGATGGAAACAGGAATCTCATGGTTCAGTACTCGCTATCCGAGCTGCTTCTGCAGGGTGCGTTTATCTGTTTAATCTATCATCAAACCGGGATCTGTTTGTTGCTTCGTTGATTCAAACTTAAACACTCTTCTGGTATCGGTTCAAAATCCATTTCTGAGTTACTGGTCCTGAAGGAAGCATGTTGACCCATCAGCTGGTCAGACCTACTTACTCTGTGATCCCAGGCAGCTTCTCACCTCTAGAACAAACCGCCTGAATCTTTTGGTTCCTTTAAAGGAAAAGTCCACTCATATTCAGAATTATAAACTTCTAAAAATGCTTTAAATCTGAAATTATTACACACTTTCCAATAAATGATCAGTGTTTTTAATTCAGAGTAATTTCCATTTGAATGTTCTTTACTGGAGGCATCCATGTTTGTCAAAGAACACTACTGCCACCTACTGGTTTGTGACGTCACGGTGCGGTATCGGCTGTTGATCAAGTCCCAGTGCTGTATCTGGTGTTTGTCACAACGCGCTATTATCCAAGTCATCTTGAAAACATTCTTCTTCCAAATGTTGGCTATGTTGGCTTATACTTTTGCGGGATCTTGCAAAAGTATTGCGAGATCTCGCAAAAAAATAAACTTTTGCGAGATCTCGCAAAACTATTGCGGGATCTCGCAAAAGTTCTTTTTTTCCCCTCCTTGTCCCTTTAGGGGCTCCGTACGGTGCGGTATCGGCTGTTGATCAAGTCCCAGTGCTGTATCTGGTGTTTGTCACAACGCGCTATTATCCAAGTCATCTTGAAAACATTCTTCTTCCAAATGTTGGCTACATATTACGTGTTTTTTCTCTGGCCAGAAGTTCGATGGCAAATCCTCCCTCTTCAAGTTGGCGATCCAACGACCAACCCGTCTATGGAGGATCAGGAATCAGAAAGGTGGAATAACTCTTTTTTTTTTTCACTTTTACCCGATGTATTCCAGCATCCAGCTGCCATGCACGTGGGCATTGTCAGTTTCACTATAGCTCTGGTGAATTTCAATGGTGAAGTCCTCTGGAAATCTTCAATAATTGTTGTTGATTGCAGATGTGTCTAGTAGTTCCCATTGATTTAGCTTGTAAAGCGGGGAGAATGGCGCTAGGCTTACCGCACCGTGACGTCACTGCTGGAAGATGGCAGGAGGGAGGGGTTACTGTATTTGGGTAAAAATGGCCGCTCCCAGACTCAGTGATCACAACGAAAATGTTTATTTTTATATAATATATATCGGGTTCAGGTCCAAGAATCTGTCTCTTTAACTTTGTTGGATCACTTATGAAAAACTGTGACAAATAGATTAAAGATTTGAACACGCTTGTATGCAGTTGTTTCTTTTTTATATATTGAGTTCTCCTTTATGAAAAGCTAAAAGGTCTTCATTAGCTTAATTTCTTTCCTCTGGATCTCCTCCTGTATAAATGCTCTCCGTCTTTGG